GTCTACATAGAAATTACCAGATAATGACCTCATTGTTAATTTGTTATGTTATCAATGACATTGATCAGCTTACAATCTTATTAATCAACACTGATTATTTTACTGTTTTGAGGGATGTTACATTTATGCTCTCAATTTGTGCCATTACTAGGCTATATTTTATTTTACGGAACATATTCATTGAAATTGATGCAACATGGGATAGACTGCAATTTACACATATGATTCTTCCTCACAATAATGTCTTGCACACTGCACAGGTCACTATTCCATGGATAACAATTACTACTTATTACTGAGCGCAAGGTTTCTCTTGTTGATACGCTGTATCATTAAGTCTGTCATTGAGTCAACTGGCGTGGTTTCGAATCCCCGGTTGTATGTGACAAGGAGTAAGGTCGCCTGTCCAACCTCGTGGGTTTTCTCTGGGTCCTCTGGTTTCCTCCCACTGCTAAAGACCCCTACGCGCAAGCGAACTATGGAAATAAAAATTGAACCATATGTTAGTCCCGAAATGACCTAGTTTGTGTCGAGTGGACGTTAAACCCAATTTCTCTCTCTCTCTCTTGTTGATAAAGACTAGAGAAGTATAGTTGAAACAGTTGCTCAGTAATAATAAGCATTGGACTGTGACCCAGTGTATTCCAGTTCAGTTGGGGGATTGGAATGCCGAATTGTTAGCATCTGTGTGCTGTATCATAAGGCCTATCATTGAGTCAACTGGCATGGTTTCGAATCCCCAGTTGTACGTGACAAGGAGAAGGGTCGCTTGTCCAACCTCGTGGGTTTTCTCCGGGTCCTTTCACGGCTAAAGACCCCTACGCACACGCGAATTGTTGAAATAAAATTAAACCATATATTAGTCCCGAAATTAACTAATTTGTGTTGAATGGACGTTAAAACCCATTTCTCTCTCTCTCTCCAGTTCAGTTACTAAACGCCATTGAAACAATAATGTCTTGTTTTGAAGTCAGTGTGGCTAAGTGAGTAAGACGCTGGCTCGCTAACCTGGAGGTCACGAGTTCAGTCTGGGTGTTGGCCGAGAAAGTTCATTGGGATTTTCTATCATGGTTTCCCCTTGTCAGTGGTGCAGGATGGAGGAGCTGTCATGGACAGCTGTCTAGTTGTTTGGATGGGATAAACTGAGGTCCCGTGTACACATTGACATACCTATAAAAGATCACTTTGCAGTTGGAATTTGATATAAGAGTAGGTCGTAGCGTCTGTATGGTGTATGCCCATCTTCAAAAGCCCAGTTGGAGCAGAACAGTAGGACTTTAAACACCATTTTATTTCATTTCGTTTTGTAGTATTATTAATTTAAAATATGAAAGATAGTCAAATGATGTTTAGGACCAGAGTAAAAAAACACAGGTGACCCTAGGTCTTGTCATGAACAGATCTGAGATAGAACTCACGACTTTGCATGGAAGGCAGATCTTCTGATATGCATTACTCGTGTTGACCACACAACCTATCATTCATGCAGATCTGGGATGGAACTCACGACTTTGCATAGAAAGCAGCTCTTGTGATATGCCTTACATGTGTTGACCACACAACCTATCATTCATGCAGATCTGGGATCTAACTCACTACTTTGCGTGGAAGGCAGATCTTCTGATATGCATTACATGCGTTGACCACACAGCCGATTATTCATGCAGTAGTACCGACATCCTGGTCTTAGAATTGTGATCTGTCAGTCAGCTAATATATGAAACATAAATCTGTAGAGATTTACACATGAGCTCTGCTTGATGCACACACACATGCACCTTCCCTTCTGCGCTCCTCCTAAAATAAGCATATGCAGTTCACCCACATGTTAAACTGATTCTCTGCCAATGAACAAATTTTAAACTTTTGTTAACTCTTTAAGTCACCAGAGAACAATCAAAATTGAAAATAAAACTTGTAAAAACAAATGATCATTTTTACTATTTTTATTTTTTGATCATATATAATCATATTTTAGCACATCTAGTATTAAAGTGTAAATTAATGTTGTAACAAAGTAGATAAGCAACATTTCTAGGTATGGAAGACAATTATAATAATCATTCAGTTTCTATACTTTACATTACACCTTTATTTCATCTACACTCAATTAACACGAATTCATCGATGATTGAATATTTTATTCTAACTTGTCACTGAACAAAGGAGGTGATAAATGTAAAGTTCAACAATTTCTCACAGTTTCTAACAACTAGTCTCGAACCATGCTGTTTCATTGTTTAAAACAAACGGTCTGTCCATGTTGCTTCACCGTTTAAAACAACCTGTCTCTGGCCATGCCCATGCAGCTTAAGTCTATAACAACCAGTCTTTGACCATGTTGTTTAACAATTTATAACAACCATCTCTGTCCATGTTGTTTCATAGTCTTTAACAACCAGTCTCTGAACTTTTTGTTTCATAGATTAAAACAACCCATTTCTGTCCATGTTGCTTCACTCTTCATAACAACCAGTGCCTGTCAATGTTGTTTCAAAGATTAAAATAATCAATCTCTGTCGATGTACAGTACGCCCGCCGAGTCGCTTTGATGGAACACGATTATCGTGTCGTTTTTTGTTGAAAATTGCCACGATAACGCCACGATATTGCCACGATAAATAACTCGGTGTAGCAGTTGCTATCGTGTGCCACGATAGTCGTGCGACACGATAGGCCTCGGTGTAATTTTACATGCAAAATTAACGGTATTTATTTGTCATAAACAATCGATGTCAAAACGATATACAGCCACGATGTTATGAATGTTGAATATTTTCGTTAATAATACGGACGCATTAGGTCACGTTGTATAGTTAGAAGTAGAACATGCGTGTTCACATATTCTGCACGATATATGCGGTTACATTTCCAACCAGTCATGTAAAGCTGCATGTCTATTACACTTTGAAGGACAGTATGCATAAGACTATACATGTATTACACAGTTTAGATATTTATGCCGTGTTAAAATTGTTTTGCATATTTACTATATTATGAGTTTATAGTTAAGAACTACTCTCGAATCACGGCAAAGATAGACTTTTAAATTGCAAACTATAACGGTATTTGGGTTACCGGTCTTACAAATAGAAATAAGACAAATAGAACTTGCAACGGGGTTCGAAAGCGCTTTCAAATCAGACATAAGTTCGTACTTACCGTAAAAATGAAATGAACGCGACACAAGTCTCCGATGTAAGAGAATATTAGTTAATTATAACCGCTATCAAATCCACGCAAAAAGCCAAGGCACTCGTTTTATTTTAGAAAAGAATAACTGTATTTCGATGGAAGAACCCCAAATCAATGATAACTGTCAACTTGTATGTTGTCATTCTCGTGCAGATTGGTTTGAATAACAGAAATGTCCCTTGGATCCAAGATCAAAGAATAAAATCGCACGTAGCCACTTTGTTGTTTTTATTGGTTAAGACTACATTATGCCGCAAAGACCCAAAGTTGCCAGAAACCATGCAGTGTTCACCTTACAACAGGTCCATTGATTTATGGTTTATTTTATAATTTATGATACCGTTTAGACCACAATGCGTTACGATTTAAATTTTGGTATTCCAAGTTGATTATATATGCAAGCTTATATGCAAAAGGATATTAATTTGGATTGGTATTATTTTTATATTTGCCTGTGATAATTATTAAGGATATTTAACATCTACAATATGAGTATAAAAGGTAAGGTAAATACTTTTTACATATTGCGTAAATGTTTAATAATGTACATTATGTAAGCGGTAAAAGATATCAGCCGAAAATCTAACTGATAAATTCACGACAATGTTTCCTTATATTTGGAGTTGTTTAGTTTCGTGTACGGAAAATAGATTAACGATTAGTTTTAACATTATTTATCATGCCGAAACATATCATTCCAATTTCTCTTGTTAAAGGGAGTGTTAAATGGAGGTTCGTACTATTTAAGAAATGACCTTTTGGCCCGACATACATGTACGAATAATCGCCGTCTTATAAAATGCGAATTCCGTTTATGTAAAAGGGGCTCCGGCGCAATTTAAGGAATTATTGTTGACCCAATATTAACCATCGCCAATTTTTTAAATCATGGGATAAAGTCAATCAGCAAACAATACGGGTCTACTTTATTACAAAAACATTGGTGAACTTATCGTTGATCGTTAGGTAAATAAAACAATATAAACAACCAACTGGTCCTCTTCAATAGTTATGAAATTAATTAATCTAGAAAGCACATCAAAGAGTGTAGAATAAATGGTCTAACAGAAAATTCAGTTGTTAAAGGGGCGTGGGGCTATTTAAGGAATGACGTTTGTGCACAATATAATGAAATGATTTCCACCGGTGTAAGGCAGAATATGTCAACTGCAAATGACTAAACATCATTTTGTTCATAAGCCGCTCTGCATGCGTGAACCTTAAGCCTGTACCGATTTAAAAAAAAAATACGAGTTTTACCGTAACAGAGTAATCACAATTACTCGTTACAAATTGGTATTACATGCAGCGGATTGGGTGGGGGTCTGGTCGAATCCTAACAACCCCGTGAAATCGCGACGAATAACTTCTTGGTTACCGTAGTCATATTTTAAGTGTAACTTTGTTTTCTTTATTTTCACATTCTGCTAATTAAGAAACCATTTGAGTAATAAATACAGGTAATTGAATGGACTGAAGCTACATGTATAATCAAAAAGAAATCGACATCTCTTTTGAAAATATGTAATTATTACTACTGACAATTAACAATAAAAGTCATATTGTCCACGAGCACAAGACTACAACAAGGTAATAGTTTGTTGTTAAAGGGGCGTCTATGTTCTGTCAGTCGATTTCCTTTCATGTCACGTGTCAGTTCTCATTGTGGAACCTTGATTGACAGTATGCATCTACCAGACTCTATGGTGCCGAAATGAAAACGTCAGCAAGGTATTATCGGACTGATACGTGTCAATGTACATGTATTCAGCAAAGTTCCATAAACTTGTTGACGGTGAATTCTGACTTTGTGTGATTACATATCAGGAGACAAAAGCTTTTAATTTATTTGTGATTTAAACCAGAATTATTTATCAGTATGTGAATTACTATTTAGATGGATAAATCTACGCCCCCGGTAAGACTAGCATATATTGGTGTCATGTTATAATTTTTCAGTAATTTGATTGAATTTGTAATGGTCCATCGATGCAAGTCTTACAAATGTCGAACATATTAATGAAGTAATAATGTATCGGTATAAGCATATTTCTGTTTAAAAGATGACAATACCCGGGTTTAAATAACAGAATTACCCTGTGATATAACCCTATATACGGTCCATGATATAACAGATCAAAGAAACGCGAACGCCAATCTTCACACGTAGCTACCAACACATTAAGTGATCTATAATAACAATGTATAGCTCTACATGTACTTCATCCTAAAATAAACGATCAGAGGCATGGTTTAATTAAAACACCGAGTCACACCGTGTTTCCAACACCGAGGCAGTGCTATCGTGTCACTCGATATTCGCTCGGTGTTCACTCGGTAAATCACAGAATTCCACGATAAAAAACACGGTAATATCGTGTCCCGTCAAACCATCGTGACGGCCGTACTGTAGTTTTACAGTTTATAACAAGAAGTCTCTGTTCCATGTTGTTTCTAGTAGTTTCACTGATTATAACAACCCGTCCATGTTACTTCACTGATTATAACAACCCGTCCATGTTACTTCACAGTTTATAACAAACAGTATCTGTCCATGTTGCTTCAAAGATCCTAACAACCAGTATCAGATCACCACACTGTTCATAGCTTATCTAAACATGCATTTGTATGAATTGTTATCATATCAGCTGGGAACATCTCAGTACAGACAGGACATGATATAAACACATCTGAATCATCTTGTATTAACACAGAACTATTGTCATGTCTTGATACATTGTTGTTCGACCATGATGGACTGATACGCGACACAGAGGTATTACCGTTCAAATCAATCACAGGGGTATAACCGTTCGAATTAATCACAGGGGTATAACCGTTCGAATTAATCACAGGGGAGTTATTGTTCACTAATGAATCACTACTTATATGAGATATAGAAGCACTCATGTTAGAACTGGAAGCTACATCAACTGAATTATTGGTCCTTGTGGATTTTTTGGTACCCTTAGCTCGAGATTTCTTGGAGACTGCACTCTCAAAAGCAAATGTTGGCAATGGTGGAATTTCAATCTCTGACAGACGAGCTTTAGCTGAACACTGGATAAAGTGATGATCCAGCAAGTAATCTTTGATCTTAGCTGAAATATAAAAGTTTTTACCAATATCGATTACAGCTGTTGACACCTAATTTTTACCAAGGGTTCTATTTTTTTTTTCATTTTGGATAAACCAGTATTTAGTGGAATAAACATACAGAGATAATCAACAAGTAAAAATAGCAAGAACTTACAGATCTCAGATTTGAGCCTATAAAATGACTGCATTCTACAAATATTCTAGTTTCAGTTTGCGTAAATAAGGCCCCTTTCAGAAATGAAATGGGGTTTAACATCCCACTCTGAATGGGCTAATGAAGATGGGCATATGCCATACAGTGTGCTATGAGGGAAATTTGGCCCAGACAGCAGCGCTATAGCCTACTTATATCGAATTTCCAACTGTCAAGGGATCTTTAACATGCACGCCAATGTGTACTTAGTTTTTCATCCAATCCAAACAACTATATGTTGTCCTTTGCCAGGCCCTCGGTCCTGCACCACTGACAAGGAGGAAACACGCTGTAAAATCCTGATAACTTTCCCGGCCAACGCAGGGATCTAACAGGGGACCTCCATGTTAGCGAGCCATCATCTTACCCACCATGCCATCGTGGCTCCCGGTCCCTTTCAGAGAAATAATGATGTATAGTAAGATTATGATATCCCAAGCATTATCCTTATCAAATAAAGTAACTATCTGGAACATTGTGATTCATGCATGTAGACTACACAAATCTGAAATATTGGCAATACAAGACCAGGGCATCATTTCTGTAAAACATGCAGGAGTCACAAAAAGCTCTTGTGCTTAAATTTCCGGGAGCACATAAAAACGCACCCGCGTTTACCATCATTTAGTCAATATTTCTATTGATTGTATCCAAATTCTAGCACACGAATACGCTCATTGAACATGCCATTGGTTGTCAAGTAGTCGATTTACCGGTCTTATGCTTACAACAGAAAACACTACCTTGGACGTTCGCGTAAATCTCTGGCTCAATGCCAAAGGCGGGAAAGGAATGTATATATATCGTGATTATCCAGACGCTTTCTATATGACCACGACAGAAATTCATAACGTTATATTTATTCAAATTTCACAATCAAAAACTCTTACAAAACTAACGCATTTAATTTAAAAACGATCAATCGTTTATTACTAATGTAATACTATCAGTCGATCACTAATAAATAATAATCTATCGTGAATGCAAACGTCATGGAGAGACTTGACAACCGAGATAATAATCTTCAACCCAAATGTCTTGATACCATAACAAAACTACTCTTCACGATTTTCAAGCTCGACTTTCTTGATAAAACTGTTGAAATTGTCTGAATTTTTAGCAGGAGCTATAACCTGTGCTTGTGTTTTCAAGATTACAGGCGCAGACGGGCGCGAGCGCGCAAACGCCCGTCAAAAATGATGCCCTGCAAGACCAACACAAGGACACCACAAACATAAGAGGGAGTCAGTAGGTAACTCTAAAATCAAGAATACAAGACCAACACAAGGACACCACAAACATAAGAGTGAGTCAGTAGGTAACTCTTAAAGCATGAATAATTGATTTCAAGGTAGTCACAACAGTGCCTACATATACTATATGAGTACCGGTATATAAATTTGATATCATACCGTTACAAACTGAACAAGTTGCCATATTTTGTTCTGATTCATCCGTAGATGTAGATAAACCTGCGGAAACCGATGGAGATGTCCTGAAATATATGCAAAATATGTTAAAAGTCTAAAATCTAAAATTCACAAACATTTAACATACAAATATCAATTCAGAAAGAGACACATAATGAATAAAATTCGTAGCTTTCAAATTTTTTAGTTGTTGGCTGTTGATGAGATTGGAAAAGGGGAAATAATTTCAACTCCAAATAAGGTCATTTGGGGACTAACATGAGCTCATTAGGAATTATGATCAATGTCGATTCCAATTTACCAATTTGCAACTTGGGACTTACGTGTCCTATATTCTAGTCCATTAATTTGCATTCACACATGGCATGCATATAAAAGAACCCTTGAAAGTTGGAATTCGATACAAGAGTAGCCCATAGCGCCGCTGTACGGGCAAAATTTCTCTCAAAGCAGACTGTATGGCATATACCTGTCTTCTTTACCCCAGTTGAGAGAGAGACAGAGGGTTTAATATCAACTCAACACAAACCAGGTCATTTCGGTACTAACAAATGGCTCAATTTTATTTCAATAATTCGCTAGTGGGTGGGCATCTTTATCACTGGGGGGAACCAGAAGATGCAGAGAAAACCCACGAGGTTCGATAGGCGACCCTACCTACTCATTATCATGTACGAGCGGGGAATCGAAACCACGCCACTTGAATTAATGACTGACCTTATGATCATTTGCGTTAACCATTTGGCTACCCAATCTCCCCTACGATTTCAGGTCGCAATACACAGCCCTATTCTCACAGGGCTCCTTGGCAAGTAAAGAAAACCTGAGCAACTTATTTACCTTGGACTAGATGAAGAACATGAACCAAGTTGATAACCAATACCAGCACTCAACCAGATACCATCTGTTAATATACAGTCATTATCCATCAAACTTTCTTTACTAGGTGTCTTGGTTTGACCACGCCCCCTTCCTCGACCACGCCCTCTCCCTCGTTTACTACTTATAGGAATAATTGTGACATCATCTTCAATCAAACAAATATCACCAGAATCTTTTCGTTTACGTTTATTATTCACTGATTTATTTGCAGCACTTTTTGGTTGTGTTGTCGGTGCTGGTGAGCTCAACTCGTGACAAATTCCCATATACCATAACGTTCTGGGCTTTGTAGCATTGGGTGGTAATTCTCCTGATGAAGGTTTATAGGAAGATAACTTTGATTTATAATCGATATTGCTATTTTTAGAATTTTGGGCGGCTAAATCACTATCACTATCAGTAGTAGACAAATCAAATATATTTTTATCGCTAGTCTGTGCAGAGGTAGATGATTTCACACGATTTTGTAAAGTTTCACTGAATTCGTACTTCTTCTTAATAGACGATAAGTTGGTATCTTCTGACTTTTTCATTTGTTCTTTAATTGAAATACTCTTTGTGGTTTTAGGTGTCGTGGAATTCATGTTGGCACCATTTGAAGTCACATTTTGATTTACTAACAAACAATCATTGTCTTTACGAATGCAATTATCTTTTTTTCCCGCACGATTGGACGTTAATTTTTTAGCAGAATTCAGAAGTGTTTGATTCTTTGATAAAATTTCATCTAATGTGCTCTCGGCTGAATCTGTTTGTTTCTCCTGTGATGAGGCTGGTGAACACGAGTCATGTTTTCGTGACACGTCTAAAGGACTTGTGGTAACTGGAACAGATCTAATATCACCATCAAGCAGTTCCACTAAATATGACTGACAATAATTCATAAAGATTTTTTTCTCTTCACTGGTCAGTTTTCTTTTCTTTATTTTCTCAAGTTTATGTCTCAAATCTGAAGTAAAAAGAAATATTTTAGGGCAGATTATCATAATTATGAATTAAAATAGGAATGAAATGGGGTCAGCGTCCTTTTTTTCTGTACCAACTGGGCTAATGAAGATAGGTATATACCATGCACTGTGTTATACCAATCCTTGGTAGGAAGGAGGGAGGGAAATTAGGTTTAATGTCCACTCGACACAAACTAGGTCATTTTGGGACTAACACATGATTCAATTTTATTTCAATAATTCGCTTGCACATATGGGTCTTTAGCAGTGGGAAGAAATCGAAAAACCCACTACGTTGGACAGGCGACCCTACTCCTTGTCACGTACAACCAGGGAATCAAAATCTTACCCGGAGAAAACCCACGAGGTTGGACGGACGACCCTACTCCTTGTCGCTCAGGAGATTTGGCAATGCTGATCACTACATTCTTGCAAATTTGTAGCCCTGGTTTTTATAAATAGCTCAAGTCTCTTATATGTTCCACTTACAGTTACTTTTTATACTAACCTGCTACAGTGACCAAATCTAAATCCATGGGTGATAATTTCTGATCAAACAAAAAATTCACTATTTCCTCTTCAATCTAAGGTAAAAATCAATATCAGATTTTTAACAATGTATTTTGAAGGGTTGAGAATGAAATCATTGAAGGATATGATATATTTAAGTTGCACGGATTTGAATTCCTTGCCAAATACAATACGGTGAATGAAGAATCTCTAAAACAAATTTCAATCCAAAAGTGGAGAGAGAGACACACACACAACTCCACTTGACACAAACTAGGTCATTTCGGGACTAACACATGGTTCCATTTTATTTCAATAATTCGCTTGCATGTAGGGGTCTTTAGCAGTGGGAGGAAACCGGAGGACCTGGAGAAAACCCAGAAGGTTGGACAGGCGACCCTACTCCTTGTTACGTACATCTGTGGAATCGAAACCACACCAGGTGACTCAATGACATACCCTTTAATACAGTGCACACGTACTAACCATTCGGCCATCCAACCCCCAATCTAAAAGTGAATTAAGCTAGGAAAAATATTGTGAGTAAAATGCACAAACTGGATTTGCGACTTTAAGAACTGATGTTCTAAAAACAAAATGGCATTGCCATGATCTTACCGCAGGTGATGTCTTTTGTTCCATGTGTTCAGAGAAAAGATCACGTCTTGCTGTGGTGTTGTTTGTTTCTTTGGCTCTATTAGCAGGACTAAACTTATTATCTGTATTTTCGGTGGCGGCTAGAACAAGTTTAGCTGTTCTTGACAAAGCTACACCAACTCCTGATTCGCTACTAGAAGATATCTTCATTAGCTTTTCCTTTAATGGATCTTCTGGAGAATCTCTTCAAAAGAAAAACACAAGTATAATCATTGAAAATGTTAAAGTAAATTTGCTTTTTTCTATAGAGTTCTCTATTTTCACTCTATTAATAGGGTGACCCACCATAAATAAATATCTCCATATATCTCGACAATTACGCCACAATATTTATATATATGCCAAGCCTCAAATCAGTTTCACACAATTATAGTCATTAAATAAACGATCATGTTGTACTTAATAAGCTATGACCATTAATCATGTATAAATAATAGACTGAAAACTGGTTCCAAGAGTCGTACATAACATCCAGACACTTTTGAGTAAAAGATAGGTTACGTGCCCTTGTTTTGAAATTAGTCTCGCTTAACCAGTCTATCGACCATTCTATGTCTGATTGACAGGTCGGGATAATCAAGACTACTTTTTTACGAAACATAACAGAAAGCTAGAATAAGAAATTGAATTTAGAAATAAGCACGTTAGGTAGCTCAACAATTGTTTTAAGAAGCTTGTAAAAGTAAAATGAAACTACTGCTAGTATCATGTTCCTGTCTAACCCGAGTGATTCAGAGATATTATTTGTACTAAACCAAAAAATGCCGCTCTTAACGGTACAGTTAATGATAAAGTGATTTAAAAAATGAAACAAACGTAATTTCTAAATCTGCTGTAATAACCAAGAAGCTTAATTTTACTGCTATTCAAAATCGTCAACAATAAATCTTTTACGGCTGTAATAGTTGATAGATTTGTAGAGAATTGCACGTGCCATGGCTATTTATAGTATCATACTGTCAGAAAGTTGGTCTCGGCACGGCGAATGTGCACGCTTCAGTGGTAGTCTCGAACTATCAGCGGTGGACTGTATTTCTGTGAGTACATGGGTCACCCTACTATTAACAAAAATTGCAATACATGTTGTATGTGAGAGAAATCTACATTTATTTTGACCAATTCTGTTTTGAAATGAAATGAAATGGGGTTTAACATAGTTCTTTCCTAAACCAAATTCCCATTCTACCACCAAGACGCTGCACCACTGACAAAGGGGAAAGCGTGCTGGAAAATCCTGATATCCTTTCTTAGCCAACATTGGAATCGAGCCCGAGTCCTCTTCAGTTAGTGATCCAGAGAGAGAAATAGGATTTGGCATCCACTTAACACAAACTAGGTCACATCTGGACTATACATATGGTTCAATTTATTTCAATAATTCGCTTGCACGTAGGCACTTGCATGTAGGGGGTCTTAGTGGGAGGAAATCAAGCGGGAAATCACTACCACACCAACGGACTCAATTGACAGAAAAGAAATGAAATGAAATGGGGTTTAACGTCCTACTGTTCTGCTCCTAAACTGGGCTAATGAGGACAGGCATACGCCATACAGTGTGTTATGAGGGAAATTTTTCCCGGCAGCGGCGCTACGGTCTACTCTTATGTCGAATTCCAACTGCCAAGGGATCTTTTACGTGCACGCCAATCTGTACACAGGACCTCGGTTTTTCATCCCATCCAAACGACTAGACAGCTGTCCTTGTCAGCCCCTACGTCCTGCATCACTGACAAGGGGAAACCACGCTGGAAAATCTGGATGAACTTTCTCGGCCAATGCAGGGATCGAACACCCGACCTCCAGGCTAGCGAACCAGCGTCTTACCCACTTAGCCACGTGATCCCCCTCACATGACAGACCTTGTGATCCAACCATTCGGCCACCCAACCCCCCAAGCCATTGTTATGCTCACTGAGCCACCATGACTCCCAGTAGTGTTTTGAAAACATGAAATCTACAAATGAAGCCTAAAAATGAGTTACACCTCCAGATGAATCAAGACCTCCAGATGAATGAGCTTCAAAGTTAAAAATCTTAAATACGATTTTGATTTTAAAGAATATCTACAGATATATCATACCTATCTAGCTGTGATCCAAAGAAATGTTTCTGTATCATTTTCACTCGTTTATTTTCTGATACAGTCGAAAATTCAATCTTTTTCCTGCTGTTCACATTTACAGCTACTGGATTTTTAGAGGAAGACTGAACTTTAATAAATGCCAATCCAAACTGAACATCTTTACGGTACGGTTGTCGAAGTATTACTTTGATCCGATCCCATTTTTCAGAGACAACATTATCAACAAAATCAGCTGGAAAAAAATCAAGAAATAGTCTCTAACATTTCAGGCATAATATATTCACAGAGAGAGAGAGGGAGACATGGGGTTTAACGTCCACGTGACACAAACTAGGTCATTTCGATACTAACATATAGCTCTATTTTATTTCAATAATTCGCTTGCACATAGGGGTCTTTAGCAGTGGGAGGACCCGGAGAAAACCCACGAGATTGGACAGACGGCCCTACTCTCTGTCACGTACAACCGGGGAATCGAAACCACGCCAGTTGATTCAATGACAGACCATACGATACAGTGCACACGTTCTAACCATTCGGCAATCCACATATATTTAGGGTTATCAGGGTGTGATTCCAGAAGCATGACATGAGAGACCATCAGAGGGGTGAAACTCTTTCTGAAAACCAGCTGCTACCACTTGCCACCAAAGTTATCTGTTAGGATAAACCAAATTTGTAGTTATGTTGAGGACTTGATTAATAAATATACACTTGAGTCCTGTGAACATTTTTATAGTTTAAAATTTCAAAACTAATAAATGTGGAAGTAAAAGCCGTTTAAGACATGCATAGAAGTAAATTTTGTTTTTTAAATTATTATTTTCTCTTCTAACAAACAAGAAGCAAAGTTATAATTTGTATTGTCTTAGGGGATTTTGCCTCATAACAAAATGTTGTCTTCACAATATTGTATAGTGTTTCCTGCAATGTCCATTAATTCAAACCGACTACACACCTTTCGCAAACATTCTTGCTTTTGTTGAATTTTTGCCTGTTTTACTGTCTAATGGTGTCATTAAACTAGCTGTTGGGGTGAGGGTACGATAAGCAGTATCTTGTGGCCAATCAGATCGTCCAACCTGTATCTCTATATTACCACACCAAATAGAACCTGAAAAAAAAACCAACCCATATCTTCATGTTTAGTCTTCATTATTTTTGTGCAAGATTCTCCATATCCAACAAAAAAGGCTTATGAACAAAGCCTAGTCAACATAACTAAAAAAAAGATGTTGATAAAAATATGGTGACAAATAAGGGAGAAAACCAATAAAACAGCAGCACTTGAAAACCTTCGAACTGGGCTGGCGAATTTACTCCTTGGGATCGAAACAATGCCACCTGACTCAATGAATGAGCTCATGATCTAAAGTGCACATGTTAGACCACTCAAACCCGGGAAATTAGGTCAACAAAACTGACATTCCTTTCAGACATTGAATATACCAGCCGGTATTGTAATTTGCAAGGGATTCAAAATCCCCCAATTGACGATCAGCAACTTTCAAGTTTTATCTATACTGTATTATGTATATCAAAACTACCTTCTGAGAATAACATCCGTGGACTGTGGTCAATGCCCATTTTGGAAATTTCTTCAATTAGGCCTATTAAATGATTGAAATTATCAAAAGATTCTAAATTTCAAATTAAACTTAAAGTTACCAATATCAATATTAGATAAATAACAAAAATCTTCCAGCTGTAGAATGGCCTCAATTTGTCCTGATCTTTCTTTTCGATGTGACAACCATTTTTTACATTCATTAACATTAAGTAAATTTTGAACCCTGTGAACATCATCCTGAAAGCAAAATAACAAATGTTTGTGAAGTACTGTAGTAAAGACATGGGACATACACGGGAAGATACAAAAATAAAATGTACACAAAATGTGATAAAAGTAAGATTGTCTTATTTGTACTACGTAGCCCAAGATGAGAGAGAAAATGTTGTTGGTATGCAGTGTCTTGAATTTTTGTACAACTGGAATAGATTAGACAAAGCAGGCCTGTGAAAATAGTAAAATTGCTCCGAAAATATCAATAGTTCAGATTTTCATATGCTTGTGTAAAAGCATTACGTACAACTATACATGACATGGCCAAGGGTTTAACTGAATGCTGTGAATCAATATTGGTAATGTGATTTAAAACCATCATTTTTGACATATGTATATAATAAAATTTATTCTTTTCCCACTGTAGAGGCACTGCCACTAGACTATAATGTTGACAAAGTAAATCGAATCGGTACAATAACAAATGGCTGCATTTCTATCATTTCGAGAGATGGATCACATCTTTTGAACATTTTAATTGATCCATATGTTCATTACAATAGGATCAGAGGTAGGCAACCCAGGCTGTTGTCCTCTACATGAGAGGTCCATAGCTCTGACCTAATTCATTGAAATAGGGAATATTGAAATTAAAATAATGAATGTAAACAAACCGGGAATACATTTCATTAAAGAAAATTCAGACAAGCAGTGATACTGCGACCTTATTTTTTGATTAAAAATGATGAAATGGCATGTATGTGAATAGAATCAGAAGTTGACAAGGCTATATTTCGAATAAATACTGTGTTATTACTTGAGAACTGAAAGATACGACAAATTTGAGTAGAACAGGCGCCATCTTGAAATGTGGCGGGATTGTAACAACTTCCAAATATAGAACTTCAGGTAAAGCAAACGAAACGAATTTGTTTCTGGAAATATTGTAATGAAGCACTGCGTCAGAATATGTGACGTAACATTTCAGTTATATTTTTAAGTAATATTTTTAATCATAGGAATCACCTCAAATATTTATTTTTGTTCAATATTACATGTACTACGGAAAGTGATTTCTTTAATTATCCATTATCAAATATTAATTCACCGCCATGGAGAATTCGTCGTCTGCTAGAAAACAAAATGGAAAGTAAAACAAAAAGATTGTTGCTCTTCAACATTTAGAGATTATATCAAGGGAAGGTTTATGCAAAACCTATCGTAGTTTCAATTGCAGTCTGTGATATATCTGGTAAACCAAAATTCAATGTCAATGCCTGATACCACCGTGACAAAGTTCGATCCTAATTAAAACTTTTAATATTATAAAGGCTCAATACCACTAGGCCTATTGTTGTAATTGAATAATATGCCCCAATATTTATTCTGGTCAACAAATTGTACAAATTTACAATATTCCAATTAATTGATGATACAAATTTTATCTTAACACACCTAATTTAAAAAATTGGAAAAATTCAACTAAATGATTTGAAAAGCCTAACGTAAACCTTTTCAACTGTGACTTGGATTTTAAAATATTTTCGAACCCTCTGGACAAGTAAAAAAATAGGATTTAATGGATAATTTACACAACAGGTAGGACAATTAAACATCTAATACTTAGAATAAGGCTATGATTTATTTTCTGGAGCTGTCAAGCCAGCAAGAGTGTTATTGTCCCTTTAAGTAGGCCTAGTAGTAATAAGATATAAGCCTTCCGACCTACTAAACCTACTCAGTCTAGCAGGCAGGTAGATCTACTCACTGAGTCTAGCTTTATTTAGCAGGGGAAGGTCAAAAAGTTTAGGCCCAGTTTTTTTGGGTTTTTTTTTTGAATAATAGTGCATTTCTAACAGTGTAGAGTTTTCGCCAATTTTGGAATTATAGTATTATTATAGTTATAGCTGATACGGCGATAGCCTATGCGTAGGTCCAAAACAGTTATCACTCAGCCTTCTTGAGTTCTGGATGTAAATTTCTAAATCACATACTGTGTGTTACCCCGAGAATAAGTAACTGACAGTCTGTATTTTTCTTTGTGACTATAAATGAGATCTAGCTGTTTCTCATGAGCATAATGATGGGACAAATGCATTTCACTTAAAATGCAGTCAATTCCCTCTGTAATGCGAAATGTGATGGGGTCTCACACAGGTCAGAAGCCCCAGATTAATCTGAAAGTGTGCGTGTGCGAGAACTCTATTTCAACCAAAGTATATGAGCCTAGATAAATCATGTCTTAGATGTTGATCTATGATGATGATAGATTTTAACCTTTTTTGACTAAACTAAGGTTTTCATTGCCATTTGCACATCTTCAGTTTTTTCTTTCTTTTTTAGTTTTCAGAGATGTATAAATCCAGCCAATCTAAATACAGACCAACATTTCAAGCTCCAAGAGTTTTGAAGAATCCTTTTGATAAAGAAAATGATGCCAACAACTTATCACAACTGTTGAATGAATCACAGCAGATGCCACAAGTTCTTGAAAACAAATCATGCAATCTCTTTTCAGTTCCTGAAGCTCCATCATATTTTGAAGGCGACATAACAAACAATAAAAACATTACTTTATCACAAATTTTACCATCATCCAAACCCAAACCAGTTAGAAAATTGAGTGTTCCGATGTTAAAGAAACAAAATGATGATGACCATGAATTATTACAAAGCACACAGAGAGATCTGACATTATCTCAGTTACTAGGATCTCCGCCGAGAAAAACATTAGGGTCTTTGCAATCTTCTTCAGTGCAAGAAAAATTAAAAAATCCTTTTCTTGAGTCTCAGGATGATGCATTTAGAACTCCCCAAATTACAAGGAAAAAAGTATTCAAACCTCCATTGGATGGAAAGCATGAAGAAAAATATTCGGAAAATTCTTTCTTCCCATCGAGGAAACTGATTTTCTCCCCATCAAAGAGGAAGAAATCATCAGATCCATATTATTTTGATGACGAAAATAAAGAATTATTTTCACAATCCACAACAAAATGTAAACCGAATCATAACATACATAGAGCATTTGCATCACAAGATGTGAACAAAAACAATTCCTTGACAAATAGAACAAATTTATTTCAAAATGATACAAACAATATTGTACCAGAGGCACCTACAGCTAATAATCTTTTTTCTGATGAATCAAATTTTTGTGATCTTTCTGTGTCTCAGACCCAACCAAAATATACCGATGGTCGAAATAATGAAAACTTTCGAAATGGTAATCATCTCTTTCTATGTGTTTTGTTTTGTTTGTTAACTTGTGAAGTTAGGCACAGGGTTGTCTCACCTTTAATATGCTTTACAAATCAGGTCAATTGTTTTGAAAATCCATAATATTCTGTTCATCAACCTATAACTCTTACAAAGGTTGCGATATAAAGGTGTGTTTGATTGAAGCATTATAGCGATTCCCCGATATACTGAAGGGCTTCACCATAACATATTTAGTCTGCGATATCATATATGGTGGAAGTGGACGTTAAGCCTTAAAGATGGGTTCCCAGAAAAGTATTTACTGGTTGGTTATTTCCAATAAAAGTATGGCAATTTTGGTATATATTGAAAGTAGAGATATCTAATCTTACTAGAAAAATACTTGATTCCCCGAAAAACACTCATGGAGCGTATACAGGACAAAAATGTAAGGGTTCCCCTAATGGACAGCCCGACGATTAGGAATTTCTGCATGCGTGATGTCAAAGATCACACGCGAACATTGAGCGCTTGATGTTAGACGTACAACACTTACTGAGATAAAAATGACGGGAAAAGACGCGGGTAGGGGATAATCCTAGAATTTAATTAGGATTCGATATTTGTAATAAATAGTAAGCGATTCAAGACAACATCGTCTTATGTATGCAATGAATTCTCCTCTGACTTACGAGAGAGGTAAGTCACGTGACATAAACATGACCTGGTTTGATCAAATTTTTATAGCAGGGCATTTCTTGTTTCTTGGCATTTACAATGTTTGAGAAGGATTTGAAGCAAAATTATGACAAATTAATTAGTTTGAATATGTTTTTAGTCCATATATACCATTAAATCACCCAGTTTGTACGTGGGAATGTATCTTTAAACATACATTATGCAAGAGCTAAATCTGCCTATTACAGGTCTTTTTTTAGCAGGGCATTTCTTGTTTCTTGGCATTTACAATGTTTGAGAAGGATTTGAAGCAAAATTATGACAAATTAATTAGTTTGAATATGTTTTAGTCCATATATACCATTAAATCACCCAGTTTGTACGTGGGAATGTATCTTTAAACATACATGATGCAAGAGCTAAATCTGCCTATTACAGATCTTTTTTTAGGCCTGAAATTTTTTCTGAATTATTAATTAGACATTAATTAACTTATCCAGGCCATAATCAACTCTCGAGACTTAGCTTCTAACAACCAGTCCTGTGGTTGAAATTATTGCACATGCCTCGTCAAACCTTCAAAGGCTAATATCTTCGCTCGCAATATAGTAATTTGAATGAAATTTTCAAATTATCCATTTTACATTATCTATTTTCGAACTATTATAACAATTATAATGTATCTTTAAGGAAGGAAGGAAGGAACAATTCACCATAACAACACTGTTAAAAATCATGTTGATCTTGGCCGCCTTAACCTGAAACAAACTTGATCAATTTGAATTAAGGAGGAATCCTATTGAAGTTCAGGATTATCTGATTTCAAATCATGTAATCCCTCCCATTTAATTAATGAAATCTTATGAACAAGATACATGACAGGACTTTGTTGTTGGTGGGCATATGACTGGCTTTGACAAGCTCCCTTTTATGATTTCGTTTTGAATTTCAGATGTAGAAAGAAGGAATGAAGATTTGAACATGCAATCACAAATGTAGGTTTGGCATACATGATGTAGTATTAAATTTACCAAGTGAAAAATAACAAACGTCTAGTAGATGATTTGGACCCATGACAGCAAAATAAGTAGGAAGTCACAAGTTATTGTATACAATAATGATACATGAACAAAAATATCAAAATAGGCTAAAAATATCAAAAAAATTAGTTTGCCTTATTGTCAAATCTAAACACATTTTGTGTTAAATCATAAAAAATATATTTTTAGCCTATATTAACATATTTGTTCATATCATAAAAGACTTCAGATTAATTTTGCTACCACAGGTCATATTTCATTTAAACACAGGAAAATTATGATAATTTCAAACAATGAAAAAGAAAAAAAATCATATTCATATTTGGAAAGGGAAAATTAAAAAAGCAACAAAAAAATAAACCATGTGAAATTCCTAGTTTTTACAATTTGTTTCTTTGAACAAAATATGTTGGATGTTAGTTTAGTATAAAAGAAAGAATAAAATGAAACTAATTGACATCTAGTTTTAATCCGATTTCAAAAGTGGATGTGACAGTAGAGTAGTCTGAATTGAGTTATGATGATCCATGCATCACCTCACAAATTGAACTCAATGTTGCTGGTCATGGAGATTTCCAACCAGTTAGAACCCATAGCATCAACCCTCTAAGAGTATCACCTACCAGAATCAAGTTCTAACCAGCCATATTTCTGTTGCTCCACCCCCTAATTTCCAGGGTCCCCTGCTAGAGGATTGATTGACCTTTGTCTCAGACCTTCCCAAGGGTTTTCAAGGTAATGGATACCTGTGTGTGGCCCCTATTGTGAGCATTACCATCACTCCCTGTGTAGAAATTGACTAGCCAAACACTTATATTTACAGCATATTCGGTGCATTTTATTTAGATGATTTCTAAATTAAGATATTCTGTTTAAGAACTAGGAGGTGAAAAATATTTCCGTCTTTCATAATAATTTAAGATATATTTCAAATTATGATTGAGTTTTACTCCAAGGTTATGAAAAATATATTATCACAGATTGACAATGTTAATATAAGAAAATGAGTGAAAGACATAAGTTAAAATAATTTCTATGTAAAGGGAGATAATTTAGATATTTCTTCTTTCTCAGTTTTACCTCAAGAAATATGGTGTCTTAATGAGTTAATGAATTAAGTGTTTGTCACTTTGAATGAAGAAATTTTAGTCTTTTAAAGACACCTTCCTGTTAAAATAGGGAAATGATGTAAAGACTAAAATGTTTGCTGTGTCAAGGGAGATAATTCATGTATTTTTTATTGATTTGATATGGTGTATACATTTCTGAATCAGTGATGTAAAGTTATAAAACGGAGAGCTAGAATTGTAGAATTAAAAAGCATGTACCTGTTTTTAAATTGATTAATCTTAGTTTAGTGACAGCAAACTTTATTTTTTATTTAATGAGAAAAAATATTTGAAGATTACCTGTGAGCAGATTATCTGGAACAGTTAAATCTGATTCTGAGAATTGTAAAATTAGAATACATACCTGTATTGAAATTAATTTTTAGCAATTTGGTTATGGCAAATTATTATGTAACATAATGCATCAAGGGAGATGTTTAGTGAAAACATTACTTGAAGATTATCTGGGTGCTATCACATGTGAATCCCCGGTTGTATGTGACAAGGAGTAGGGTCGCCTGTCCAACCTCGTGGGTTTTCTCCGGGTCCTCCGGTTTCCTCCCACTGCTAAAGACCCCTACGCGCAAGCGAATTATTGAAATAAAATTAAACCATATGTTAGTCCCGAAATGACCTAGTTTGTGTCGAGTGGACGTTAAACCCCATTTCTCTCTCTCTCTCGCTATCACATGTGTATGGTGTATGGATGGAAATATTTCAACAGATTCTGATAATACTGTGTTTATCCTTGAAACAATTTATTTTAAATTTTCAGTTCATTGTTTGAAGAAAGTTCCCAGAGACTAGATTACAGAAGAAGATCTGGTGGATCAAAAGATGTTTCAATATGTAAAACACCTGCTGGGTATAAATATAAAAAATCTTCAGATGATTTCAATACACCTGCTCCACTCACATTACCAGGTAAGATGTGAAAAAATTGATTCTAAGAGAATAAGTGGGGTTGGTTGGTCTGTCATTCAGACAAGTGGCTTGGACTCCATCCCAAGCTTGTCACCATCTAGGTCCTCCAGTTTAATCCCACTGCTAAAGAACCCTACGCACAAGCTTATTATTGAAATAAAATTAAACCATATGTTAGTCCAGAAATAATCTAATTGTGTCGAGTGGAAGTTAAAAGCCATTTCTCTCCCTCTAACTGAAGGAATATAAATATATACTTTGTGGGGAATTGCAATGTTTGTGTCAAAAGCACATTGGACTACCACAAGTTGAAATCTGGGACTGTCTGTGAACTGAGACGAACCTTAAGTTTTTTTCAAAGCGAGTTCTCACTAGTTCATGTGATTTCGCTGGGGCTGACAAAATAAAGTATTGTTAGTTATTTGGATCAGATTAAAAACTAAGGTCTCATCTGCACATTGGTAGTGCATGTATAAAATCACTTGACAGTTGAAAATTTAGGCAGAAATGTCACTGCTGCGGTTAAAATTTTCTATTACCAATGACCGTATGTTAGTCTCATATTGGTTGAGGTATTGTATAAATGATATGTTTACACCCCAAAGACAGGGCCTCCAGGTTTTTTTTTTCATCTCGCAAATTTTCTATCAAGTAGATCTATCAAAATATGAGAATTAGTTATTCCAATATACCACATAATCTCTTTAATTATTAAATTTCAGGCAACTTACACAAGCTGAGATCAATTGAAGAAATTCGTATCCTTTATTGAAGCTTGGAAATAAGACACCTGTTACAAATATTATCTAGCACAAATGCAGTCTTTGTCTGGCACAATTCCTCTGGTGCCTATCTGGCACATCAGTCACGTTCTCACGATCCAATGAATCTGATATATTTAAATATTGAGAATTTTGCGTTTTTATCTCTGTAGCTATGGCTTTTCTCAGGGTTCTCTAGTTTGGTGTCAGCAAGCGAATTATTGAAATAGAATTGAACCATATGTTAGTCCAGAAATGACCTAGTTTGTGTGGAGTGGACATTAACCTCTCTCTCTCTCTCTCTCTCTCTCTCTCTCTCTCTCTGTGGCTCAGTTTGTTTTCAATTTAAGGGAAGACTGCATCACTACAGTACAAGGCAGTGGATGCATACTTGGTTCGGTAACACTGTTTTTGTTTATTACTTACAATGTCGGGGAGCCGTGGTGGCTCAGTGCGTAAGACGTTAGTTCATTAGCTTCAAGGTCCTGTGTTCCATCACGGTGTTGATCAAGAAAGTTCATCAGGATTTTCTGGTGTGGTTCCCTCTTTTTAGTGGTGCAGGACGGAGGGCCTGGACGGGAAAAAGGCGTCCTGTCTACACATTGGCGTGTATGTAAAAGAACTCTTGACAGTTGGAATTGGACATAAGAGTAGGCTGTAGTGCCACTGTATGGTGTATGCCCGTCTTCAATAACCCAGTCGTTGCAGAACCCATTTCATTTCATTAACAAATTGCCTTATTGGAAGACAAAGCTGATGGTAAGCATAGTTTTTATTTCATTGTTTTCTTTAATACAATATTGACATCGTGTTTTAATCCGAATTTAAAAGAGGAAGTGACAGTAGAGTAGTCTGAATTGAGTTATGATAATCCATGCATCACCTCACAAATTGAACTCAATGTTGCTGGTCATGGAGATTTCCAACCAGTTAGAACCCATAGCATCAACCCTCTAAGAGTATCACCTACCAGAATCAAGTTCTAACCAGCCATATTTCTGTTGCTCCACCCCCTAATTTCCAGGGTCCCCTGCTAAAGGATTGATTGACCTTTGTCTCAGACCTTCCCAAGGGTTTTCAAGGTAATGGATACCTGTGTGTGACCCCTATTGTGAGCATTACCATCACTCCCTGGGTAGGAACTGACTATCCAAACACTTATATTTGCAGCATATTCGGTGCATTTTATTTAGATGATTTCTAAATTAAGATATTCTGTTTAAGAACTAGGAGGTGATAAATATTTCCGTCTTTCATAATAATTTAAGATGTATTTCAAATTATGATTGAGTTTTACTCCAAGGTTATGAAATATATATTATCACAGATTGACAATGTTAATCTAAGAAAATGAGTGAAAGACATAAGTTAGAATAATTTCTATGTAAAGGGAGATAATTTAGATATTTCTTCTTTCTCAATTTTACCTCAAGAAATGTGGTGTCTTAATGAGTTATTGAATCAAGTGTTTGTCACTGTGAATGAAGAAATTTTAGTCTTTTAAAGACACCTTCTTTTTAAAACAAGGAAATGATGTAAAGACTAAAATGTTTGCTGTGTCAAGGGAGATAATTCATGTATTTTTTTATTGATTTGGGACAGTGTATACATTTTCGAATCAGTGATGTCAATTTATAAAATAGGGAGCTAGAATTGTAGAACTAGAATGCATGTACCTGTTTTTAAATTGATTAATCTTAGTTAAGTGATAGCAAACATATATATTTTATTTAGTGAGAAAATTGCTTGAAGATTATCTTCGAGCTTTCACATGTATATGATATCAGCCAGTAGCAACAAAGTGCTTTACAGATGGAAACAGTTAAATATGATTCTGAGAATAGTAAAATTAGAATACCTACCTGTATTGAAATTAATTTTTATACACCCACATTGAAATGTGGTCGTATATTGTCGTCGCCCCCATCCGATTGACTTTAAATTTATACACAGTGTTTAAGGTCATGAGAAGAAGAAGCCTGATTTGCAGCGATTTCCAATAATTACTGCCAGAGTTATGGCTCTTGATTACTTTGTCATGGAAGACAAAGCTGATGATTAAGCATAGGTTTCATTTCATTGTTTTCTTTAACACAATATCAGCTTCTAGATATAGAGATATATTTGAGTTTCCATATTTTAATGTTATTCAGTCTATGGTATTTGATGAGGTAAGTATGATATTGCTGACAAGGGGAAACCACACTGGACAATCCTGAGAAACTTTTTCGAGTGCACTTTACTCAATGAACCACAAAATGGTGAATGTTCATGTAGTTTTGCTTGGATTAGAAGGCTTTTGAAACTTGTATATTATGAAAGATCTGATTATTTAGTTATCAAAATAAACAGTTCTATTTTTCATGTTTCAAATTTAAAGAGCTAGATGACCCTTCCTCCTGAAATTAAGACTGACAAACTTTTAGTATTGAATAATCGTCTATCAAAATTAATAACTATAATTTTTCACATTTCAAATTTAAAGAAGTTAGTAAGATGACCCTTCCTTCTGAAATTTTTTAGTATTAATCGATTCCCCGGTTGTACGTGACAAGGAGTAGGGTTGCCTGCCCAACCTCTCGGGTTTTCTTCGAGTCCTCTGGTTTCCTCCCACTGGTAAAGACCTCTACGTGCAAGCAAATTATTGAAATAAAAATTGAACCATGTGTTAGTCCCGAAATGACCTAGTTTGTGTCGAATGGACGTTAAACCCCATTTCTCTCTTCTCTCTCTTTAGTAATAAATAACCATCTATCAAAATGAACAACTTTAATAAACGTTTGTATTATGTTTTTTCACATTTCAAATTTAATAAAAGAGATTTATATGTTGTTGTAGGTATTTTATACAGATAAGTCTATGGTTGTATCAGCACCAACAGGTTCGGGTAAAACAGTTGTATTTGAGATAGCCATTGTTAGACTTCTTACAAATACAGACTATAGCCAGACAAAAATAGTTTACAGTAAGTTATAAACAAAGACAGTAATTTATTCAGGAATATTACTGACGTGAACTTCAAGCTGAATTAAATATGGAAAATTTTCAAAAGGTGTACCTATTTGTCGTTATTTTTGTAGTAATCACATACATTAGAATATGATATTCTCCATAATAAATTACCAAGAATTATTTTTGTTGAAGTTATATTAATGGAAATGGAAGCTTTTAATTACCCAATTTCTTACCAGGACCTCATTTGACCCAATTCTGGCCATTTCAAAATGGATTAAGAACCCTGAGTTATACAGGGTTCTTAAAAAAGTAAAAGTGTAATTGGTTTGATTATTATTTAATTAATGATTTTTTAATCCCATCTATTATTAACAATAATTGAGATTAGTAATAGTTATACTCTTGGTACAGTCAATGTTTTTGGAATTCTTTGAAATTTTGAGTCTAATTCACCACATTTTGATGTCCAGTTAGGCATATTGCATATTTTTGTGATCAGTCTTTGTCAATCCAGATGGATATGTTCAGCATATGTTGGAATAGAGTTTGTTAATTCTGAATATAAAGTCACATTATAAACATACTTATGTAATTTGCATTCAGTGAAATACTAAAATATTTTTTACTCACATGCATAAAATTTGTTGTTTTATAACCCTTGACAGTTTGAATTCGAAATTAGTGTTGGCCGTAGCGCCGTTATCCGGGCAAAATTTCCCTAATAGCCCACTACATGCCATATGCCTGTCTTTAATAGCCCAGTCGGAGCAGAATAGTAGGACGCTAAACCTATTTCATTTTTATATTTTAGTGGCTCCTGTGAAAGCTCTTTGTTCAGAACGGTTTAATGATTGGAAGGAGAAGTTTGGACCACTGGGCGTAATCTGTAAGGAATTAACGGGGGACACAGTATCAGATGAATTTCAGGATTTACAAGAAGCCAACCTGGTGCTTACTACTCCGGTTAGATTATTTTTAAATTGTTAAATTGGAATATAAAAACTTGGTCAAGTGTTTTTTAAAAATATCGAAAATGACAATTTTCTGTTTATGGTCATGGAAATATTAGGAGATAGCATTGCCTCAGAATAACAAGTAGACTCAAACATTCACATTTTCCTTCTTAATTTGCATAATTGTGACGTTCATAATCTGATATGATTGATAATGTTTTATGGCCTTGTTGCAAAAATTGTATCATTATTCGTGAGTACTAAAACTTTCAATTCATTTATACAAAATAAGCAAGTGTAGATTTCTAATGATTTTTGTGATATATATATATTTGACGATGATATGTTGTAGGAGAAATGGGATAGTATGTCTAGAAAATGGAAGGATAATAAATCTTTGTTCAACAATATTGCTCTGTTTTTGGTAGATGAGGTTAGTTGATCTGTTAATAGATTAATACAACAAGGTAACATAAAGGAGCTAAATCTCTTTGAATTAAGACAATCTGGTGTGCAGGAACCAACCCCTGACTCCTTTATAGGAATCTGAAATGAAATGTCCTACTTTTCTGTAAGACGCGTATACACCATACAGTGTGCTATGAGGGAATTTTTGCCTGGACATCGGCACTATGGCCTAATCTTATATTGAATTTTAACTGCCAAGTGTTTTTTTTATGTATGGGACATTGTTTTTTTGTACCATCCGAATGGCTATATGCTGTCCCTTACGAGATGGTTACTAAGTTTTTATATAATTCTTACAAACTTTTATCATATATTCACTTGTTTGAAACTTTCTGAATGTTAACAAATATTACCAATGTACCTATTTTAATTCTCTATTTCTATAGATCCATATATTAAATGATGAAACACGAGGTGCAACAGTAGAAGCTGTACTCAGTAGAATGAAGACCTTGATATTAACAGATCTAACAAAACAACCAAATAAAACACCAATCAGATTTATTGTTGTATCAGCCACCATTCCTAATAGTGAAGATGTAACATTCTATTTCTTATTTTTCTTTTCATCGGAATTTGTTTGATCTCTTTTGGGTCATTTTTTTTGCACTAAGTTGAACATGACAACAGTTTGTGTGCTGCATTTTGTTGGAACAAATATTTATCAGAATATTTTACATATATGTAGCTTTTCATGATTTAGGTGAATTTTTTCATATTTCGATTAGAATACTTATTTTTGACAAAGTTTGGGCGAGACAGGATTTGTGTTTTTCTTTCTATGAACATCCAGGGTGAACAAACAGGATAGTATATAAATTGTCGAGGAACTCTAGAACTCAACAACATTTCACTGATTTGAATTCTGTACTTTTTATTTGGTAAAAAATGAGAGACAGAAATGGAGTTTATCGTCCACATGACACAAACTAGGTCAGCTTGGGACTAACACATTGTTCACTTTTTATTTCAATAACTGGCTTGTATGTAGGGTCTTTAGCTGTGGGAGGAACCAGGGGATAGTAAAATATATATTAATTTATAATAATATACGTCATGTATTAACAGTTAGCTGATTGGTTAGGAAGTTCTGAAAGACCAGCAAAACCAGCATTAAATTTCAGGTAAATATTTCATGGACTGGCTTTAATATCTTTTCTGAGGTGTACCAATTAATTTTTTTTTATGCCACAAGTTCTAAAAAAGACAATGTTCTGTATTTTGTCACTTTCTTTATTTATTTTTTGTGACATTTGTAACCTCCTGAGACACTTATAACCTCCTGAGACACTTATAACCTCCTGAGACACTTATAACCTCCTGAGACACTTATAACCTCCTGAGATATTTATAACCTTCTGAGGCATTTATAGCCTTCTGAACATTACCTTCTTAGTCTTATAACCTTCTGAAACACTTATAACCTCCTGAGACATTTGTAACCTCCTGTGACAATTATAACCTCCTGAGACACTTATAACCTCCTGAGACACTTATAACCTCCTGATACACTTATAATCTTCTGAGACACCCATAACCTTATGAGACATTTATATCCTTCTGAATATAACCTTCTGAGAATCTTAGTCTTATAACCTTCTGAGACACTTATAACCTCTTGAGACACTTCTTAGAACCCCTTGAGACACTGATAATTTCCTGAGACACTTCGAACCTTCTGAGACACTTCGAACCTTCTGAGACAAATTACCTTCTGAGACAAATTACCTTCTGAGACTCTTAGTCTTATGACCTTTTTAGACTCTTAAAACCTTCTGGGACACTTTGTATGTTTAAGTTTATAATGTTTTATGATTAAGTGTTGTTGTTGCTATATTGTTATATTGTAGACTGGATGAGAAATACCGACCAGTGAAGTTAAACAAGATAGTCCTTGGTTACGTACATAAAGAAGGAGAATCTGAGTTTAAGTTTGATATTAACTTGACATATAAACTAAAAAATATCATCGATACATATTCAAATGGTCGACCTACACTTGTGGTAAGTTCCTGTAGTGTATATTGTACAAATTTTACTTTCTTGACTTTTTGAAGTGTGACTTACATTTCATTTACTTGTATCCCTAGCACAAATTTTACTATAAAATTTTGTTGTATCTTGCAAGGATATTACAATTTTCAGCGTTATCCCTATATTTTTGTAAAATGTATATTTACATGTTTTTCGCTTTAACCCCATATTTTTGGAAAAAATATATATTTACATGTTTTTACACTTAAAAGCAATTGATTTCACTGTATTTATTGTGTTTCAAGGTTATTTTTTTTTAAATTCTTATTTTATGGTATTTAGGTTCTCCTAGCATTTCATTTCTCCAGCCTGTTAATTTCACTGTCCATCAATCAGGACTGGCATATGCAACTCAAATGCTAACCCTGCTCCCTAATAAGTTAATTTCACTGCAGGCGGGCTAGTGTCAGGATCAAACATGCAACCATGGAGACTAGCTTGCTAACTGTTGTGTCATTTTTGTTCTAGCATACAAGATGTTCGAGAAATATTCTCATTTTTGTAGATTCCCTCTTATTGTGAGTTTTTCATTTTAAGAGAAGACTGTATCACTACAGTACAACACAGTGACTGCTTGCTTGATTCGATAACACTTTTTTGGTTGATTACTTTCAATGACGGGGAGCTGCAGTGATTTTGTGAGTAAGGCGTTGGCCCGCTAACCTGGATGTCCCGTGCTCGATCCGGGTGTTGGCTGAGAAAGTTCATCATGTTTCCGCTTTCCCCCTTGTTAGTTTTGTAGGATGTAGAGCAAGTTCCCGGGTACACATTGGCGTGTACGTAAAGGAACCATTTACAGTTGGAATTCGAAATAAGAATAGGCCGTAGCACCACTGTCAGGACAAAATTTCCCTTGTAGCACTCTGCATGGCGTATGCCCATCTTCTTCATCCCAGTCAAAGCAGAACAGTAGGATGTTAAACCCAATTTCATTTCATTTTATTTCTTTTTCAGCACAATCGGAGCAGAACAGTAGAACATTGAACTCCATTTCATTTCATTTCATTTCATGTCTGCTTACAATGTCTGTGTGTTGTCCACAGATTTATCTTCCATGTTTCTATTTGTTTGTGTGTTGTTTTGTTCTCCTGCACTTACTAATTAAGACTTTTCCTTGTCAGACCATTTCAGTTTTTGGAACTAACATTTTATTTACATTTCAGTTCTGTTCTTCAAGAAAGATGGTGACCCAGACTGCAGATGTGCTGATAAAACAGAATCATGGTCGATCGTTCGCACAGCGTGAAAATAAAGATTTACTGAAACAAGAATCTGTAAAATTAAGAGAATCAAAAATAGCAGGTAAATTTGTCCACAGTAGCAAATAAGAAAACAAAACATATCAATTAAGGAATAAAATTTTCTAAATGATGTAATTCCTCAAGGTTTGTTTTTCACGTATTGGGGAGTATAGGCCACAAGATAGCCTGGATTGTTTATGACAAGCAGACGGGCTAATTGAAAACAGCCATCTTACATTTCACTCCATCCCAGAATTCCATCTAGGATCAAAGCCTTTGGTTATTCAAGGGAAGTAACTCAATTAACACAAAGAACTTTAGAAGGATTCAGACCACTATTTCTTAATGAATAAGTTGGTTTAGTAACGAACTATATGACAATAGCTATGGTACTCACATGCTGTTCCATTATGCCTCACTGTTATTATAAACCATTTGGCAGCATAATGTGGTTTATGTTACTGCTGAACCTACTGATACTAGACCTACCTTAGAAATTACTAGCTCATTGCATATAAGTGACAGCAAGTTGAAAATATAGGAATATTTTAAAATTATCTCCCTCTTTTAATGTCTCATCTGTTATTGTTATTACAAATATGGGGCCTTGTTTATTATACCTATGAAAAGAAAAAAAAATTAGTGTTGTCCATCAAGAGCAAATTCAATCTGCTAAACTACACATTCCAATTTTAATCTGATTATGTATAAATGGTTTGTGGTTTAATTCAGATCAGTTAAGTCATGGTATTGGGGTACATCATGCTGGTATGGATTCTCAAGATCGTCATTCGATAGAAGATTTATTCAGACAGGGTATATTACCAATATTAGGTATGTAAATAAAAGTTGGAACCCTTTGTTAACTAGGGAGTCACAGTGGCAGTAGATCAGTGAGTATTGAGTTGTCTCACTAACAAAACGGAGCCACAGTGGCAGAGGCTCAGTGAGTATTGAGTTATCTCACTATCTAGGGAGTCACAGTGGCATTGGATCAGTGAGTATGAACTTGGAGATTCCAGGTTTGATCCAGGTGTTGGCTGAGAGAGTTGGGATCTTTCAGCCAGGTTTCTCCTTGGCAACGAACAGCATCATGTTGTTCAGAGGGAGGTTCACATGTGTTCTCATTGGCTCGTATTGCTATTCATGCAAAGTTTTTCTTATTGTAAACTGCATGGCATATGCCTATCTTCATTAGTTTGGAAAATCAGGTCGTTGACCCCCCCCCACCATTTCATTTCCTTGTCAACTAACATAAGGTAAACCATGATGCTTGAATTTATGGATATGGGTGTAAAAGATTGACAGGTACTTGTTGATCAAACTGCTGGAGCTGCTGTCTCCTTCTAAAGTCCCTGTAACCTCATACTGATATGATCTGAAATCTCACCAGGGATAAGGGTTAGTCCTCACTCAGACAGACAGTATATTTTATATTCTTTTTATGTTGCGAAAACACTTCTGTCTAAGCAAAAACTGGTATATGCACACCTTCATTAGCTCTGTTGTTGCAGAACGATTGACAGCTTTCCTGTGATGTCAGCATTGATAGGGTTAAGTGGTCATTCAATGTATTTGAATCTATATACAGTATATTCCATATTCTATTGAAGTTGCAACATCAACATTAGCTATGGGAGTAAATCTACCAGCACATCTGGTAATATTGAAGTCTACAACGTTCTATAGTATGGGATGTCCTACAGAATATCCTGATACACAGATACTACAGATGATAGGTAGAGCTGGGAGACCTCAGGTACTTTTTAAAGATACATTATGGGAGATTAGATAGAAAGCTGGCTATTTTCACTATAATAGTTAAAAACTAAATAATGTAAAGGGAATTTGCTGAAAATTTCAGTCAAATTGATCCACCCTGAACCGAGAATTTGGCGATTGAATTTTAGGCCTTGCCTCGATCATCATTACTAAATAAAACTTGTTTTATACAGGGACATACAAAAATGTATCTTCCATATTTCAGGCCAAAAATGTTGCACCCTTCCAACAGATGTGGACCCTGCATTCTTTTATCAATCGTTATCTTGTTATTAAATTCAAGGCAAAAAATGTTGCAGCCCTTCCAACCATCATGAGTCCTGTATTCATTTGTCAATAATTATCAATTGTCATCAAATACTGACAAATACTGATTTCACTGGTGAACCCCAAAAATGTTGCAGCCTTTTGAGCAAAAGTGGGTCCTGTGTGCCAGTATTAGTGGTTATTTTGTCATCAAAAACTGATTTCATTGGTGAATCCCAATTACTGTCTCACAGGTCACAATTTCTGAGGTACGTCCTCTGTTCACATTGGAGTGCATGTAAAAGAACCCTTGGCAGTCGGAATTCGACATAGTAGACATTGCTCCACTCTCCGGTCAAAATTTCTGTCATAGCACAATGTATGGCATATGCACGCTTTCAACAGCCCAGTGGATGCAGAACAGTAAAACGTTAAACCCCATTTTATTTTATTTCTACTTACAATGTCTGTGTGTTGTTGATCTTGTCCACAGATTTATCTTCCATGTTTCTATTTATTTGTGTGTTGTGTTGTTCTCCTACACTTTTTGATTTCATTTCATTTCATTTCATTTCTTTCAGTTTGATACAACAGCTACAGCAGTAATTATGACAAAAACTTCTTCAAAGGTAAAACACATTTCTTTTCTCTAAACAGATAATTAAAAAATCTATGGTTACTCTATAATTTTCAGCAACTGAGCTCATTAAAAATTGAATGATCATTTACCTGCCCATCCATGTTTCTCCATGTCAATGGATCTGGATGGCATGCATGTAAAAGAAACCTTTGACAGATGAACCTGGAATACAATAAAGAGTAAGCAGACTTACTATTGTCCAAGCAAAATAGCACAGAGTGAGAGAGAGAGAGAGAGAGAGAGAGAGAGAGAGAGAGAGAGAGCGAGAGACAATCAACACAAACTAGGTCATTTCGGGACTAACATATGGTTCAGTTTTATATTTCAATAATTCGCTTGCGCGTAGGGGTTCTTTAGCAGTGGGGGAAACCCGGAGAAAGCCCACAAGGTTGGAGAGGCGACCCTACTCAATGATCATTTACATGGAATACCCACAGTAACATACAGCTGTGAATTAATATCCAAGTACAAATTTGATCTTTTATCCAATGAAAAGATAGCAGTCTTGAAATATTTTAGTTTAAGATTTCTTGAATAAGGCCCATGTTTTCTTGTATTAACCCTGCTCCCATGAGTTACGGTCGACCATGATTTAAGTGAACAGGTGTTGACATCTATATTTCAGGCAAAATATGAATCTATTGTTAATGGAACTCAAACCATAGAGAGCAGGTAAATGAATTTAATAGACAATACAGCGCATCAACTCAACACATAAAAGACAATACAGCGCATCAACTCAACACATAAAAGACAATACAGCGCATCAACTCAACACATAAAAGACAATACAGCGCATCAACTCAACACATAATAGACAATACAGCGCATCAACTCAACACATAATAGACAATACAGCGTATCAACTCAACACATAAAAGCACAGAATGAATAGAAATAAAATGGGGTTTAAAGTCCTACTTTTCTGCACTAAAAGGCAAAATAAAGAGGGACACACGCCATGCAATGTGCAGGAACTTTTGCCTGGACAATTGTGCTTCGGCCGGCTTGTATTTCAAATTCCATCTGTAAAGGGACCATGTTTTTATCCCATCCTAATGACTAGACAGAGAATAAATAAATTTAAGCTGAGTGTCAAGATGGATACAAATCTTTGAATGCACCACATGTGGACCTCATTTATCTGTAGCAAGCATATGGAATCGAAACATGTTTTTATTTAAGAATTAATTATGCATACATTAACCATATCTAACCATTTATCTGGGCATAATGGTAGCTCAGTGAGTATGGAGCTGACTCTCTAATCAGTAGATCTGTGGTGCGATCACTGTGTTGTCTTAGAAAGTTCGTTCATCCACGTTTCTCCTTGTCAATGATGCTGGATGGCATGCATGTAAAAGAAACCTTTGACAGCTGGACCTGGAATACAACATCTGATTAAGATACAGATCTATATTTCATTCAGTTTTTTTTTATACTTTTGATGGCCTACTCTACATGAAGATCTGTAGTGGAAGGTCTCGTCTGAGGACATACGAGCAGCTTTTCACCCTGTGACATCAGACATTTGATTAACCAATCAGATTTGATGTTTCTAGTGGGTTACCCACAGTTCCGTGCAGCTCACGCCTAAAACTCGCCGTAACATTGGCTAATCCCTCACATCATCCAGAACAATTCTTCCAGATCCTAGTGTAGTAACGACAAGTAAATGAACTTTTGAACTATAAAAAAACAAACGAAATAAGATCTGTGTTTTAATCAGATTGGGAATACAATAACGAGTAGGTGGAAATACTATTGTCCAAGCAAAATAGCACACAGCATATGGCGATCTTTGATAGCCCAGTTGGTACAGAAAAGGCGAGAGAGAGAGAGAGAGGGAGTTTAATGTCCACTGGACACAAACTAGGTCATTTCAGGACTAACATACTAGGTCATTTCAGGACTAACATACGGTTCAGTTTAATATTTAAATAATTCGCTTGCACATAGGGGTCTTTAGCAGTGGGAGGAAACCAGAGAACTCGGAGAAAACCCACGAGGTTGGAGAGGCAACCCTACTCCTTGTCATGTACAACCAGGAATCAAAACCATGCCAGTTGACTCAATGATAGACTTTATGATACAGCAGGCGCTAGCTAACCATTCAGCCATCTAACCGCCCAGAAAAGTAGAACATTAATCCTCATTTCAGTTCTTTATTTTATTTGAGAATGATTCATTCTTTTGTATATTTTCAGTTTACATAAGAATCTGATAGAACATCTGAATGCTGAGGTTGTTCTACATACAATAACTGATATAGCTCTAGCTGTAGAATGGATTAGACACACATTTCTCTATGTTAGAATCATGAAAAATCCCAGACATTATGGTAAATATAGAAGATTTAAAGTAGCAAAGACGTATTGTCAATGTTCTCTGAAGGCTTAAGAAATTGGATTTTCAAACACATTATTTGAGAAGTTCGGAGGGTTGTTTATTGCAGTGAGCTGTGTATGGCCATAATATAATATGTTTTTACTCAAAGGAAAAATTTGATATGAATTTTGTGGGGTGAAAAAATGACAAAATGGCTTTTTAATGTTCCTTATTCTACAAATGGTGACTCCGTTAGCATGGAATTTCCTCACTAAGAAGGAGGTGCCAGGTATGATGCTAAGGTTGACGAAGAAAGTTCCTCAGGACATTCCAACCATTGTCTCGTTATTTGGATTGGCACTGTCATAATTCTGTCAGTTCTCGATAACATGTTACATGTGTGGTGATTGGTGGAGATATATTCTTGTCAGAATTTTTGTGTAACTGAATTACAACTGTTTGTGAGATCGGGAGAATTCAATTTGTGAATGTTCAGTCAGGTGCCCTCAATAATTGACTTATAGGATTGAGTGAATTGAATTCAGGATTGTTTGATCAACTACTCTCAATAATTCACTGATAGGGTTGAGAAAACTGAATCCTCCTCCTATAGGATTGAGAGAATTGAATTCTTCCGTATATCTCTTTTACAATTTTGAATTGATTACAGGTGTACCACCAGGTGTTGACAAGAAACAGGTAGAGAAAAGGTTAGAAGGTAGGTGAAATAAATATGTTCATAACAAACTTTCTTGAAAACCTAAGCATTTGTATCGCCTAAAGATTCTTCGAAATTATATGTCAAATTTTCAGAAATTTTAAAGAAAAATCAAATTAAAATAAATTTGTTGAATAATTATAGATTTATGTCTAAAGAGTGTGAATTCGTTAGCGGGGATGAGTTTAGTTAAGATGAATGATGAAACACTAGAAATAGAATCAACAGGTATGTATTGGTATAAAAATATGGAGATTCATTGATTGGAAATGAGAATTCATTTTCAGAATATTTGCATTTCATTTAATCAATTCCGACATTTTCATTCCTCAGCGTACATGGTTCTGGAATCAGTGCATTCGTGCAGAGTGATTTTCCCCAGTAATACATTCTGTTTTGTAGAGTCTGTCAAGGAACAACCTATAGTTGTTCGAATGTTACAAAAAAGCGAGGTTCTGTGTACATATTGGCATGTACGTAAAAGATCCCTTGGCAGTTGGAATTTGATATGTAACACCATGTATGGCGTATGCTCGTCTTCATTAGCCGTTCGGAGCAAAACAGTAGGACGTTAAACACCATTTCATTTCATTTGTTTAGTAGAGTCTATTAATTTGAGTGGTATCAAACAATCTTCATATAAAGAGTGTCATTTTTTTAATGTCATTTTGAGACCAGTATTTCTGACTTGTGGGGATTAAACACGAATTTCTCTTCGTAATATCATTTTTCAGAAACTGGTAAATTAATGGCTAGATATTGTATAGCTTTTGAAACAATGAAGAAATTTCATAATATAACAGGAAAAGAGCATATTGATGAACTGGTGAGTCTGATTATTGACATCATTCTATCTAAATAAACTGCCATTTGTCACTTCATTTGAGGCTGGCAAGGAAAGTGTGTGAAACACCAAGGTCCATGCATGTACGTACACATTGGTTTGCATGCAAAAGACCCCATTGTGCGCTGAGACATCTCACAGTTGTGTACTGTTCAGGGAGAAAAATACTCATAGTATATATTTGTTTGAATTAACTTTAATAAAGGATTAGATACTCATGATATTGTATGTTTATGATTTTTAGTTAACTTTAATAACTGATTGTGCTGAGTTTCAAGATATAACTTTACGTCAAACCGAGAAAACAACATTAAATACACTGAATAAAGACAAGATCAAGGAAAGTATCAGGTAAATGGCTCTTCACAAATACTTCCATGTTCATTTCAAATACTTCCTTGTTCTTTTCAAATACTTCTTTGTTCATTTCAAATACTGCCTTGTTCATCTTCTATACTAATATTTGTGACTGTCGTTTGTCTGTTTGTCTGTCTGTCTGTTCGGGGTTGGCGGCTACACTAGGTCTGCCCCGAGTCTGAAATTTGGGGTATAGGGGTAGCTCGGACTGGGGAGTAACATAAGCCAGGTGACGTTAGTCTACCACTTCCGGTTTCGGAGTTATGACCCCCGAGCGAAGCCGGGTATCCTGCTAGTTTCAAATATTTCTTTGTTCATGTCTAATAATTCTTTCTTTGTACATTTCAAATATTTCCTTGTTCATTTCAAATATTTGCATGTTCATTTCAAATGTTTCTTTGTTTATTTCAAATGCTTCTTTGTTTATTTTAAATACTTCCTTGGTGATTTTTAAAAATGCACAAAAAATTGCAATATCTTCAGAAAAATGCATTTACAAGAGGTATTGGGGGTTCTGGAAAAGGTAAAGATACTCAGATACTTTTCAAATTTGAAACTTCTGAAGCTCAACCCTCCAGCTGTGCATTCAGTAGAATATGTACTATGCATTGTTTGTGAAATTATTGTGATAGAATATTTACTAAATCATGAGTTCTGACAACAAATAGTATCTAATGACTGCTCTACTGTCTCTAAACTATGTTTTTTTTAATTCTTTCTCAATAGATATCCTTTAATTGGTAAAATTAAAACAAAACAGATGAAAATCAACTGGTAAGGCCCATTTTTCATGAAAAGTCGTTCTAATGCAAATGTATCGGAACCGTGTCCTCGTAACTGAAGAAAAAGTGTGTGGAAATACACATGGAAAACAGAACAGGCTTAAGATAGATTTCAGTATTTCTGATATCATACTCACATTATAAAAACATGAAATATATTTTTTTAAGCCGCTGATTGTCATTTATATATTATGGCCAATATCTTATATTTAACAGTTTACTTCAGACTAAATGTAACTCATATTTAACGGCTTGCTTCAGATTAAATATACTCAAACTCATTATTTAACATTTAATTAAGAAAACAAAATCAAACATCAACAGTAGATAATCTCCCGGTTTGGATTTAATCAGATTAAAAACAAACCCATCAGGTGAAACTGGCTAGTTCACCTGTGGAGGATGATGAATGTGGACAAATTTTCATTTCACCATATCTTTGTAAATACCGAACAGATATCCCTTTTAGAGATTCAGCTTCACTCAAAATCCCTGAAATGACAATCTGTGGATTTAATTGCCTCAATTATCATATATGTTATTTGTTCTTTAATCAACGCTGTTATATTCTGATTTTAAAATTTTAATTCCAGTCTTATTCAAGCCTCATTCTCCTGTCTCCCTATTCACGATTATTCTCTCACTAATGATGTCACCAAAATATTCCGAGTTGGCGTTCGAGTTGTTAAATGTAAGTAGAATTTATAATTAATCATGATTACAGAAAACTTTTAATGGAAATGATTCAATTTTTATGGTCTTTGTTTTTGTTTATGTTCCGGATTTGTTTTTCAATTTATATATCGGTAGATGGCTATCAAGACCTGATCAAGATGAGGAATGAAAACTACTCCTTTTCAGTGAGATCTATTTTTCATCTTTCAATGTCAGAATATGAAGGATGAGTTAAGTGCTTTTAAAAGTCAATGACCACAATTTTATTTGAATGCAAAGAAGAAATATTGGATAGTTGATTAGGCCATTACTGAAATTTGTATTACTTGTATTTTGAAGGTTTATTGGAGTTTTTATGGCAGAGAAAGGACTATAAAGTTCTTCTATCAGCTATACAACTGTCTAAATGTTTTAAACAGAGACTCTGGGAAGATTCAAAATATGTCACAAAACAACTTGACAAAATAGGTATAATTTATCAATCCAAACAACATTATGGAAACTTTTGTAACTGTAGAAATTTTGAAAATGGGGGATGCCAGGAAAATTTACAATAGACACATAGTAACTGACCCCCTGCTTTAGGAGTTTTAATCTCGACTGTCTGTGTTGTAAATTTAATTACTGGTAAGATCTTCAGTTAACAAACAGATTCAGTACAGATAATCTAATAAAGATATGCTGCAGAAATAATGTCATAGGACGCAGAATGCCATTTCAACATCCCTCTCAAACTTCAGACACCTCGTGATAAATTACCACTTCAGTTAACTTTGAGAAATAAAATGAAATGAGGGTAATCTCCTACTATTCTGCTCCGACTGGGCTAATGAAGACGGGGATGCCATGCCATACAGTGTGCTATGAGCCTACTCTTATATTGAATGCAAACAGCCAAGGGTTATTTTATGTGTATTCCAGTGTGTACACGAGACCTTGGTTTCCCATCTGAATGACTATAGGTTGTCTCTTGACCGTCCCTTTTTCCTGCACCACTGACAAGGGGAAACTTTGAGAAAGATAATACTAGCTTAAAGTTAATTGTGTTATATGTATGATTATTCATGAGAATATTTTTTTAATTCAGATAATATCTTTTTTCATCATTCAGCATTCTTATCTTATCTTTGTTTCAGGAACAACAATTTCTCTGGCACTTGCCAATGCAGGATTAATCAGTTTTCATAAACTTGGTGAAACAAACCCCAGAGAAATAGAACTGGTATGTTTCTAAACATTGCTTATTTCAAGCTTGGTTCCTACTTGATGCCCATAATATTTTATGTTAATTAAGGTGTCATAAATTATACACAAAATTCTTTCTAATTCCTTAGATGTTAACACATAAATGTTATATGGAATATAATTAATGTTTTTACTGAATGCTGCTTCAATTTGGTTCTGCTAGTTTTTATAGAAATGTCACTCAGTAATAAACAGTAATTATATTCCATAAAATGGTGTCTTATGTATTTCCAGTTCTATTACTAAATTCGATTGAAACAATTTCCTTTAAATGGTGTTTGTGACTATTGAACTCGGCAACTCTATAAAGTACGGTGTTGTTTTCAGTAATACATCCACTTAAAAATATTAGATTGTAATTGGATATAAAAATGAAGTGAAATGGGGTTTAACATCAGACTGTTCTACTCTGAATTGGCTAATGAAGACAGGCATACGCCATACAGTGTGCTATGAGAAAAATTTTCCCAGACAGCAGCACTAAGGCCTACTCTTATATCGAATTCTAACGGCCAAGGGATCTTTTACGTGCACGCCAATGTGTACATCCGAATGACTAGACAGCTGTCCAGGTCAGGCCCTCCATCCTGCACCACTGACAAGGGGAAACCATGACAGAAAATCAGGATGAACTTTCTTGGCCAACACCGGGAGCGAATAATTGGATATTATATAACTACGAATCTCTGTTAATTAATTGAAAATGTGTTATATAGTTATATATACTTTGTGTTGTTTTTGATGTAAATAGTTCACCATACTTCCAGATGTCATTTAAGGAATTGCATATTTATATTGGGCAATAATGACAAACAACTGTGATGTTAAAATGTTTCAGATTGCCAACAGACATCCACCATTTGGTAATCAGGTAAAAGAAGCTGTATCTAGTTTACCTAAATATGAACTGGCTATTGAACAGGTAATTAGTAAAATATATTTGACTCTAGATACATGATGCTTGACTTGCATAGATCTATGATATTTGGCATTTTTGATTTTCAAATCTGGTTCACACTATTTAGAAGTAAAACACATGACAATGATAAAATTGAAAATCTATATAGTGACAAGTAGTCGTCCCAAATTTCTCTCATGAAGCTACTAGTTTTGTTCCTATGCGATATACCTGACAAAGGGTGTTATGTTGGATGAGATAATGTTGTCTGACATCTTATGGCAGTAAAACGAACATTCATTTGGAATAAAATGGGGTTTAAGTCTTACTTTTCTGCACCAACTAGGCTAATGAAGAGAGGTGCAGTGTGCTATGAGTGAAATTTTGCCCAAACAGTGGCACTACAGTCCGCTCTTATTTGAATTTCCAATAGTAAATCTCCTGCAAATAGTGAAATCAAGACATCGGTTTTCCATTTTGCCCGAACAGCTAGATGTTTATCCTTGTCAAGCTCTACGTCCTGTAGAGATTCATTTGAATTTGAGTAATGAAAAGAGACTCTAGTTGGCAAATCATCATTTCCAGATTATATTTAAACCAACAGGAAAGTGCACTAAATCTCATCAACATCAATGTAATTGTAAAATTTTCTGTAGCATGCCAATGTGTACACGGGACCTTGGTTTTTCGTCCCATCTGAAGGACTATACATTGTCCCTTGCCAAGCCCTTGGTCTTACACCACTGACAAGGAGGAACCACACTGGAAAATCCCAATGAACTTTTTCAGCCAACCTATCAATCGAACTCGAGATTTCCAGCAGGTTAGCGAGCCACCATGGCTCAAATCAGAAGACGTGATTGGGTATTTAATAAAGGCAAAATCCAAACTGAATAACTAAATATCAGTTAATCTTTTTGAATAGATTCTATATTTTTGTATTATGAAAAATTTTATAGGTGAAGAAATATAAAGAGAGAACAGCTGATCTGGTTATCACCATTAATCTGATCAATAAGGATATATTACAGTCTAAACCTAATACAAATCACCAGGCTTATTTCCTTATAGGTGATACTGATAATAATATAGTCTTTAAATGGAGAATCCTGTAAGTTTTCTATACTTCCATATGGTGTTGGCTTTTTATTTTAAAACTTGTTAAGGAGGTCAAGCAAATTGGCAAGTAGATCAGGCTGCTAGATGAGAGAGGAGATCAGGCTGGTGGGGGAAGATGTCAAGGTAGTTGGGGACATCAGGCTGGTTGGGGAGGAAATCAAGCTGCAGCCTACTCTTATATCAAATTCAAATGTCAAGGGTTCATTTACATGCCTTCAGAATGACTATACACTTCATGCCAGGCCATCTGTCATACATCACTCATAAGGGGGAACCACACCGGAAATCTTGATGAACACAAGGATCGAACAGGGCACCTCCAGGTTAGCGAACCAGCATCATACTATCTAAGCCACAGGGGCTCAGCACTCTCAATGTATCTAATAATAATAATACAGGTATATATTGTTATTTGTTGTTTTTCAGTGATTCTGTGTTGTTGAAAGACGATGGTTGGAGAAGAAAGATAGATGTTAAAAGAAATGAAATGGGTCCAGATTTATTTGTACATTTGTTAAGTCAAGAATGGGGTAAATTGGTTTCTTAGTTAATCTTTGCTTGTTATTACTTCACCCACAGTTCATATTGTTGATTGTCAATGCTGCTCCTCGTGGGGCGTTTTTATGCAATAAATTTACTTTACTTTACTTTTAGTACCATTGCCAATGATAATAAATGTTAATAATTGATATGAAATTTGAAGCCAGAAAAAAAACCTGCAATAGGCAAATTTAACTCTCAGATAATGCATCTTTGATAGGATAATTGATATGATAATTTAGTTTTTATCAAGCAATGATATACTGTAGTATATTATTATTAAACACTTGTTATTGCTTGATAAAGAGAAAAAGAGAAATGGGGTTTAACGTCCACTCAACACAAACTAGCTATTTTGGGACTAACATATGGTTTAATTTATTTCAATAATTTGCTTGCGCATAGGGGTCTTTAGCAGTGGAAGGAAACCAGAGGACCTGGAGAAAACCCACGAGGTTGGACAGGTGACTCTACTCCTTGTCACGTACTTAATGACAGACCCTTATGATACAACATGAACATGCTAACCATTCGGCCATCCAACCCCCCTGTTTGAGAAAGACTAAAGAAGCCTAGTTGAAGCATTACTAAGTAATAAACAGGGCCTTTATTCACGAAAACTTAAACTAAGATACAATCGAAATTTTAAGAAATACTGCAATTCGATTGGCTGACCAGTAAAATCAATTTGCATATATCCAATGAAGTTGCAGAATTTCTTAAAATTTCATTTTTAACTTAGTTTAAGTTTTCGAGAATAAGGGCCCAGGTACATATTCTATAGAATTGTGACCTGTGTGTTTCCAGTTTAATTACTTCCGGTAAATGCTGTTGAATCAATTTATTGTGATGTAAATATTTATTGTATTTTTTAGTTGGAATTGATATCCATACTGTTTATGTACCAATTTATACTGGTAATAACTCTATCAGTCGTGATAACCATCAACAGGTACTTGTCTGATTTCTTTTACTTCATTATGGTTTTACTCATTCACTGTACAGGTGTAACATGATGCCTGTGTGTTGAATTGAACCAACGACCCCAGGTATGGAACCAGTGGGTGAACAAATGTGAAGTCACCCCCGACCAAGTCTGTAGATATAAACTTTATACAGCTAAGAACAGAAATGAAATGGAATGAAATAAAATGAGGTTTAACGTCCTACTTTTCTGCTCTGACTGGGCATGAATACGGGATCACAAGACAGAACAATCTAGACGTCCCCTGCTACACGAACAATCACACAGCACACGACATACTGACATCCCTGCTACACAGGATCACTGTGGTGATGTGTTGATTGTTTTAGCTTCCATTTCAACTAATGTGTTTCTCTTTTATTTTCAAAATAATCCAGGCACACTGTACTCACTATAATGTGGTTCACTGGTACTAGTAGGTTGCCCGACACATCCAGAAATGGGCTCCAATAAAAAGTTGAACAAATTACAAACCTCACGTGACCATTTCTAAAATGATTATGATACAGCTCAGATCCACATGCAATGTCATGATATTCTCTCTACATCTATCAAATAATCTCTCTTTCTGTCATAATATATTTTTCAAAAAAAGTGATGGATATTGAAATGCAAATTCAACGCCATCGAAAAACACTGCAAGAATTGGTCGTGGCACTGCAAGAGGAGTGGGTCAGATTGCCCCAAATCATGATTGGACTGTTGATTAGGAGCATGCCACGATGAATTGCTGAATGTCTGAGGATTAGTGGAGCAATTACTCATTATTAAGACAAAAATCAAAAACGTCCATATTCACTTTTGACGGTGTATCTCTTTGCGAGTGAAATGGGGCCGTCAGATAATTCACCCATATGAACTGTTTATGTTAATGTATAGGCAATTGGTCTGTTATTAACATACACTGGTTACCTCTAATAAAAATAGCAGTGCATTTTCGCAGTTTTGTATTGTTTCAGAATATCCCCTACTTTTTTGAAGAGTATAGTTTATGATAAACATTTTGTTGTAATTTGTTACAGATTAAAAATGAAGTGCCTGATCTTCCTCGCCATCTGTCAACAGAAGGTAAAATCATACATCTGTTCATTCTAATTGAGTGCAGTTTCACCCTTTGTGATGCAAAAATATAAATTGATTCTAGAAATTATATTATTATGTTCTTGATGATTGACAGAACTCTACCATGTTAGATTTCATAAACAAACGAAATAATGGGTGGAGGCCTGAACAGCTTTCGCTCTCGGCGCCAGCACAGCTCTCGACAGCCCGGAACCTAGCTTACTCCTTCCCACTTGACTCAAACATACTATTATGTCTTACAGTTGAGTGTGGATATAAATTTCGAATGAGGGCCTCGAGGTGACTTTTGTTCTATTTAGCTCTCGACAGCCCTGAACCCTGCTTACTGCACACCCACTCTGCTCAAACATACTTGTTTATACGGCATAATATTATGTATTCCAGCTGTGTGTGGACATAAATGTGCCAACAAATCGACCTGTGCCCATAAATGCTGTAAAGAAGGTATAAACAATAGTAGACAAACTCCTAAAACACCAAAAGCATCCAAACAGCCGGTTAAATTACGTGGTTTACAAGCTCAGATGAATATATTAAAACACAGAACACAAGATTTACCACACAGTGCTAAAGATGTCAAAAGACCACGGGTAGGATATTTTACTACTTTGCTTCCAAGAGCTATACTTAGCTTCTTTTCTTATCCAAAAGGTTTTTTTTGAACATGCTTAGAAGGAGAGAGAGAGAGAAATGGGGTTTAACGTCCACTCGACACAAACTAGTTCATTTCGGGACTAACATATGGTTTAATTTTATTTCAATAATTCGCTTGCGCGTAGGGGTCTTTAGCAGTGGAAGGAGAAAACCCGCAAGGTTGGACAGGCGACCCTACTCCTTGTCACATACAACCGGGGAATCGAAACCACGCCAGTTGACTCAATGGCAGACTTTATGATACAGCGCGCACACGCTAACACGCTAACATGTGTACACGGGACCTCAGTTTTTCATCCCAACTGAATGACTAGACAGCTGTCCTTGTCTCAGGCCCTCTAGAAGGAAGATAAAAGAAGAAATTTATCTTTCTTGGTGTGTTAGTTTGGATAGAATTTTATGATTCGGTTTCTTGAAGCCGCTCCTAAGAAAACTAAATTGAAAGAAGTTGTTATTAAATGTAGTAAACAAAAAATTTACTGGACCAATTCGAATATTTTCAAGCCAAAAGTCAACTTATAAATATTAAGTGTTTTGAAATGGGCTGATATTTTAAGCAGCTAGAACTAGATTTCTATGACATGCAAATTATATTTGAATTTAATTTGATTTTAGATATTCAAATGAAAAATTACTGTGTCAGTAGCAAACCTGGAAACAAGTCACTTGTCACAAACATTGTCTGGTACAAATCCAGGTTCTGTCAGGCACTGTTCCTCTGGTGCCTGTAATTTTCTCAATCTCAGATTTGTCTATTTTCTGAATTTTTGTTGACACCTTTTGAATGCAGATTAAGTAGTTGATCAAGGTAGGTGTATAGATGCTATAACACGATAAATACGTTGATCACTTAATTACCTAATCAATCCAGTCTATTATCAATGATAATTGGGTTGAGTGGTAGTTATACACTCATATTCCTGGTCAGACAATTTAGGACGTTTTGGAAAAAAGCGACGGACATGTCCGGAATATATGGGCGAAATCCTATCACTGGTTGGTACAAGCATGGCACAACGATAAAAAGGTAAGGTAAAACATTTTGTCAGGTCCAACAAAAAGCATTATTTCAAGGCCCAATCAACAAATCTGAATTCTTTTTATTTGTCCATAGCTTGGTACAAATAGTTCAGGTCAACCAACACCGACCATAGATTTGAGTATGTACGCATATCAGAAGAATAAGATGGCCACACCACAACAACAGAAACCTGGTTGTAGTTATATTAATGAAACCCCTATAGAACGTGCAACACCTCAACATAATGAACAAGCATCTGTCAGTCATAATACAGGTAATATTTCAAAATATTGATATTGAATGGCCCCTCTCTGTTAATAATTATTTCCCCATTAAAAATTTGAGTTGATCAATTTCCTAGAAGTTTTTATTTTTTTACTCCCAGATATATCAGATTATAAGAAAATAACATTGAATAGACCAATTAGACCTGCTGTATCATAAGTCATCTGATGTGGTTTCGATTCCCCGGTTGAACATGACTAGGAGTAGGGTTGCCTGTCTAACCTTGTGGGTTTTCTCCGGTTGGGAAAAACTGAATCAACACCAACAAGAACAAGAATCTATCTATAATCAAGGTACTGGACAATCCTTCTTCATTATCAGTTAATATATCTATAATCAAGGTACTGGACAATCCATCTTCATTATCAATTAATATATCTATAATCAAGGTACTGGACAACCATTCTTCATTATTGGTTGATATATCTATACTCAAAGTACTGGACAATCCTGCTTCATTATCAGTTAATCTATCTATAATCAAGGTACTGGACAATCATTCTTCAGTTAAGGTTTCTATCATAAAGTTACTGTACCTGGAATTTCATTTCAAAATTTTGTCAATCTGGCAATTATTGACTGAAACAAGAGCTGTATGCTGTACAACTGTTCTTCAGTATCTGTTAATTCATATAATACTAGCAGGATACCGGCTTCGTCAAATTCGCCAGGGCCCAATTTTCCTGGGGCCTATTTCACCGGGGCCAGTGATTCGATGAACTAAAACATTCACTGCGTCATGCTGGTTAATTTAATACGATATATGTGGGGGTGGAGTGGTGCGACAAAGCGTGATTCACCCGGGTCCCAAATTTGATGGCCTAAAATATTCATGCTGGTAAATTTGATATCGCATATGTAGAGGTGGATCGCGGCCACGAAGTGTGATGGGCAAACACACACACATACACACAGACATCTTTGATTTTATTTATAGGGATATTACTGGTATATTATTATTTCTAAAGTTTTTCATCAGTCTCACTAGGTATCACAGTCCATCCATCCTACTTTCAGTTCATCATACACACTGACATCTTTGATTTTATTTATAGGGATATTACTGGTATATTATTATTTCTAAAGTTTTTCATCAGTCTCACTAGGTATCACAGTCCATCCATCCTACTTTCAGTTCATCATACACACTGACATCTTTGATTTTATTTATAGGGATATTACTGGTATATTATTATTTCTAAAGTTTTTCATCAGTCTCACTAGGTATCACAGTCCATCCATCCTACTTTCAGTTCATCATACACACTGACATCTTTGATTTTATTTATAGGGATATTACTGGTATATTATTATTTCTAAAGTTTTTCATCAGTCTCATTAGGTATCACAGTCCATCCATCCTACTTTCAGTTCATCATACACACTGACATCTTTGATTTTATTTCATCTATTTATAGCTGTTATTCCACTATTACCGAGATTCTTGAAGTTTATTATAGTATTTATCGCCACCTCCCCACTCTCATATCCCTTCTCCTTGTCAGTGGTGGACGGAGGGCCTGACAAGGACAGCTGTCTAATGGGGCGAAATCCATTGATGTGCACGTAAAAGATCCCTTGGTAGTTGGAATTTGATATAAGAGTAGGCTGTAGCGCCGCTCTGGGGGCAAAATTTCCCTCATAGCACACTGTATGACATATGGCCTTCTTCACTAGCCCAGTTGGAGCAGAACAGTAGGTCTTTAAACATCATTTCAGTTTTATTGCGTTTCCCCTATCCCTTCATACATTAGTTCCATACTCAGTGATTCAATCAATGACCAGAATTCAGATCCCTCCATTCAATCGATATCATTACATCCCTTGCTTTGAGTATCCTTATTTATACCCCTTGATTTTATACCATTTACTTGTTTTTATTTTTCAGGTAATTTTAATATCGAACTATCACCGATGATTGAGAATGACACCAGTTCCGGAGAACTATTACAAACCATTGTTCCATATAGTTCTGACGAATTTGAGAGTCCTAGAGCTAATCTTTCTTCTGCTGGAAATCAAGTGAACCATCGGGATCAAATCAGCTATGGCCCCAATAACTACAGCAACAGGGTCAACAGATCAGATATTATTAGCATAGAACCAGTAGGATATTATTCCCATGGTAATACAGATTGTATGAATAACAGAGGTGAAAACCGAACACATGGGAATAATTCCATTTTAGACAACAGGGAGACTGCAAATAGAACAGATGTTAATCTGGCAACTGATAACCAATGCATTGATGTAACTTACTGGAATCCAGGATTTTCAAGGTATTGTATTTAAACATACATTATGCAAGAGCTAAATCTGCCTACCGGTATTGCAGGTCTTTCTTTAGGCCTGAAATGTTATCTAAATTATTAATTAGACATTAATTAACTTGTCTTGACCATAATCAACTCTCAATGTCATCGCTAGCCTACAATATTTACTGGATTACAATCCGATCTGCTGTTCAACGCTCTTGGATGATTTAATCAAAAAATACTGTGATTTTAAAATTCAATCGCTAAATTCTCGGTTCACAGTAGAGCAATTCCCTTTACATTATCTAGTTTTTATACGCCCAAATTTTCATGTGGACGTATATTGTCGTCGCCCCTGTCCGTCCGTCCCTCCGTCCTGTTTGTGAACAGTCTACAGGTCACAATTTTTATCCGATTTCAATGAAACTTGAAATATAGGTTTATCACCCTAAGATCTCGGTTCCTTTCGATATTGGCATGTATCGGACTGTAACTTCATGGATTATGGCCCCTGATTGTACAAAAAATCACGTTTTTAGCTTGTGAACACTGTAGAGGTCACAATTTTTATCCGATTTGGTTTAAACTTGAAATGTATGCTTATAACCCAAAGGTCTCAGTTTCTTTCGATATTCGTGCATATCGGAACCTAACTTCCTGAATTATGGCCCCTGATTGTACAAAAAATCACGTTTTTAGCTTGTGGACCCTATAGAGGTCATAATTTTTATCCGATTTAAAAAACATATTATTATATCACCGTTACACCCTAAGGACGGCCGAGTTCAAATTTCGTGAAAATCGGCCTAAAACTGACAGATAAAATTGCCGCCGTTCGTTCTCAAATAGCGTAAAAATATGGTATATCAAGGTTGTGGACCTAGAGGTCACAATTTTTATCCGATTTTGTTGAAACTTGAAATGTAAGTTTATAACCCAAAGATCTTGGTTCTTTTCGTTAGTCACACATATTGGACCTTAACTTCATGCATTATGGCCCCTGATATTGTACGAAAAATCGCGTTTTTAGCTTGTGGACCCTATAGAGGTCATAATTTTTATCCGATTTAAAAAATCGTATTCTTATATCACTGTTACACCCTAAGGATGGCTGAATTTGAATTTCGTGAAAGTCGTCCCAAAACTGAAAGACAAAATGGCCGCCCCTCGTTCTCAAATAGCATAAAAATATGGTATATCAAGGTTATGGACCCTATAGAGGTCACAATTTTTATCCGATTTTGTTGAAACTTGAAATGTAAGTTTATAACCCAAAGATCTTGGTTCCTTTCGATATTCGCGCATATCGGACCATAACTTCCTAAATTATGGCCCCTGATTGTACGAAAAATCGCTTTCTTTTTAACTTGTTCTCTATCCATCTCTCGAAAATGTGGGCGTATCCTGGTTAACTATTATAGAGAGAACTGCCAGCTTGTTACCTAATCTCCCATATTGTTTCTTTAAATAACACATTAAACATTTGTATGAAATAGGGTTAAGCAGGGCCAGCCCTAAGCATGTACTGATTAGTTTTAATCCAGCCCTGGGTTTAACATCATACTTTTCTTGCACCAACTGAACTATTGAACTGTGCTTTGAAAGAAATTTTGAACGATTATCCACCTGCACTTCCATCAGATATCAACTAGTACACAAGTAGAGCTTGGAATTTTCCCATGTGAATGACAATTTGCTTTTTCCTTGCAAAGCCCCATGCTCTTGTCCTGCAGCTTTGACAAGAGGAAGCCAGATTGAAAAATCCTATATCGTCCACTATGAATCCTACAATAAAGACATTGCCACCAGCTCTAAATCATCGCTCTTCTGGCAAACCGACAAATCTGCTATATTTAAGTATTGAGAATTATGTGTTTGAAATTTGCTTCTGTTGTTATATCTTTGGACATCAAATAATAACATTCATTTGTGATTTAATATTTCATAGACATACATATACATCAGGACACCGAATGCCATTAACATAAATGTTATTATTTGATGGATACAGAGATAACAACAGAACGCAAATTTCAAATGCATAATTCTCAATACTTAAATATATTAGATTCGTTGGTTTGCCAGAAACGCGACGAAATGTTCTCTTATTAGCCATTCAGGCTGTCTAGGAACAAGCAGAAAAGCTGTAATTTACACTATAATTAATAATTGAACGAACTCAAATTCAGTTTTGCCATTTATTTTTCAGTGATGAAGATATGGAAATGTTTGAGGATCAAAATCAGAAGAAAAATGCAGTAATAATAGGAAAACCTCCAAGTGTCTCAGAAACATCAAATAAATCCACTAATAAAATAAATCCAGTAGGAGCTAGGGGAAGCAACTCTTTCTCAACTAACAATCAAAACCGAACTGAATTGAATGATAAATTGGGCAATCGTACGAAAATCTCAGATGTAACGGATTCTAGTGGAGCTGTAAATAAATCCACCAATAAGAACTACTCACAAATACAGAAAGAGATGTTGATGGAAGTAGATAATCTGTTTTGTGGTTTGGATTCAGACACGGACGAGGAAAAAGAGACAGGGTTTAACGATGCAATAATTAAAGAGGATATTTGTTTACCATCTCTTAATTATACAAGAAGATCAAATCAAAGTCGTCAGAATCACATTCAAAACATCGGAAAGCAAAATTCTGAAAACGCAGCTCTAAATCAAAATCATGCAAATTCTCATCAAAATCGTCAAAATTATGGTCTGAACCCAGACAGTCACCATCAATATCTTAAAAATTCAAATCACTACGCTGAAAGATGTGATGGTGAAAATGGAGTTAACAATAAGTCTCAAAATGTTGCACAAACAGATAACAGCATTAATGTTCTAGAAAACCAAAATTTGAGAATGTATTCATCTGAAAAACAGAAAATTACGGATAGACAACAGACCTCAAATATTTTTCAGGTAGATTTCGATGATGATTTTGATCAGTTAGATACTGAGTTGTCTCCCCCTAGAAATCAGAATAATCCAGATAGGGGCCATACTAATACTAAAAATATATTTGATCTGTATAAAGAAGAAAGCCAAAAAAGACTACATTCAACTGATTCATCTGTTTTAGATCAGTCAGATTCACATCAAAGCGACAATCTGACAGGACAGATAAATCCAGCTTTTCATCAACTGGATCATTTAGATCTAACTAATACTGCAATAGCTGGTATAGATTCGAATAAAGGACAACTTTTGAAAGTTCTACAAAAATCCAATGTTCCAGATGATTTTCAGGATGACTGGGATTGCTCTCAAATTATTCCACAGATGTCCTCATCCTCTCGATTACAAGAATTATATCCTGTACAAGATTCAAAAAGATGTCACTATGGTAACACATCCAATATCAACAGATTGAACCACTGTAAAAATATGGAGCAGCCCTTCCCACGAAATCAAAATAAAATAATTGAAAACACAGGAATGCAAAATCATACCGAAGTGAAAAGTGAGTATACAGCAAATTCTACTATTCCAGAGAAAATCAGTGTCTCCAGACGCAAGGATGTAATGAATGGTCCAATTTATTCTCTGTCTTCTAATTTATCTGCTCAAACAAATAAAAACATTTCTAGAAACTCCTCCATTAAAAGAAGCAATGAAAAACCTGGGACAGACCTTCAATACAAAGAGGTAGAACAATCAACAACTCAGCCACAAGGAAATCACACCTCTGAAGACTTTATTGTACCGTCAAAAGTTCATTCCAAACCAAAATTCAATTTAAAATCAGTAGATTATATTTATTCGGATGATGATACATCAAATACATTAAAACTATCTCAGCATGACAGGGTCTTATGTCAGCCTGTAAAACATGACCAATCAAAAGATAGATTTCAAGAAATGATTCCAGTCATAGATTCGTTGGCCGACAGTAATAGCCGCAGAGTTGACGTTCAGATAAATGACAGAATTGGTAGTAAATGGAACGACTCAGAATGGCAAAGTTACCAAGGAGATTTCAATGAATCATTTAGATCTGGTTCTAGATCAGTGGGCAATAATCTTGGGGAAAGAGATATTGACAAAACAAATGCGAGATTACCATACAAAGAATCACCAGAAAAGAGTTTCAGGGCTAATGAGTCATTAAGAACTCATGGTAGTATTGGTGACATTGTCAGACGAGACTATGTCATGCCAAGGAACGATGTAGCAGAACACATTGATCATTTTCATCAACCACCTTACAAACTATCATCTCATGCATTGGAGGCTAACAAACCACCAGTAAACACATCATCGGAGAAGTCTATCTATAAAGACATAAATACTGAAATATCGTCAGATATTTATCAGGCCATGGAAGCACAGACATCTGTTTCTAGGCAACCTCAGTACAGATTGTCATCATCTGATGATTATCAAGCTAAGGTCCCAGAGATATCTGTCTCTGGTGAAATGGCATACAGATTGACATCAACTGATGATTATCAAGCTAAGGTACCAGAGATATTTGTTTGTAGACAACCTCAGTACGGATTGACATCACCAGATGGTTATCAAGCTAAGGTACCAGAGATATCTGGTCATGGTGAAATGCCATACATATTGACATCAACTGATGACTATAAATTAACATGTTATAAAGATAAAGATGTTAATACCAGCCCTATCAACTGTAGTAAAGAACATAGATATGGTCAGGTAGGTGGAATGATGCAGGTACTCTATTCTATACATGATACCTTAAAGCTTGGAGCAATGAGGAATGAGGTAGGTGCTCTATAAAAAAAAAACACACACCACACTCCATGCATGATACATCCACCTCTGCCTATACCTAAACTGTTAAAAAAGGGATGTTGTCATGGAAAATTAAGATTGTTTTAAGCACCATTTATCCTTCTACTGTCCCGGCAGATTAGCAAACTGTTTTTTCAATGCCAGTAGACTAAAACTTGCCCAAACATCATCTTAACTTAGGTATGCTACATGTCATATAAAGTTGTTCTAGGCTGGAATAAAAACCAACCCACATGCAAGATTTATTGTGTACTATGTATGAAGTAATATATTTATTGTTTACCAGGTGTTAGCATGGGTACCAGATGATGGTGGATCACCTAGACCTACAACTTTACCATTAAAATCACCTGTGCCTCCAGCTTACCTGTCGCAGTCACCACCTTTAATTAACAGGTGAGTTTAAAACTAAAACTGTACCTAATAGCAAAATTGACAAAACAAACCTGTGGACAAGACAAACTATACAGACATTGCAAGAAATAAACAAGAAATAAATATCAAATCATGTGAATGTATCTGGTATCCATTGGTATAATGCTATTTTTTTGCAAACAATATCTTGCTCAACTGAGAGAGAGAGAGAGAGAGAGAGAGCAAGAGAGAGAGAGAGGGTTTAATGTCAACTCAACACAAACTAGGTCATTTCAGCGACCCTACTCCTTGTCATGTACAAGCGGGAATCGAAACCATGCCACTAGACTTATTGGCAGACCTTATGATGCAACGCGCACGCGTTAACCATTCGGCCACCCCTGGCCTAATTTTCCAGTGAAGGCTCTGGATTTCATTCTAACAAAAAACTACCTCTAGTATTTGAAAATAAATTTCATGATATCGAGTGTTTTATTCCATTACAGTGAAAGAATAATGTTGACTAGTGATCCTGTGAAACCAGAAATAGAGAAATCTGTTGGATTATCCAGTTTCTTCTGTCCTATTGTTAAGTAAGTCAGGTTTACATGTCAGATTATCCGGTCCCTTCTATTATCCATTCTTTTCTTAAGTGCGATTTTCTCTTCAGTATTAACAATGATGAACTAAAGATTAATGTTTGGAGACAAACAATTGATCATAAAAGTTTTCAAGATCTATTTTCGGTCTGTAGAATTTATATTTGGGAACAACTGTCTGATGATTTTAATCAAATAAGATGTGCCTTCATGTAACCAGATCGTATAAAAGTATTTCCCACATAGCACAATCTGATTAAAATACAGATCTATATTTCGTTTCATTTTTTTTATACTTTCAATGGCCTACACTACATGAAGATCTGACCAGTTGTACTTGGAGGTCGCGTCAGGGGTCATATGAGCGCTTTAGACCCAATGACGTCAGGCATTGATTAATTAATCAGTTTTGACGTTTCTAGAGGCTTACCTACAGTTCTGTGCAGAGCACGCCAAGAACTCGCCGTAACAGATCGTTTCATTGGCGAATTCCTCAAATCAACTAGAAGCCTAGTGTAGTAAAGACAAATAAAATGAAATTTTGAACTAAAAAAACTATAAAAAAACAAAACGAAATAGGATCTGTGTTTTAATCAGATTGCCCATAGCACAATGTAGAGTGTCTTCATTAGTCCTGTTGGTACAGAAAAGTAGAATGTTAAACCACTTTTTTTTTCAAAGTAACTTATTTATTTTGTTTTACAGGGTAGATGATAACAATCATGATAACTTCAATAATCTGTTTGAAGGCATTTTTTAGTTGAAGAAATGGCTGTATCTTATACTGTAATAACCAACCTCATCCTGTTGGAAGTGTAATAAATGTATCTGTACTCTTTTAGATCCTGTACAGTATTTTCAAGTTCATCAGCTGTTAAATAATGATAAATTTCAGTTGATATACTGTACTGTGCTTTCATTCTGCATAAAGTGGGTGGAAAATGTTGTTTGAGGTTTATTATAGTGAAAAATGTTATTTGAGGTTTAATTATAGTGAAAATTCTTATCTTGGAATGTTTGATTAAAATCTGCAGCGGCTTGCAGAGCTTTAATATAGTGAAAAATGTAGTTTGAGGTTTATTATAATGAAAAATGTTGTTCAAGGTTTATTATGCGGATGTTGTCTTGGAATGTTTGATTAAAACCTGCAGTGGTTTGCAGAGCTTTAATTGGTGATGTCCTAGGGCTGACGTCTTGATTGTATGCCCCCCAAGATTCCAGTATACCCCCCCCCCCCACCACTCTGTCCTTGCTTATTAAAAGACTTTTATATTTATTTTCACCCTTTAATTGGATCCCCCCCCCCACTTACTAAAATGATGCTATGATCCATTTGCACGCCTCCATTTGTCTATTCAAAGATTTACCTTAGCCACAATAATTCCTGTCATCAACTTGAATCCAAGTTATAAGTTTTCCAACTGAACACAATCTCTAAAATGTCTTAACTCAGTTTAAGATACATTGACACATATCTGTGATTTTTATATGCCCATGTCACTGACTTTTTGAGATTTTCTTTCAAACAAGCTGGGATTGTTTGGCTAGTCATTACTGTGATATAAGGGACCCATCGAACGGAACTATTTTTTTCTTCGATAATCTTGAAGTCTTCAAATTTCATATACTATATTATGCAATTTATTTTTCATTTTTGTTATACAAATTATATATATTTCTACTGCCAAATAATTAATTTTATGTAGAATTTGTTATATTATTTATCTTGTTAATGTTAACCAGCAGCTGTGATAAATTATTTTGAGATTGTTTTGTGCATTTCAAATTCTGTTTAATATATCTGATATCTAATTTCATGTCAGATAATTGGTTTACAAATTTTATTTTCTTAAAGATACATTATGTAAGATTTAGAGAGAGAGAGAAATGGGGTTTAACGTCCACTCGACACAAACTAGGTCATTTCAGGACTAACATATGGTTTAATTTTTATTTCAATAATTCGCTTGCGCGTAGGGGTCTTTAGCTGTGGGAGGAAACCGGAGGACCCGGAGAAAACCCACGAGGTTGGACAGGCAACCCTACTCCTTGTCACGTACAACCGGAGAATCGAAACCCCGCCAGTTGACTCAATGACAGACCGTATGATACAGCACGCACGTGCTAACCATTCAGCCATCCACCCCCCCTGTAAGATTTAGATAAAGAACTGACCATCCTTGCTATAATAGCTCAAAAACAAATAATGTAAAATGAAAATATTGAAAATTTCATTCAAATTACTTCAATCTGAGCTAAGTTATGACTTTTTGTAATTTTGACAAGATGTGTGCATCGTGGTAACCAGGGCAATGGTATATTCGAGACTTAGCCTCGCTTTCCCATTTTTGAATTAAATTTTTAAATGGCTAACTGTTCTATTCTAGTTAAAATCTTGAGTATTTGATGCCATCGAGAGTTGATTATGGTCTTGTTTTGTTAATAAATGTCTAATTAATAGTTTATATAACATTTCAGGCCTAAAGAAAGACCTGCAATAGGCAGATTTAGCTCTTGCATAAAGTATGTTTAAGTCCGGAAATAAAGTAATTGTGTATAATATATTGCACATTAAACACTAATGTGGCTGACTATTTGTAACTTTAAATTAAAGATGCATTATGTAAGATGTTGTTCCTATAATAGCTTAACTATTAATAGAAAATGAAAAATTAATATGTTGAAAATTTCCGTCAAATTACTTTATTTTGAGAAAAGATGTGAATGTTACAAGTTAAAAGAATAGTGTAGTCGATTTTCATTACTACCATTGTTAAAATAATAAACAAAGTCTTGATTATCCATTTTAAAATTAAATGATTAAATAGTGATTGTGTTTCAATCCACATTCACAATTTATATAACATTTGAGGCCAAAAGAAGATCTGCTATAGGCAGCTTTATCTCTTACATATTGTGTCTTTATAATCCTTGAATTGCATTTAGTGATTGAGCACAATAAAAAAAACGCAACACAATTTATATGGAAAACAATCACTGGCTTATACACATATAGCACAACATTTCAACAAGTATTCTCTTATCATTATCTTGTACTTGATAACGATAAGAGAATACTTGTTGAAATGTTGTGCTATATCCAGTAATTGTATTCCATATAAATTGTGTTGTTTTTTATATTTTGTCTTTAATAATAATAATTGTGAGCCATGGTCAGTCTTGACTTTGACAGCTTAAAAATATTATGTGTAACTAGTCTGTAATTTTGTTGAAAATACATAAATTGATGATTCATTTTGTTGTATCCCTTAATTATTTCCAGTGCTTAAAGCTATAATGTACAAGGCAGCCATGCTGGAGGTCTCAGGTTTGCACCCAGTGTTGGCCGAGAAAGTTCCTCTTGATTTTCCGGCATGCAGGGGCTGAGAAGAATGGCTGTCTAGTCATTTAGATTGGAAGAAAAATCGAGGTCCTGTGGACACATTGGCTTTGATTGTAAAAGAACCCTTGACAGTCAAGAATACAGCTGTAGGCCTCTGTCCGGACAAAGATGTACAACAGGGCTGAGCTTGTAATGTATAGAGACTTGAATGTGTTTTGATTCAATGTTACTATCGAACTAAGTATTGACAAGTTGTCAGAACTGCAATAACTTCTCATATCACAAGATTTACTAACAAGAGAGAGAGAAACAGGGCTTCACCTCCACTTGAAACAAACTGGGTCAATTTGTAACTAACAGATGTATCAAATTTATTTAAATCATTCTCTTGAAAATAGGGGTTGCTAATTTGCAGTAGGAGGAAACCGGAGGACCATGCGAAAACCCATGAAGATGAACAGACAACCCTACCCCTTGTCAAAGACAAGCTGGAAATCAAAACCATGCGATTTGACTCCACGACAGACCTTGTGATCTAAAGCGCACACATTAACCCAATCGCACTCCACACCCCACCTGACTTGACTAATCACAGATAAAGGGGCATTAAGTGCCTTTATAACTCAACCATTGGTCGACTTTATTTGCCCAGTTTGTGAAGAAAAGTATGACGTAAAATCTCACAATATATTAGAAATAGAGAGCTTAGTGTTTATATTAACAGTTTCGCTGTGCTGTGCATTTAGCTCCTCAGAATATAAGAGAAAGATAGAAACAGGGTTTAACGTCCACTTGATACAAACTGGGTCATTTTGAGGCTAATATATGGTTCAATTTCATTTAGGGGTCTAAAGCAGTGGGAGGACCCAGTGAAACCCAAAATGTTGGATCCTACTCATTATGTCCCTTGATTCAATAACGGGCCTTATGATCTAAATGCATGTCTTAGACCACTCGACCACCCAACCTGTAATAATCCCTTGAGGTGTCAAATAAGAGCTTGAAGATCCATCTGAATGGTTTATTATATTTTTGATAATAGCCGGAATACATTATTTAATTTAGTTGACTACAGCTCGAAATTATGTTCAAAATAACTCTGATCAAAATTATGTACACGAATAAATCCATCTTCTCCACCACTAGCATAACTGAAATAAACAAAAGGGAAATGGTTCAGTATAAAAAAAATGTGATGCGATTATCTTCACCAAAAACAAAAGGAAATGTCATTGCTTTCACCACAAACCAAAGTTCATGTCATTGTCTTCACTTCAAATAAAAGGAGTTTGAGTATCAAAAAAACACTTTATGTTATCATCTTCACCACAATAACTGATTCAAGACAGTACATTAGGTATCATTATGTCATTCACAAATATAAAATGGTACGATAGCAGGCTTAATTTACCTCCAATACAAACCAAAGGGAGATAACTGATTCAAGATGTGCGTTCATTAGGCAATTCACATATGTGACCCCCATAGCATACTGAGTCACAATGAGGAAATTTTTAAAATTGAGTTATTGTTATTTCACTTTCTCCAACTCATTACCTTCAATTTGATGTATAGTTTGTTTGAATTGGGCAAAAATTGACTGAGCTGTGTCCATTAGAAGCTACCCAACTCACAAAAGTAAGATTTGAGAAAAAGTCAAAGATTTGGTATGTTCAAAAACAAAATCCCATAGCAACCAGGCCATTTATCTGCTGTTTTGTCGTTGAATATATCTTTCCATAGCTGCGGCCGGTCACATATATCAACTAGCCAATCTGATTTAAATACAGGGCCCTTATTCACGAAAACTTAAACTAAGATACAATCGAAATTTTAAGAAATATTGCAATTCGATTGGCTGACCAGTAAAATCAATTTGCATATATCCAATTTGCATATTGGTCAGCCAATCGAATTGCAGTATTTCTTAAAATTTCGATTGTATCTTAGTTTAAGTTTTCGTGAATAAGGGCCCAGATCTATATTTCGTTTGGTTTCATTTTTTTTTACTTTCGATGGCCTACACTACATGAAGATTTGACCAGTTGTAGTGGAAGGTCGCGTCAGCAGATATTGATAAATCAATCAGTGTTGACGATTCTATTGGTTTATCCACAGTTCTGTGCATGGCACGCCAAGAAATCGCCGTAACAGATGGTTTCATGAATTTAGCATGAGGCCAGTTTTTTGGAATATATTTTAGACATAAATTAATCTACTCACCTTCTACCATCTGGATGAAAGACAACTGTGTTGATTGGTCCAAAATGACCTTTAACCCTAGCAAATTCTTCTTCAAATACCAAAGAGAAAAAACGAGCATCAAATTTACCAATTCTGGTTGAGGTTGTCGTTACCTCCATAGCCTCTTGACCTCCACCTAATACAACCTGCAAATATTCAATAATATAAACCTTTGTAGGCAGTTTTCATTGATCTTAAAGAGACATTCCCACGAAAGTATTTATCAGGTGGTTATTTCCAATAAAAGTATGGCAATTATGGTATATACAGACAGTAGAAGGACCCAATCTTACTAGATTCCCTGAAAACAAAATGAATGGATATCCTTAAAACCATATTCAAACAAATTTATCTATCATAAGTTTCCTTCGATTCCCTCTCAAAACTTATTCAAAACTTTAATAAACAAGCAAATTATCTATATTTAGCCGGCTCTCACTTACATGATCTTTAATAGGAGAAATAGCAGCTGAATTTACAGGTCTTTCTGTTTTATATGTCTTAAGATGATCTAACGTACTTGTGTCAAATAACTGTAATATAATAAAATATTATTACATTTAGCCATTTCAAAATTTACATCATTATATCTATAAGAAAGCTTATCACCCAATAATACATTCTATAGCAGATATCGCTTGTGTGATAAATTTCATAATTTATGAATTTGATTAGTCAGTTAAAAGGAACTACTTTTTTTTTTTTCAAAGAACAGTTCATTTTTTTATTACAAGTAATTTCTTTTTTTTTATTAAAAATGAACTATTTTTATTTAATTGACCTTGATGGAAACACTGGGTCAATATAAAGGACTTTGCAATGGTTGAATTGCTGTCAAAAAATGATGCATCACTACGCCATAATGTAATCAGGTTCAATAAAAGTAAAATCTATAGCAAAAAATTATATTTTTTATTTGTGCATGTAAGAAATGATTGGGTGATAAATAAAATCTCCTTCTCGTTCTTTTTGATATCAAAAAAAGACTCATAGGAGATTCTCTATATATGCATGTGAGCAGATTATTATTCATCGCTGGGAATATATATTGTTGAAATGACTGATAAGATGTTTATAGTCCAATTTCTAACTAGTATTTGAATATTTGCACACAAATGTTACTTCATATCTATTTAATCTGATTTTTTTAACCATTCAACATTTAATATAAATCAAAATTTAGACTGATTTTTGTGTCCTGTGAAATACTTGATAATATAAACTCAACAAAATAAACTAACATTCAAAAACTAAACAGATAAAACAAAATAATATACTAAAAACTGTAAATGTACGACAAAATGGATTAATTTAATGAAATAGAATTTTCAAATAGCATTTGATTTCTGACTACCCTCCACAGTGCTGATGGTTTTAGTGTAATTTCTGACTACCCTCCACTGTGTTTGATGGTTATAGTGTGATTTCTGACTACCCTCCACTGTGATGATTGTTTTAGTGTGATTTCTGACTACCCTCCACTGTGATCTATGTCTATAGTGTGATTTCTGACTACCCTCCATTGTAATGGTGGTTTTAGTTAATTTCTGACTGCCCTCCAATTCGATGTTTATTTTGTGATTTCTGACTACTCTCCACTGTGATAGATGGTTTTAGTGTGATTTCTGACTCCTTCATTTCTGACCAGCCTCCATAGTTTTGTGTTCTTGTAACAGAGTATATAATCAGAAAAATCAGACTGTGGATAGTCCACAATATAATCTTACCTTAGCTGTAGTATCTTTAGAGGCTGATACGATCATAGTTAAATCTTTCGATCCCTGAATATCATTTATTTGTTTATTGTGTTCTTTAATCGATAGAACCAATTCTCCTGTCTATAAATATAAAATAAACACATGTCTCAAGCATGGAAGACAAACAAATTATTGATGGTCGTACTGATCCTAACATTTTAAGATTTTCTAATTTGCAAAAACAACAATGTTCAGAGTGGGATAAATTTTTTACATTTTTTCGATACTTTACCTTCAATATATTTTTACCCAGAACACAGTTTAAGGGTCAACCAAGTTTTGAATGAATAAAGAGAGAGAGAAATGGGGTTTAACATCCTGGGTCATTTCGGGACTAACATATGGTTCAATTTTATTTCAATAACTTGCTCGAGTGTCGGGGTCATTTTCTATTTTTGAACTATTATAGCAAGAATGGCCAGTTTTTATCTAAATATTACATAGTGTATCTTTAAGCAACACTTGAAAACCAATAAAGATGGAGAAAGTCTAACATACCTTTGTATCATATTGACACATTTCACCGTTTTCATGACCCGTTATCATATATTCTTCAAACGGACCCCATAAAGCGGTTGTTACTTTAGACCCTTCTATAGGTATCGATAAAAATGGTTTACTGGCTCCTGGAAAATAATTCAAACATAGAATTAGAAAACAAGTTTCCATTAAAGATACATAACGGGAGATTAGATAAAGAGCTGACAGTTCTCGCTATAATAGTTAAAAACTAGATAATGTAAAGGTAATTTGTTAAAAATTTCAGTCAAATTGGTCCACTATGAACCGAGATATCAGCTTTGTAAATTTCCGCCTAGCCTCGTTCATCATTACTAAAGTTAGTACGTTAAAAAGCGTAGTCTCGATTATCCATTGTTTTGATTTAATTATCAATAAGCGTTTGCAGCATACAGGATTCTAATCCAGTCGTTATCGAAGGCTAGCCATGACATTGAGAGTTGATTATGGTCTGGATAAGTTAATTAATGTCTAATTAATAATTTAGATAAGATTTCAGGCCTAAAGAAAGACCTGCGATAGGCAGATTTAGCTCTTGCATAATGCATGTTTAAGAAATTGTTTAGAATGGCCAAGCCGTAAAGGCGGCTCGATACAATGATATAAAACTATAGGTATCGATAATAAACAATCACAGGCTCCTGGAAAATAATTTAAACATATTCAATTATAGCATTAGGAAACAAGTTCCATCATAAGGTTGTTGAGAAGGGCCATGATGTAAAAGCATTGCGATACTAAGAGGAGTTGGGTTCCAAACTTTTCTTTTTAACCACACACTCCAAATATCCCCTTTAAAATATCTAATCAAGAGTCTAACAACCACACATTCATTAAATAAAGGCATTTAAAAACTTACTGAGTTGTTGTGGGTCTAAGACATCGTAGAACTGTATTTCACAGGGTAAACCCATAGTTTTATCTGTAGATAACGCTAATACACGACCACTAAATGAGAAACTACATGTTCTTACACCTGTTCTTGTGTCTATCGTTACCAAATTTTTACCTGAAAATATTCAACAGTTAAATATAAATAACTAGAGAGAGAAAGAGAAATGGGGTTTAACGCCCACTCGACACAAACTAGGTTATTTCAGGACTAACATATGGTTTAATTTTATTTCAATAATTCATTTGCGTGTAGGGGTCTTTAGCAGTGAGAGGAAACCCACAGGGTTGGACAGACGACCCTACTCCTTGTCATGTACACCCGGGGTATCAAAACTACGCCAGCTGACTCAATGACAGACTTTACGATACAGCGTGCACACCATTCAGCCACCCACCCACCCCTATAGATAACTACTCATCTCAAATTCCAACTGCCAATGGATCATTTATGTGCACGCCAATCTGTACACAGGACCTCAGTTTTTTTCCCCATCCGAACGAGTAGACAAGGGGAAACCATGCCAGAAGAATCTCAATTAACTTTCTCGGCCAACACTGGGAGCGAACCCGCGACCTCCAGACTAGCGAGCCAGCGTCTTACCCACTGTGGCTCCCCTGTATAAATGAACAAATTATTATTATTAATACATGATTAAATATTTTACCTATTTTCAAAATGAGAAATACATGTAGGACTACTCTTACCTGTTTCACAATCCCATAATTTACATGTATTATCTGCTGAACCTGTTAAAACTTTTGTAGAATCCCCTTAAAATATCAGTTAAGTCAATAAAAACATAATACAAAAAGATCCTGATTAGCATTGAGTGAAAAAGGAAGGAGTAGCTAAGTTTAAATTTTATATGACATTAAAACTAAACCAACGACGAGAAATAATTCATTTGTTTTACTTGTTGAATTGATTTTTTAATCTCTTGTCCACCTGAATGTGTCGTGACCTCTGAAGTGGGTTTCTAAGAGTAAGATATGAACAGAAATGTGGTCAGAGAACCGATGCTGCTTACAATAGCAACGGACATGTTTTGGAAATCCAACATCTATACTGATGTCTAAAAGAAAGTATACACACTAAAAGTATGACTAAGTTTTGTTTAGATTAAAAACATTTGATAAAGCATTACTGTGTTTGTCTATTGCGTCCAAACTCAACATTTCTAAGCAAAATAAAAAATGTGAAACAAATTGACATTCTACCCAAATACTGTATACCATGGAAAAACGACTTTGGTTGATGCAGCACAAAATGCACAGTGTATACTTTTTTTTGGACATTAGTATAGATGTAACCAAGTGAAAACTGTGCTAAGACATCCAGCTGCTCCCATTGTGGGTACTACGTCCAGTCACTTGTCTTCAATTGGTTAATAAATGGACTAACTCTACTTATTCCCACAAAATAATTCAATCATTTCTGTCCTGCCACATACACGTAACTGACTGAAATAACAATTCTAATCAGCTTCATTCCACATTTTATTGTGATTGAAATAAAGTATGGTCGTTTCTTTTACTATCAGATATATATAAAGTATCATGTCATCAGGACAGTTGTTGTCATCTACTAATTTATCACTTTAACAATTAGCCACAGTGATGAAACTACTAGCGCCTACAACTGTCTCAGGTCATGTGAATAGCTGTAAACTATTTAATGACTGTAATATTTGTAGTTTTGGGTGATAAATTGTTCACGGAACCATGGTAGTCATTAGTCAATATCTAAATGTAAATAAGTGTTCATATTGAAAAGGATACAGTTAACATCCATACACCATACAGCACCATTATGTCCGTTAAAACTTCCCAATCTTTCACCATTTATAGAATACCATATATTTGGTGTGTTGTCTTTGGCACAGGAGAATATCAAATCCCCTTCACGGTTATATCTGACCTGTGTGATAGACCGCTCATGTCCTTGTAATAATATGGGTTTCTGAAATATGGATAAAAAAAATTAATCATAAAACAATTCAAGCCTGATTTAGTGATTACTGAGTCTGAGTGTCATTTTCATTTTCATTTTGAGAATAAGTTTACTCTTTTTGGGGGAGATATTCATGGGTTAAATGTTAAATATATAATTTCTTTGTGTATCTATGTCAATGGGTATATTTAAAGTGGCTGACAAATCAAAACATTTTACCCAACACCTATGCCTATAGGTAGTGCTGATATCAAGTAAAATTTTACGCATCGATGCATCGGACGCAAACATCGATTCTCATATCGATGCATCAGGAATTTTTTTTGCCGCCATTTTGTTAATCAAAAATTACAGAAATAACATTAGTATTTCTGATAGAAACATGAATTTCCCTAACATTATCATTAAGCCTACTATAGAAATGTCGATTTATTTGAATAAATTTACATGTATTTCCACAATATTCTTCTGTTATTTATTATGACATTAATATCGTCCGATTCACTTCAAATTTGTTGTGAAGGCATGAGGGGTGAGGTGATTACAAGAGACAGCGTTTGCATTATTTATACGGATCGTATCAAGGCCTGTCTATAGGGGTTTATGAAGTATATTCTCTATTGCCCGTGGCAGAAAATAAGACTGAATCGTTTTAAAACTAGCGTTAGGAACCGGCCGCGAAAAATTATCCTTCTGACAGTTCGTTTGGTCATTTAAATGAACCGTGAAATTGACCTTGGGGTTAAAGGACATGATAGCCAGGGGACGTAACCAGCAAACGCAGTCTTTGACTTTGTAGTCACTGGAAAATGGAGACAAACATAATGGAAGCGTAGGGTAAACAGGTCAAGCCTAATAATTCGTGCGGGATTCATTGAATTGTTCCGTTGTTTTATTTTGAATTATATAAAACATGCAAAAAAAACGTATTTAAAAGGTGTTTTTTTATTCTAGTGGACGAACTTGTGAACTCCTCCGAGTCCTCGGACACATATAAAGCTAATTATTAGTATTTTTTGCGGATGCATCGATAATACAAAAAAGTCCCGAGAATCGAATCGGCGTCAGTCGAATCGATGCATCGATACTTGATATCAGCACTACATGTACCTATAGGTGGTGCTGGCTGGTTTACATTGTCAAGTAGTCTACAGACTTCTCGTTTTCAATTCATCGTGTATCTGTGTAAATACTAAATGGAAATGAATGATTCTTTTGACCGATATTCATTTTAAAGATGTAATTATCACAATATCGTATAGTGAAGAGAATCTAAATATTACACAATCACTAGAATATGGTACATTATTAATAGATAAGAGAGCGATTGAAAACATGTCCAAAAAAATATCTAAATTATAAGCAATCTGGACACTAAATACAGGAGAGAATTAAATCAATTTCTATACAAAAACAATTAAAATAAAAGAAAGTTAAAATCTCCGATGGAAACAGAAAACAGGGAATGAAATCATTATAAATATAGCGGTGTATTTGGCCGGTAAAATTGTATTACTCTGTTTTCTTACCATCTTGATTATTTTTATAAACCGGAAACATGAGGTATATGAACGCACTACGCATGTCAATATTAGAATCGTAATTTGCTGCTTTATAAAATTGGACCCGATATACTTCAATATTTTGATTTATCTCCCTTACACTAATAGCCAAAAACAGCCGCATGAAATTGGAGAGAGAGACATAGAGAGCGAGAGAGAGAGAGAGAGAGAGAGAGAGAGTTTAACATCCACTCGACACAAACTAGGTCATTTCGGGACTAACAAATGGTTTTAATTTTATTTCAATAATCCGCTTGCGCGTGGGGGTCTTTAGCAGTGGGAGGATCGAAACAGGAGGGCCCGGAGAAAACCCACGAGATAAGACTAAGAGAGAGAGAGAGAGAGAGAAATGGGGTTTAACGTCCACTCGACACAAACTAGGTCATTTCGGGACTAACAAATGGTTTTAATTTTATTTCAATAATCCGCTTGCGCGTAGGGGTCTTTAGCAGGGGGAGGAAACAGAAGGGCCCGGAGAAAACCCACGAGGTTGGACTGGAGAGTGAGACCCTACTCCTGGTCACGTTCAAACTGACAATCGAAACCACGCTACTTGACTCAATGACAGACCTTATGATTTCACACGCATGCGTTAAACCACCAGGCCCCTTATCTAACCTAACAAAGAATACCAAAAGTTGGATTTGTTTTGCCAAAATGTACAGACTAAATATTAACAAGAAAGTGGCCGCGCCCCAAAATAAATAGTTGCTGCCTTTACGGTATAAGAAATAAATATTCAAAGTTCCACGATTATCCACTCAGAATTACAACATATAGTAGACAATAAATGGTGGTTGGATATGAAACAATATGAATAGGTGCCACCCAGTTATTGAAATGATTGATGTGCTGAATTTGTACAAAATCTGTTAATAATTGCAACTTGTAGAGTATTTACAAACAAAAAATTATCAAAACACATCTGGGGGTCGGGACATGCACCAAAATAAATACTTCCTATCCCTACTGTGTAAGGAACAAGAACACCGCTAACGCTGCAGTATACGTCCACATTCCTGGTTTCATTGATGGTACTTTTTAAAATGAAGAGAATGAAATATGAAATGGCTACAATGACTGTAATATGACAAAGAGGCAAAGAAGGCTAGGCGTTAAAGTTTGTTTTGCCAAATTTACTGACTAAGTAATATCAAAAAAGTGGGTGTGACACCATCCCAGGGGGGTCCGGGCATGCACCAAAATAAATAGTTGCCATCTTTACGGTATAAGGAATAAATATGCAAAGTCCCAAGATAATCCATTCAGAATTGCAGCCTGTAGACAATAAGCACAAAAATTAGGCGTGGCTCTGCCCCTGGGGGTTGGATATGGAACAATGTAAATAGGTACCACCCCCTTATTGAAATGATTGATATGCTGAATTTGAACATAATCTGTTAATTATAGCAACCTGTGCAGTATTTACAGACAAAAAAATTAACAAAAAAGTGGGTGTGGTACCACACCTCTGAGGTCGGGACATGTACCAAAATAAATAGTTGCTATCCTTACAGTACAAGGAATAAAAGTGCCAAGTTCCAAGATGATCGATTCAGAATTCCAGCTCGTAGACAAAAGACACAAAAATTGGGAGTTGAACATGAGCCAGTATATAAATAGGAACAACCCTATGATGGATCATGCCGAATTGGATCTAAATCTGTTCATTGCAACCTGTAGATTATTTACAGACAAAATATTAACACCCACCCAAAGATATCCTGGGGCAACGGAATAATACGTCCACATATAAAAATGGTTTATATTTACTTTACTACTACTGTATGCGTGTAATGGAGGTTGTAAGAATTTTGTCCGGGCAACGGATTATCAGAAGACTTCGACCAAGGTTCTTCTCGGAACCCGAAGAGGAGAAACATGTAAAGAGGTTTAGCTCTCAAGAGGCAGTATAGCTCGTCAACAGAATCATTGTTTATCCAACCAAAACGAGTATTTCTGCAAGGGTTCGACTCGGCAAGATGAAGATCCCAATCAGTTATACCAGAAAAAAAAATCAAAATATGATTGGCATCTAAACACAATAAATTGCAAGTCAATCGGATGATAAATTTTGCCCAAAAAGCGGACAAGAGTGATAATTCAGATAGAAATATCAGAAATCTTTGGAAATCAGTAGGATTCTACGTTTCATGCACATAAACGCTGTCAATTGGATGATCACTTTAACCTCTAGAGGGTCCCAAAAGCAATTATGAATGGAGGACGGATCCGATAGGGAAGAGAGGACAAATACGACCACGTTTGAATGTGAGGGTAATTAAAAGTAACCATAGTATTAAGTTTTAACATTTTTAATTAAATACAAAATAATATAAATAAACTTGTACATTTCGAAAAGAGAACTGTACAGTTATGTGTACAAAATATTTAAAAAATATTTTGAAATTTCATTGAGACACATTGCATTTATTGCAATTTCAACCTTTCTGCCTCTTCATTAGAGTTTCTTAATCAAACTGTCCAATCAAATTCAAAACTTTAGTTTGAAATTGCGCGCATTGTTTCTATTCCTTTCTATTCATTGAGGTTGATTTATTTTATAACGTGACGTTTTAAACACATTCAGAATTCAGATGCCATTTATCCAGTTCCGGTTCCAATCCATAACCAATGAACGTTTCCGTTACAAATCAGTCCTGGAAATAGACAAAATTCGATAATTACAAACAAGACAAAATTCGATAATTAACAAAAAAAACCCCAAAACCCCAAAAACACAAATATTAAGATTTCTGCAAGAGGCCTTGATCGTCTAACCATATGTATAAGTCGAAAACTGCACGATATGTGTGTATTTTATTCATTACGCCAGCTCTAAATTATTCAAATGCATTAACATGTTCGAAAAATTGCTACCCTGAAACAATACCTTCAAACAAATTTCTAAAATGAATACAGAAATTGTTATATGCTCCTTTACTTTGTTTTTATTGGCTATTATTCATTATTTGTGAAATATACCATCTTCACGTATGCTATTCTTTATGGCTTTGAAAGCTTCAGATATGCCATTCTTTATTGCTTTGAAATATGCTATTTTTACGTAGACTATTCTTTATTGCTTTCAAATGTACGATATAAATTGTGTTTAAAACAAATAATGATACATCGATATTTCTATGACATGGTTGTTTCATTAATCTTATGAAGTATACAATAACAGCCTGAAGGCGACGAATAAAATGTATCTTCGGTCTACCGGTTTAATAGCCTTGACCTGAGCTTCACCCCGGCCAGACATTCGTTGGGTGGAAACTGAGACAATCTGAGGTTTAACTTGCAATATGTCGAGTCGGCAAATATTGATCTTATATGTATGTTATTTACTGACCCCCGAGAACTTTCTCGATCTAATACATCTATATGGAAAATGCCAAGGTCACAATATTTACTAGATTTCGAGCTACTGGTTTTAATGGCCAAAGACCTAGGTACTGAAGTATTTGTTCTTGTTAATATGTCAAAACTAACAATATCACATACTAAAAATTACTTGGTTTATTGTACACAGGGACGTCATTTCGGTAACGATTAAAAAAATAAATAATGAGAGAGAGAGAGAGAGAGAGAGAGAGAGAGAGAGAGAGAGAGAGAGAGATCATTATGGGACTAACATATGGTAATGTTTTTTTATTTTAACAATTCGCTTGTGCATAGGAGTCTCTAGCAGTGAGAGAAAACCGGACAACTCCCAAGTCGTTGGGACTATTTTTAAAATTTTAATAAGGTTATATTATTCTATCATAAATTTAATTCTGTTTCACATATAAGTTTGAGTGCATCTGGCTTAAATCTAAAACACCTATTTTAACGTCAATGTTAATTTCCTATATGGGACACTTAAATATAAGGTGAAACACCTACAACATAAAACACTTCACAGGTTGACAGAGTGCTGGATCTGAAAACCGGTTTGCCCAATAATTTAACGACCGTTTAAATTTTAAACACATGCCTGGAGTGTCTCATTAATCTCTTAAACAAATGTCTACACGAACTTAGCGTATTAAAACAACTTGTCAAATATAAAGGTAAATTTAGTGTTGTTCAAATCTAAACAGTACTTTGTTAACATTAAACGTCCTGAGAGTATTAAACAATTGCATGGGCGTGATATTCAACATTTAATCCCTGTTTTGTACCAATCAGATGCGCGTCTAATATACAGATCACGCCGCTAGCTCTTGCCTGCGATATCACACAAGATTGAGCCGGAGGTAAAACCCTACAAACGAACGAACGATTATCCACCCCCACCCAATCACAAAATAAGCCGCGTTTCTCTATTTTAGCGTAAATTGGCCAATATTGTGCCCACCCCTTCACGAAAAGGTATGCCATCTTGTCGACCAATACCTTTTGAAACCTGTTTTGGTGCAGGTATGTATGTACGTGGTATGTGTCATTGACTTGATGTGTTAACCTGTCAAGCCTATACTAATATCAATCTATATAACAAATTATATATATATTTATAGTCTACCTGTAACCGGGTTATTGATAATTACCGATCACGTGAACATAAATCAATATACAGGTATACAGGTGTAATCTTATCTGTTTAACAGATCTGCAAAAATATCAACGATTTGATCAAAAGTGGTTAAAGCAGAGTGGTTTGTTCATCGAATAGAACGGTCAAATAAACGAAAACTATATAGGCCTACGACACATATTTTCCCCGCTAAATCCGGTACAGCCGGACGAATCATGTGACTTTTACATTCTGTATCTAAAGAAACGAAATGACAGCTGCAACTTTCAAAAAAACAAAACATGGCTTTATTAATTTGTTTCCAGTGACATATTGGGAGCATGTCATTCGACTACAGAAGTAGCATTCTTGACTTTGTCATTCAACTTAGGCATTCATGTTTGATGCGACTCATATTTCATTGTTGTTAAAGATTTTGTCTTACTCATAGGTTTTAATCTTAACCCCCTAACCCTGAATTTAGAGGTTTTAATCTTAAATATCTGACCCTAACCCTAACCCTAAAATGTAACAGTGATAGAATGTAAAAGTGCTGGAAATAGAAAACATGATCGCCTTCAACTTATGGATAAATAACAATGGGGATTGTTTATTTACACCGTATCTGCATGTCATAGAAAACATCTGATCTCCAACCGAGATAACCTTTAGTCGTTAAGTTTGTTTACCTCGACTTGCGTGAACTCAGATCAAAACAAGTTCAAATTTCAGCCCAGACAATTCATCTTTTTTACGAAGTTGTTTTGTACCATTGGCATTTGTTTTAGAGATCAAAATGAATTGTTTTTGTGTTTACGCATTTGGAACATTCTCGACAATGTCGCCAACGACAGAGACCTGTCCCTATTTTGTTTTTCATTGTTTTTATAAAAAAAAACTTACAAATAGGCTATAATATTTTCAGAGCCATGTTTCTACAGTAGCTACGAGAACGTTGCTAAAAACGTTGAGACATAGGCCTACTGGTGAGGTTTCTTATCAATGTTTCTAGATGCAAAAATATCTTCTCTTACAAACCTGTATCAGTACATTTCTTTCATCGTCTACTTCGACTTGTTCTTCTTTTCGTTGTTCATTAATTTCGTGACAACTTTTCGGTTATGGCCGGCTGGGTCATGGTGATTAGTATGTTCGCGAGCTTCTTGTTTGCTGCGATCCTTTCCACTGTGTCCAGTATGTACGTGCTTATGCACATCAATGTCGTATTCATCTAAATCTGTGGTGTATGTTGATTGTGGAGCTGACATTTTTCTAATGATTTCTTAATTTAGTCGACAGTAAAAACACTTTAGATTGTTCTCGAAAGCTTTCTGCTTGCTAAATTATGATGGCGAACAGTAATCCAGGGCTTTTATATACAGCTAAACAAACCCCGCCTACAGCACGTGGCAGAATACAGCTCAACAACAACATACGTCATTTGTTACTAAAATTAGTAGCATAACGTCATTGAGCTGCAAGGAGAATCCTTTATGAATATTCAACAACGGATTCGTATGTGCGGTTATCCAGATACTTTGAGTATGAATCAAAACTTGTATAGTTATTTCCGACTCGATAATCGCGAGCAATTTGATCACGGTAAATAAATATTTAAATTTGAAATCTGGTCAGCCTAAACCCTTATCTGCGATATCACCCTCGGTGGAAGCCGACGTCAAGTCATAAGCCAGAACATTCGACGGAAACAATAAAATATATATCCTGACCAACGGCATGGCAACAAATATATAGATGATGCAATCCATACAGAGATATTCAACTACAATAATTTAAAAACTGTATTCAATATATGACACACTTCTAAAAAAATAGATGTCGGTAAGCACATGTAACCTTGCCAATATTTTGATGGGAGATTTGAAAATAGATTATAGACCAACAAAAGAAGGATTTTAAAATCATATGAAGCTAATTTTGAGTAGTCCGCATGTTAAGATTTTGTTGGGATAGATTCTAAAATAAATAAATAGAAACAGGGGATTAAAATTATATTCAGCTAGTTTTGGGATTATCACGCTTAGTATTAATATGTAACTGGAGAACGGTTTTCCGGAGAGCCCCGTTTTACTCGCACTTCTTAGTGCCCCCCCCCCCCCCCCCGGGCACACATACTTAAAAAAATAATCAATAAATAAAATTATTAGTCTTTATAAAATCCTCTGTGATTTAGGGTAAAATAAAGTATTGGGGTAGATTAATCATGTCATTGAGAGAGAAAGAGAGAGAGAGAGAGTTTGGCGTTCACTCGACACAAGCTAGGCCATTTCGCGACTGACATATGGTTCAATTTTATGGTTCAATTGTCACGTACAAGCGGGGAATCGAAACCGCACTACCTGACTCAATGACAGACCTTATGATCAAACGCGCGCACGCGCACCACCTGTACAAACTATAAAAAAGAAGTAACCGGAAAATAATACTGCAAAACGCAATCAACCCAAAGTCGACCTAGGTATCATCGTGAACTCCTCACGTTTCAGGCTTGCCCTTCCTTACAAAATGTCCTTTCTGCGGTTTAGATTTTAGCCCCCCATCCCCACCAAAACTAAAAGGGAAATGTTGGAATATTCTGATGAAATAGTATGACACATGTTGACACATTTCACACACAAATAGACTAAACAACACCAGATGTCTACAGTCACATGATTGCTCAGATATTTGTCATATTGTAAACAGCATGGACAATTTAATAATTCGATAACCAAAATATATGTCACTAAAAGTCACGGGGCAATGGGGTATAGACGAGGCACTAAATAAACCAAAAAATCTGCCAAATGGATGTATTGTTGAGGGATGATTTTGGTACTCGTCCACACAGGCCCGTTGTCCCCCCCCCCCCGGTCTGGTCCACGAGATCGTGTTCATGTTCGAGGCCGTGGTAGGGGAGTAGTAGAGCACTGGTACCGAGTTCACAAAGTACTCTCCGGCTTAAATTCGAATCCTAACATGGGCCGAGTAGATCCTCGGGGGTTTTCATGCCTGGTTCCCACTTTTAAGGGGGCAGCGCCCGTGGGTCTGATAAGTAGTGTTACCTAGTCGTTCGGTTGGGACGAAAAAACGAGGTCCAATGTCCCACGTTCGACTTGTAAATATAGAAGTAAAAACTGAAATGGGGGTCAACGTCCTACTGTTGTTATTTAAACAATATTTATTCAAATAAGATTCATGTTAAATACATAAATTGTCCAAAAATAAGGTTTCAAAAAGTATGATATTTTATATTTGCTATTAATCGTGCATGCTAGTACACATAATAGATTGTGTCACAACGTCCTATTCTGCTGCGACCACATAACAACTGACAGCGCTGTGAACGTTCCAACTATCTTTCCAGATCTCAAACTGTTCAATATCCAGGTGGTTATAGAGAAAACTATATACAGCCGATCGATATCAGACCTTTTAAGAGTTATAGAAGTTGTATAAAATTATATTTATATATATATATGGGATAATGTTCTTGGTTTCACGTGATCTATATGTGTTATTACTCATTTTTATTATATAAAAAATCAATATAACCATAAACAAATAAATATAATCGTTTGACATGACCAAAATGTATATCGGAGAACATTATTTATCAAGCGAGGTGCTAAAATAAGTGTGCAATTTGCAACACATTTGACGGCACGGAAGCAAATGGGAGAGTTATAATAAACATACACTTGCTATGCATCTAGGGTTGGGGTTAGAGTTAGGGCAAGATGCATTTTAACGGTCTAGGTTCTAGTGTATATTACGGGGGCTGGGTGACCGAATACGTTAATGCTTACACTTTACATCATAAGGTCAGCCATGAGTCAAGTGATGTTATTTCCACTCCCCGCGTGCACGTGACAGACAGTATAGGGTTTTCTCCGGCTCCTACTAATTACGGTTTCCTCCCACAGCTAAAGACCCCTGCGCACAAGCGAATTATTGAAATAAAATTGAACCATATCTTAGTATCTCTCTCTATATTATATACATTGCATGATACTATTTATAAAAGCTATGAATCTCATGATAACGTTAGGTTACATAATAAATTTGTTTTGGTTTTCTGCTGACACTAGATCCGGTGTTCTGTACGCAAATAAAACATGCGTCTATTTATAATGTTGACGTTAAATAATATATCTTCGGGTGACAAGTTTATTTGGGTTTTTTTGGTAGCCTATATTTTAAATGGGCAGTCCCTGAAATGAAATAGGGTTTAACGTCCTACTTTTATGCACCGGCTGGCTAATGGAGACGAGCTTACGCCATACGGCGTGCTATGCGGGAATTTTTGCCCGGACAGCGGAGTTACGGCCTATTCTTATTTCGAATTCCAATTGTCAACGGTTCTTTAAACGACGTGCACGCCAATGTGTACAAGGGGTCTGCACCACTGACAAAGGTAAACATCGCCAGTAAACCCCGTGAAACTTTCTCGGCCAACACCGGGAACGAACCTGACAACTCCTGGTTAGCGAGCCCGCGTCTTACCCAACGAGTCACCGCTTCTCCCATAGGCAGTCTAAGATTTTCTAGGGTAGTCGTAGAAAAAAATTGTTTTTTGTCTGCAAACCAAACGTCAAATTTCGAAGAAAAAGCGCAATGGCAATTACAAATACAAAACTTAAAAATGCATAAAGTTCTCAGACTATATATTATCTGAAAATGTCCATGTATATCTGTTGTGACATGCCTCAAGGATACAAACTGTAAAATCAACAATCACAATTTGGTATTGATAATTAAGCATTTGAGACAAACTAGAAAAGAAGCAAAACTAAAATTAAATAGCGGACCAAGGAAACAACCTACACCAATCTTTTAATACTAAACAATTAAATTCTAAAACTGTTTACAATATAATTTTTTGGCAGAAGGGGATAGCTTTTTTTTTCTTTTTTTCTTTTTTTTTTTTACCAAGACCTCTACTTCTAGTGCCGGGCTTTAAAATTAAACAAAACAATAGCGTCTGTAAAGGTTTTCTACAATTATAAAAATTCGCTACTGCCTTTGTTTAAAATCTTGTCAGACATATAATCCCCTACTTATCCCAGCAGTTATCAACAGATCCTGCTGTGACCGCTGAGACCATTGTCCCATAACTGAAGTCTTTGTTGGGATGAAGCCAAATGCGATCTAATCAATGGTGATGAAGAAGCGCGTCGCTGATTGGCTGGAATTGAAAATAGGATTTGTCCTATTTCCGCGGCCTTTTCAAAGAAACTGTAAATAAACTAAAATAATTTATGGAATATGGCAAATAATAAGAGCAGAAATAAGTAAACAAAGGAATACCAGAATCCCCTTGGTCTAGAGAATCTCCACAGTAAGTTTTGAAAGCGAAATATATTTGTTTACAGCAGAAATTCAACGTCACATTTCTGGTTCGGATTCGTTTGTTTTGACTTTTCTGAGACCCGCATCTTCTTTTCTTGACTTGGATTTTGTGTTGCTTGAGCAGGATAAATAGAGCCGCAGCCGTAGACATCACCAACCTTCGATTGGAATTATTTCTGATAGTAGCGTATTATTTGTATTGTAGGGCAAAATGCTAGCAGTAATTATGTGCATGCAAGATAGAAATACATTTTTGTTTGTGCAACTTTGCCATCATGATCGGATAGGCTAGTTTAGTTTGACCCTCCAGCTGTGATCAACCACTAGCATGCTCACTACTAATTGTAGCTTTCTATATTAGTAACATTGTCATTGGTATTAATTAGACAATTCTATTTTAATAATTGCAAACTGCATGTCCCGTTTGCGTAAGGTCAAAACATTGGTAGGCCTAGCTAGTAGCCTAAGCCTAAATTTGTGTTTTTCTTTTAAAGGAGCTAAATCGCTAACATTTGGGACATAGAAATTGACACAAGTGGGTCGCAACTCATATAATACTGTAATATGAATGTATATAAACTGATATACATTCAATGGTTTCGAATGCAAATTTCTAGCGCCTGGTTATTCCAGTCTACATACGCCGTTTGGTTTGGTGCAATATGTCTAGCCTCGTTCCTCGAGTCTCTTGCTAGAACTGGGGCTGAAACGCATTATGGTACACGATTTGTGTACCAATGGCAAAAAGTTTATTTTGTCTTAAATATTGGATATCAGAAGCCCATCTTTTTCCGGTAAGATCACAGCATCAATGTTGATTTAAATTGACAAATAATTTGTGTTTTCAATGTTGAAGATTTTGGAAGATATTGAGTTAGAGACTTAGCTTCTTTAATGAATAATCATTTAAAAACTTTATGATTAAATTGTATTCTTCAGAAATAAAGATGGAGGAGGAGGAAACAAAAGGAGAAGGGATCATACCACGAGTTAATAAACTTACAGAGATCGTGTTGGAGAAAAATGATTCAGATTTTTTATTAAATCAGGATGGATTGATTGATGGCTTCATTTCTCTGTATGAAGAATGCAGTCAGGATTATTTATTTAGAAATGCCAATGCTACGTCTTTTGTCAGAAAATGTAAGAAATACTACTTAATTTACATTAAAATTTAAACAGTTATAGATATGTTATACTATTTAATCACCTAAAATCATTCTTGATGACCCATGATTATAGTGTCAATATTGCGGCAATAGCTATGGGAATATCATCATCTTTCATAGCCTTGTATCATGGTCCCATGTAGTCCTGGAAGTAATGATTTTAGCTACCCGTACACCTGACTAAAATTCCAATCTCTTTTAAGTTGTAACGGACATTATTAATATTTTAATGCAGGATGTCTGTTAAATGATAACAAAATCACAAAAACACAATAACAACAGTTGACTTTATCCAGAATTTGTCCCATGTCAGTTCCATGTGTGGTATTTTGATCATAATTTTAATTTCATTTCAGTGTGCTCTTTATAAAATGTCTTTGTTTTATTTTAGATAAATCTACAATATCGAAGGTGAAAGAATTACGTGTGAAAGCATCAGATTTTGTTGTCAAGGATGTTGTTGGTCGTGGACATTTTGGTGAGGTACAAGTCGTAGAGGAGAAGACATCAGGAATGGTTTATGCTATGAAAGTTTTAAGAAAAGCTGATTTACTCTCACAGCCAGATGTAAGATTTGATTTTTGATTTTTCTGAAAATTTTGCAAAGTTTTTTAATGAGACATGTGCACTTGGTTGTCTTTGCTGATGGGTAAAAAAATCATATTCAATTGATCCTGGTTTGAATAGCCGATAGAACGTCACAGGAGATACACATCAGATTTAGATTGTATTATTATAATTATGGCATAACATTCCCAGGTGCTCTTTACAGAAAGGTACTACCATCAAAACATGTCACAAGTTGCAAACAAATACAATATTTTAAAACAAAAATCAAGACAAGATGGTCCATCAAAAATAATAAAAACATGTTAGCTAAAATATTGATATAAAAATATATTTCAACGGATGAGTTTTCTATTTAGATGTTCAACGTCTTATGTCTTATGTCATAGAGGTGTTTATTAAGCTTTTGATTCTTGAACCTCTTACAAAAAAAGATTCTTTCACATGTTTGCTGAATGTTTGACATTGCCAAATTAAAGCCTCTACGCTAAGCTTTTTATAATATCTCGGTTGGTCAAAGGCTATGTTAGCAACATGTATGATTTTGTCCAAAATGAACCATATAGCTTTTGGTACATGTGAATATTGACTATCTGTAATCCATAAACAAATTAATAGAAACTGATGTTTTTTACATAGTATTTTGCAGCCAGATATCTGTTTAATTTTAAACATATTTTATTGATCATAAATCACCAAAGGGATGAGAGACAAGTGAATTTACTTACAATGCTCTTCTCCCTACAAATACCTGATATACATGATTGTTAAAACAATATACATGCAATAAATACCAGTTTATATTATACTATTATAGTCATAACTGTATTTTATATTTTAACTATACTTCTATAATTATAGCTACAAATTTGATAATTATAGCTACTATTTTATATTTATAACTTCAATTTTATTATTTAAAACTACAACTTAAATAACCATAATCACCATATTGATAATTATATCTACAATTTACAGAATTATAATTGCAATTTTATTCATATCTGTTGTTATTAAATTCTAGTCCTCGGCGTATCAGTAAATTTGATCAATATTGATTGAGAATTTAATTTTACATTTCAGATCTCTTTTTATGAAGAAGAGAGAGATATAATGGCACAGGCTTCTAGTCCATGGATAACCCAGCTACATTACGCCTTCCAAGATTCTACCAATTTATATCTAGTCATGGATTTTCACCCAGGTGGTGATCTACTTTCACTTTTATCTAGGTGAGTAATTAGATTTATAGTACACCATGTCCGTTGATTAAAGCATGCACTTTAGATCATAAGGTCTGTCATTGAGTTAAGTGGCTTGGTTTTGATTCCCTGCTTGTATGTGACAAGGAGTTGGGTCGCCTGTCTGTCTATCCTCTCATCTCTCTCTCTCCATTTGATTCAATAGTTATATTTGAATAGCTTGGATTGGCACACAAACTTATTGTTTGATAAGAACCCTATGCAAGGGGCTCAGTCCCTGAACCAGGGCTTCAAATCATGACTGCCTCACAGTGTTATTGACTCACTTGAGAACCCTGTATAACAGTGCAGAAAGTTTGATTAGTCATTTAGCTAAACCCAAAAACATAATAATAACAGAAAATAGCATCTGATTTTAGTTAGACTGATTATTTTTTTTTTTTTTTTCAGACATGATGATATTTTAGATGAGAAGATGGCCAGATTTTATCTAGCTGAGATGTCGGTTGCTATAAATACTTTACATGAAATGGGCTATGTCCATAGGTAATTAATATTCTATTCTTTAAATTCCTATCTAGAAAAAAGCCATGTGTTACTGTCAATGTCAGTCATATTTGTGGTTTACTTTTAGTCAGAGGTTCATCCAGATTTTCCGGCGTGGTTCTCCCTTGTCAGTGATGCAGGACGGAGGGGCTGACAAGGAAAGCTGTCTAGTCGTTCGGATGGGACGAAAAACCGAGGTCCCGTGTACACATTGGCGTGCATGTAAAAGATCCCTTGGCAGTTGGAATTCGATATAAGAGTAGGCCGTAGTGCCGCTGTCCGGGCAAAATTTCCCTCATAGCACACTGTATGGCGTATGCCCGTCTTCATTAGCCCAGGTTAGGAGCAGAACAGTAGGACGTTAAACCCCATTTCATTTCATTTCATTTAGTCAGAGATTGAATACTCATTATTTCCAGATTAGACCATGGTCTGATTTTGCGTTTTATTTTATAGTATCTCTCTCTTATTCCTTTGCTTTATTTTGTGTGGCTAGGTGGCCTATTGCATGTGGTATAGATTATAAGTCATGGGTCCAATGCCGAGGTTTACATGTATACCGTATTAGGGTTTGTAGGTTTCATACCACTACTAAAGACTTTTGTGTCCAAGCAAATTACTAAGCTAAAAAATGACCTGGTTATTGCTGAGTGGACTTAAAACCCCATCTCTTTACAAATTATGGGATTGAAAGACACCACCCTAGTATATTGTGTTAGTTCTTTCCTTCCCTCCATAGGTGTTGACAAAAAAATTAACAGATTCCGCAGTATCTTTCCTTGCACCAGTTTTTAAATCCATGGCATATTTTTGCATCAGTTTGTCCATCAAAAGCCTGTATATTATTGTTGTTTATTTACAGAGATATAAAACCAGAGAATATATTAATAGATCAGACAGGTCACGTCAAGTTGGCAGATTTTGGTTCGGCAGCTAAAATGAATGAAGATAAACAGGTAATATAAGAAATTGCATAAATTTGACCTATTAATTGGGATAAATTCAACGTCAATCAGATAAATTTGACGTAATGTAATGAAGCGCCATTTGCATTGATTTTTAGAAATGCCAAAAAAACCTTTATATTTAGAAAGTAAAATTGAATCTCATTCTGTAACTTTATAATTTGTGTCTAACTAAACATATGTTATTTTTGTCTTTAAGGTGTCATCTCGAATGCCAGTAGGAACACCAGATTATGTAGCACCTGAACTTTTGACCTCTATGAATCTAACTCGTGGATCACGAGCGTATGGTGTTGAAGTAGATTGGTGGTCATTGGGTGTTTGTGCGTACGAGATGTTATGTGGTAAAACACCGTTTACTGATGAACATGGCTCAATGGTTACAACTTACAGTAATATTATGAATTTTACGGTAATCAGATTGGATCTTATTGATTAATTAGTAAAGGAGCTAAATCGCTAATATTTGGGACCCAGAAATTGACACAAATGGGTCGCAACGCATATAATGATGTAATCTGATTGTATATGAACTGATTTACATTCAGTTGTTTCCGTTTTTACTCTAATTTCAAATCAGTTAGGTCCAGCGAATAGAAATAGGCATGAGTCTCAACCGAATAGAAATTTCTAGCGTCTGGTTATTCCAGTCTATTGCACATGCTCTCCAGATAAGTTATGGCGTCGCCATATGACATGATTTGTGGAATATGTCTAGCCTTGCTCTTTCTGGTCACTTGTTACAAATGACGATGAAACGCACTATGGTACACGATTCTTGTACCAATGGTAAAATGTTTATTTTGTCTTAAATATTGGATATCAGAAGCCTACCTTTTCCCGGTAAGATCACAACATCAATGTTGATTTGAATTGACAAATAATTCGTGTTTTCAACGTGTAAGACTTTGGATGATATTGAGTTAGAGACCTGGCTACTTTAATGGTATTTTGTGAGGAGCCGAGGTGGTTCAGTGCGTAAGACGTTGACTCACTAACCTAGAGGTTCCATAATCTTTAAGTGGCATTTAGCGATTGGGAAACACAGTTAAAGACCCCTAATTATTGAAATAAAAAAATCGAACCATGTTAGTCCCATATTGACCTAGTTTATGTCAAGTGGATTTTAAACCCCATTTCTCTCTCTATATCTTTCATGTATTGTGGGAACATTCATTAAAATGTTCTTAATTTGTTTTGTTTTGTATTATTTAATTTCAGACGAATTTAATGTTTCCTAAAGATCCTGAAATTAGTGAATCAGCTCAGTCGTTGATAAAACAACTTCTAACATCTAGAAATGATAGATTAACATGGAAAGGCATCCAGATTCATAAATTCTTTAATAATATTGATATTATTAATTTACGACAAGGTAGTATATTTCTCAAATCAAATAATCGTATTTTGTTCTAGTATGAATTTACCACATGCGTTGTACAGTCCCAGGCTTCACTCAGAATTGAACAAAATATGATTTACAAGAAAGACGTAACAAAATGGCGATAGTCTCCCAGTTGTCAAACAATTCAACAACAATAAGGGCAATAATCCGATAGAATCTCGAAAACCCCTAAAAATGATAAAGTAACTTACCATCTGAGTTTTATCTTTTACTTGCAATATATAAAACAATAATACAGTTTTTAACTGTGATACCGCAGTGGCTCAGTGAGTGAGGAACTGGCTCGTTATCCAGGATATCCCAGGTTTAAACATACATTATGCAAGAGCTAAATCTATCTATTGCAGGTCTTTAGGTCTGAAATGTTTTCTAAATTATTAATTAGACATTAATTAACTTATCCAGACCATAATCAACTCACGATGTCATCGCTAGCCTGGAATATTTATTGGATTTTCTGTTCAACTATCATTCGTGATTTAATCATGAAATGGATAATCGTGACTATGTTTTATCGTACCAATTTTAGTAATGATGATCGAGGCTAGGCCGAAAATTCAATCGCTAAAATCTCAGTTCAGAGTGAATCAATTTGACTGAAATTTTCAACAAATTCCCTTTGCAGGGTCGCAACACATAGAATAACGTAATATTAATGTATATAAACTGATTTACATTCAATCGTTTCTGTTTTTACTCGGTGAAATACACCAGAAGTCTCAATCGAATGACAATCTATAGCGTCTGGTTATTCCGGTCTACATAGTATTAGTATTTATTGCACATGCTCTTCAGATAAGAATATGGATCATCGTTTGACTTGTGGAATATGTCTTGCCTCGTTCTTCAAGTCCATTGTTACAAATGGCGCTGAAATGCATTATGATACACCATTCATGTATCAACGGTAAAATGTTTATTTTGTCTTAAATATTGGATATCAGAAGCCCATCTTTTGCTGGTAAGGTCACAACATCAGTGTTGATTTAAATTGACAAATAATTCGTGTTTTCAATTTTTTAATTCAAGTTGTTTAATTTTTGTTTGTATTTTATTTCAGCTGAGCCATTATTTGTACCAACTGTAACCAGTCTAGATGATACGTCAAACTTTGATGAAGTGGAGAAAATACGCCAGCCAGTCAATGTTGAAGATTTGAAAACACAGCGAGAATTTTCTGGCAAAGATTTACCGTTTATTGGTTTCACATATATTAGAAAAGAGAAGGAATGTCGAGAAACAGATGCTAAAGTTGTTGAAACGGAACAGAAAATAATAGAAACTAAATTAGGAACAGGGTAACCTTTTTATCTTTAGAACAAGAAGATGAAACATGCCAAGCACCATTTTGAATAAAATAAACAAAGGAATTTTGAGTTGTATGCCCTTGTGGTTGCTCATATTAAATACTCTTTCTATGATTTAAAAAAATGAAGAACCACTGTAATCTCTGTTCTGCTAAACATATAGGAGCCAAGGTCAGGGATACATGATGCATAGAATAGAAGGCAAAAGAATCTAGATCAGTGGTACTCAACTTTTTTTTTGCCAACGGCACACCTTGGAACACATGAAAGAAAAATGGCACACCACCTGGCTAAATATATATGAAAAATATATGAATTTTGCAAAATGAAAACATGACAGCATACAACCGTAGACACAGACTAGTCATATGACTCAAACTAAATAGAAAAAAAAACACAGCCATGAACTTACTTTATTGCAGTGTTTCGAATTTCATCCGTCAAATGGGGGGGGTTGGATGGCTGAATGGTTAGCACGTGCGCGCTGTACCATAAAGTCTGTCATTGAGTCAACTGGCGTGGTTTCGAATCCCCGGTTGTACATGACAAGGAGTAGGGTCGCCTGTCCAACCTCGTGGGTTTTCTCCGGGTCCTCCGGTTTCCTCCCACTGCTAAAGACCCCTACGCGTAAGCGAATTATTGAAATAAAATTAAACCATATATGTTAGTCCCGAAATGACCTAGTTTGTGTCGAGTGGATGTTAAACCTCATTTCTCTCTCTCTCCGTCAAATGGCTGACTTCTTTAGTGAGAAATTTTCAAAATTTCGTGGCACACTTAGGAAGATCTCTCAGCACACCTGGTTGAAAATCACTGATCTAGTTGTTCGATTGAAGTGAAAAACTAAAGTCCTGTGTATGTCACTGGCAGCATGTTGAAAATCTCCAGACAATTGGAAATCAAAACAAGGGTAACTCATATCAGAACGCTAGATCGGAGACGGTCTAGCATATATGACGTTATATGTAGATTGTGGGTTGGGCAAGGGCTAGGTCTAGGGTTAGCACCAGAGAATCAACATATGAACTCACATGTGCTAGAACTTCTCCGATCTAGTGTTATCCTAAGTCATAGCGCTGCTGTCATAGCAAAATTTTCTTCATAGCACACTGCATGACAAATGCCCGTCTTCCATAGCCAAGTTGGTGCAGAAAACCAAATTTAATGAACATGTTTATTTATTTTACAGAAAGAATTGTAAATGTAAGTGTAGATCAAGATCAAGATCCAACTCCAGGTCGATGTTAGCAAGTAGTGGCAGTCATGCTGGGTTTAAAACACAGGTTCATGCAAAACAAGGGGGAGGTAACTCTGGTGTAGAAGTTACCATGACAGTAAAAATAGCCGAGTTACAATCCGTGAAAGAAAAATGTCGTAAATTGGAGAAATCTGAGTGTGAATTACAGGCTGAGATTGAACGTTTAAAACTTTTAAATAGAGAAAAGGATGAGAATCTGATAAAAGCAGAATCAGAGAATATTTCTTTGATGAAAAATTTAGACATTTATATCCAGAAAACAACGGTATGTTTATATTTTTGTTCTAATTTGCAGGCCTGGAAATAACGGTTTTAGATGTACCTGACAAAATGTCAGGCACTAATGAAATATTACCTGACATTTTCAATTTAGTGCCGGACATGTATTAATAAATATGAACAAAAAAGACAAATCAGTGCCGGACAAAATGACAGGCACCAGAGGTTTTGTGCCTGACAAAGGTTGAATCTGTGTCTGACATTGTCAGTGACAGGAGCTTTATTTCCAGGCTTGCTAATTTGGGTAATTTTAACTGATAATTTTGGTCAGTATAATTTCAAAACGGTTTATCAAGCTTTTTGCTTTTATTTTACAAGAATAAAAAACCTTCTCAGCATAATACTATTTACTAGTAAGTCTGTAGATTTGTGTTATATATTTTTGTGCGATATATTTGATGTTTTTCTATTTAATTCCTTGGGTTTGAATGAAATTCTCTGAGTTAGAGGGGGGTTGAATGGTTAGCATGTGCGCGCTGTATCATAAGGTCTGTCATTGAGTCAACTGGCATGGTTTCGATTCACCTGTTCCCCTGTCTTCTGGTATCTTCCCACTGCTAAAGACCCCAGAGAGCAAGCGATTTATTGAAATAAAATTGAACCATGTGTTAGTCCCGAAATCACCTAGTTGTGTCGAGTGGATGTTAAACCCCATTTCTTTCTCTCTCTCTGAGTTGGAGCCTGTCAACAGTTTTATTCACTTTTGTACACTATGTAATTTTCCTGAAATCATTATTTTAAATTCAGGGACATCATATCATTGGAATAATTTAAAATTCTTTACCATTCAGAAATATTGGTAAAAAATGGCTGCGTTTTTTGTCATCATTGTTAGAAGCTGCGACACCCCTGTCGGTTCAAATTTTGCCTAAGTTATCCCTGAAATGTATATGTTTGTTTTGTGCAGAAAAGTAAGATTTTAAACCCTATTTGATTTGATATTATTTTCAGGTGCTGAGTGAAGAATTAACTATAGAATCAAAAGAGAGAGAAAAGTTGGAATTTCATACGGAGGAACTTTATCATCAGATTAAAGATCTTAGTTCTGATGCTAAAAATATAGAACTTGATCTACTGTGGTAGGATTTTATTTAATATTTTGATACCTTTATCATCAGTAGCTTGTCGGGTATGGAGCTGCTCACTAACCTGGGGGTGCAGTGTTTGATTCCAATGTTAGCTGAACAGTTAATTTGGATTTTTCTTGTCAATGGTGGAACCTGGCATGGAAAAGTGTCTAGTTATTCAAATGAGGCGAAAAACTGAAATCCTTTGTATACCATTGGCTGCACATTATAGATCCCCTAACAGTTGCAAATTGAAATAGAGTAGGAGGTAGGAGGTCAGTGAACAATTTTTTGTTACAAATTTCAAAACTTAAAACAATTTGGAACTATAAGCTTTTGAGAAGAGTAACTGCATAATTTTTTCCTTCCTGACCTTCCTGACTGCCCTGTTCTTCCCTCTAAACAGCCTGATTAACTAAGCTGGCCGGGCATTTTATTATGTATACCTCTACTTGTTACAGTGGTCAGAATGATGAACTACAAGATTTGATAATACAGTTAGAAGCTGAACAAGCTAGTATGGTGAAGCGTATGGAACAGAGAGAACTAGAGATTTCCATGAATAAAAGTTCCCTACAAGAAACACAGGAACAAGTCAGTCGTTTACAGATGAAACTAAACAAGGTAAAAGATAGCTTATCTTTCTGAAGGGGGTTGGTTGGCAGAGTGGTTAACGCGTGCAGGTTGCATCATAATGTCTGTCATTGAGTCAGGTGGCATGGTTTTGATTCCCCGCTTGAGCATGACAAGGAGTAGGGTTGCCTGTCATACCTTATGGGTTTTCTCAGGGTCCTCCGTTTTCCTCCTGCTGCTGAAGACCCCTCCCGCTGACCTCTACTCGCAGGCGAATTATTAAAATTAAAATGAACCATATGTTAGTCCTGAAATGACCTAGTTTGTGTTGGGTAGACATTTTACCCCATTTCTCTCTCTCTCTCTCTTCATTAGTCCAGTTGGTGCGGAAAACTAATGATATTAACCCCATTTCATTTCTTTCTCTTTAATTTCTCTGAATTTTAATTAGATAACAAATAATTCAGGTAGTTTTATGTTCTTTTATGACTGTTGGTAGGTTTGTATTGAACCCATTTTGTGTTTTGTTGTAGGAGAGGCGTAAATCTCGTGATGATCAGAGAAGGGATTTGGTCCTGATGGAGAATCGTGAAGATACATGGACACATCAACTGGATGAAAAACAGGCAACAATTGATTCACTCAATAAAAAAATCAAGGTACATCTTTTTAGAACGTAATCATTTCATATTTGATCATTTTTGTTTAATTGGATATTTTAGTCAGCTGTCTGCATGCACAACATTGGACAGCATAAAATCATAATATTTATTTTTTTAACCATCTTGAATAATAATAACGATAATGTGAGCTTTTGTATGGTACTATTTTTTGTGAACACTGTTTTGTATTTGAATCGTTTCCTTTTAGGATTTGGAGGATTTAGTCGAGGCATATGAACAGCAAGAAGAGGAACATGCTAAAGATTTAGCAGAACTGAATCAAACTCTCGACTTATCTTTAGTGAATCCTAACCAAGCTCATGTAGAATTACCGTCTTCACGTAACACTGGAGGTGCAAATATTAAACGTCTGGTGAGTTTTATTCATTTAATTTCTCTATTACTACTATTAGTTAGTGTTGGAGGACCAGACTACACGCAAAACAAACCCGACAAGACAAACCTTGGGACAAGACAAACCTGTAGACAAGACACACCTGTGGACAAGATAAACCACATAGACATTGCGAGAAACAAGCAACAAATATCAAATCAAGTGAATGGATCCAGGGGCCTGTCGTGAGTGTCCACTCAGAAATAATGTAATAATGTGTGTTGGACAAAGAACTTGGTAATCTTCTACTTGAGGCGGCGCTCTTCCAAATGAGCCTAGGGCTTAGCCAATTTTCTTGTGTTGTTCCTCCTTGTCAGTGGTATAGTTCTTCAGATGGGACAAGAGGTTCTGTGTACACATTACCATTACCATTACTCCAGCCCTGTCGTGCACCTGAAAGAACGATTAGAATTCCATGTATGCAAGAGTAGGCTATAGTGACGCTGTCCGTTCAAAATTTCCCTCATAGCACACTCTATGACTGACGCCTGTCTTCATTAGCCCAGTCAGTGCAGAACAGTAGGACGTTAAACCCTGTTTTATTTTTATAACAGTGTTACTGTGTATATTGTATAGGTACCGTTTAACTATATTTATTGTATATTTACCAGGAACTATTGATAACAGTAGACACTAGTGGTGGCAGACGGTCATTATTAAGCGACAGTAAAACGGCGGCTAAAATTAAAGAAATGGAGAGTTTGATGAAGAAATTAGTCGTAGAAGCTCAGGCATGGAAAGAAAGAGAAGCTGATATGAAGAAATCCATCAAAGTAATTTATTAAATTTTCTTAAAAGTTGACAATTGCCACAGAGCATGTTTTGGATAATGTCTTATTTTCAGTAAAATGTCAAATGAAATTGAACTATCACTGCTTTATCCACACGGTAGAACGGAATTGAACCATTTTTGGACCGATATTTCTTTTAGAGATTCAGTTTTCACTGCTGTCTTAAAAGAGATTTCTTTAGATTAATCAGCTTGTTGAGGGGGTGGGGGGTGGATGGCCGAATGGTTAGCATGTGCGTGCAGTATCATAATGTCTGTCATTGAGTTAACTGGCGTGGTTTCGATTCTCTCTCTCTCGTCAGCTTGTTGAGACAATTAGCATTTCTAAATTTAGATCTTTTATGTTTTTATGTCACATTTTATTTTTTTATGAATTTATGTCATTTTCTATTTATAAGTTATTGCAATTTTGGATGAAAGTATGTATATAATTTGTTAATTATCTTAGTAGTCATTTATAGAAGTATGTATATAATTTGTTAATTATCTTAGTAGTCATTTATAGAAGTATGTATATTATTTGTTAATTGTCTGTATTTGTAGTCGTTTATAGAAGAAATGAGTAAATGTAAGAAACGTGAAGCTGTAAACTTAAAGAAGAAGAATGAAATGGTTCAGCATGTTCAGTTATATCAACAAGAAGTTCAAGATCAAAAACAACTTATAAAGGTTAGTCACCCCTGTAACTTCTATGGGTGGCTGTGATGACATCTTGCTCGGTTTCTGGTCCATATAGTACGCTCGTACTTGTTTCAGATCAGCTGTCCTTCAATAGAATTGATTCAGATCAGCTGTCTTTTAATAGAATTGATTCAGATCAGCAATCTATAAATAGAATTGATTCAGATCAACAGTCTTTCAATAGAATTGATTCAGATCAGCATTCTATAAATAGAATTGATTCAGATCAACAGTCTTTCAATAGAATTGATTCAGATCAGCATTCTGTAAATAGAATTGATTTAGATCAGCATTCTATAAATAGAATTGATTCAGATCAGCATTCTGTAAATAGAATTGTTTCAGCTAAAGAAGAATTGTTCTTTCAGTAAACACCTTGCAAGAACATTGTGTAAGTTATATTTATAACACGGCTTTCATGAGTTAACAGGTTTAACCAGAGGCCGTAGGCCGAGGTGTTAAACCTGTTAACGAATGAAGCGTGCTATAAATGACTTGTAACATTGACACCTGCTCAACATGATTTCTACTAAAACTAGTGTAAACCAGCAAGAGAGTGCAATAAAATTGAACATGACTTGTCATTGCACTTTTAAGCTCCACCCAATCTACTAGAAGAACAAAGGAAGATCTCCCGCCCATGTTACAAGCGTTGTTTAGGTCCTTTTAGTACAGAAATATTATTTAATGGATACCCGCTTAGAACATAAGTGTCTGTCTGTCGTAAACATATTTAAAATCAATCTGTTGCAGTAAAGGTTGTTGGTCTGTCATTATGTTACACATTTAAGATTTTGTATTATAATATGAAAGTTAGACTTTTTCTCCATTGATTCTAACACAGGTATGTTTGATATATTTACAGGATTTACATCAGACCATCACAAAATGTTTAGATAAAGATCCTAATGATAAAACAGATCAACTTCTTAAGGTAACAATTCTTTATTTATCTCTTGAGATTTTCTGCATGTCATGTTTTACAAAATACAACTTGAGATTGTCTGCATGTCATGTTTTACAAAATGCATGTTGAGACTGTCTGCATGTCATGATTTACAAAATACAACTTGAGATTGTCTGGAAGTCATGTTTTACAAAATACATCTTCAGATTGTCTGCACGTCATGTTTTACAAAATACATCTTCAGATTGTCTGCACGTCATGTTTTATTTATATGTGGAGATTGTCTGAAGTAGTGTTTTACAAAATACATCATAATTACTGTATGTTATTTATAGCAACGTTTCTACAATGATCCTGGTGTTGTCCGAGAAAGTTCTCCTTGATTCGAGGGGGGGGGGTGCGTGCTTTATCATAAGACCTGTCATTGAGTCAACTGGCGTGGTTTCGAATCCCCGGTTGTACGTGACAAGGATTAGGGTCGCTTGTCCAGCCTCGTGGGTTTTCTCCGGGTCCTCCGGTTTCCTCCCACTGCTAAAGACCCCTACGCGCAAGCAAATTATTGAAATAAAATTAAAACCATGTTAGTCCCGAAATGACCTAGTTTGTGTCGAGTGGACGTTAAACCCCATTTCTCTCTCTCTCTCTCCTTGATTCTCTGGTGTGGTTTCCGCTGTCAGTGGTGATGGATTTTGTTATTTAAATGTCTTACTCGTAGCAGATACACGTGTGTCATTACAATAATCAATATTACAGGAACTTCAAACAGAAATTGTTAATCTACGAACAGAGAAGTTGACGTTAGATACACAACTGCGACAGAAGACAGAAGAAAATGAACAATGTAAAGAACAAATAGCAGAAAAATCTAAGGTATGCTAGAGACTCAATATTCTAGACTACAAGGCAAATATAGACCTTCAGATCATGCCCATAAAAATAGTCTCACCCAAAAACCTTACACAATAAAAGTCAAAAAGTAGTGTCACCCAAAAACCTTACACAATAGAAAGTAGTCTCCCCCAAATAGCAAGTTGGTTCGATGCTTATTAAGTTTCATTCAAATTACTCTATTCTGGGCAAAGTTATGATTGTTTAAGGATATAGTTTAGATCGTTAAATATCGTAGCAACAGCACTTGACAACCAAGACTAATTCTCAATTTTTAAATCTTTTTGATGTTCAAAACCATTTATATCCCAGCATTCCAATGGTCTAGAGGGCTGATTATGAGCTTGTCATGTGAATAAATGTCTAAATAATAATTTATATAACATTTGAAGCCAAGAGAAAAACCTGCTATAGGCAGATTTAGCTCTTACATATTTTATCTTTAAGTTATAAATGAATTTAATATATTACATCTTTGTTATTTGTTTTGTAGGAAATGGAGAAATATCAAAGTGAATTGGATGAATTGAATAACGAGGTAAAAGACATGAAAACTAAAGAAAAACGAATGACTGAGACTTCAGCTGCAAAGTAAGAATTTTATTGATCTAGTTCACCTAGATAATGGTTTTAGTTGATAATTAGGTTTAGAATCTTGAAACTTTACCAGATGTTTGGTTCATTACAACACACCATTTCATACAACATAGAATTAGATTTGTATGCACCCACATTTTCATCTGGACGCATATTGTCGTTGCTCCTGTCCATCCTTCTGTGTGTCTGTCCGTCACAATTTGTTTGTGGACACTCTAAAGGTCACCATTTTTATCCGATTTTAACAAAACTTAAAATATTGGTGTATCTCAGTACCTTTCGAAATTGGCAATTTGTATTCAATTTTAAAAACCGTTTAAATATATTACCGTTAAACACTCCATTGTTGAGTTTGATTCTCGTGATAATTGGACCGAAACTGCTTGACAAAATGGCTGCTACTTGTACGCAAATAGTGTAAAAGTATGTAATACCAAGGTTGTGGACCTTCTAGAAGTCACAGTTTTTATCCGATTTTATTAAAACTAAAAATATATGTTTATAACCAAAAGATCTTGGTTGCTTTTAATATTTCTGCATATCAAACCATAATTTCCTCTGTACACAGGATATCGGTTTTTCGTCCTATCCAAACGACTATATGTTGTTCCTTGCCAGGCCCTCCGTCCTACAAAAATTAAAAGGGGGAACCATGGGGGGGAAAATCCTGATCAACTTTCTTGGCCAACACCAGGATCAAACACGGAACCTCCAGTTTTGCGAGCCAACGTCTTACTCACTGAGCCTCCACTATTCGTTATCTGCAAAGAGGATGCCAAATGTTAAATAATTTTCAATGCATCATGTTTACTTACTATTTATTTTTCACTGTCCGGGCAAAATTTCCCTTGTAGTACACTGTATGGCGTATGCCCGTCTTCGTTAGCCCAGTTCGGAGCAGAACAGTAGGACGTTAAATTTCATTTCATTTCATTTATTTTTCAGATTAACAGCAGCTGAAAATCTTATTGATGAATTGAAGAAAGAAAGATTAGATCTAGAAAAACAAATTCTTTATCTTCGATCAAAAACAGAAGATCTTGAGAAAGAGGTGTCGGATAAAAATTCTAAAATCATGTCCTTGGAGGAAGCCAAAATGGAATCAAAGGTAGAACTGCAGAAATTGTACGATAGAAATCGAGAACTCAGTGTCGAAATGGAATCCTTGCAGAGAGCTAAAACGAAACTTGATTCGACTACTGAGAAATTAGAAAAGGTCACGACTAGACAAGTGGAAGATAATAGAGAACGTGAGAAATTAAACGAAAGAATTCAAAAGTTAGAAATGGATAAATCAGAATTAGAGCAAAAGGTGAATAATCTACGAATGGAGAAATGTAAAGTGGACAAGAAAGTCGTTGATTTACAGTGTGTCGAACATGAAAAACAACGACTGGAACGAAAGTTGGACCGATTAGAGAAAGATAAAGATAGTGCCGAGCGAAGGAACGAGAAAATCGATGATCTTGAACGCGAGAAACAGAGATTAGAACGAAAGGTCGAACGCTTAGAAAATGAAACCCGTGAAAAGTCAACCACCATTGAAAGACAAAGTAGCATGCGTAGCACACTGGTAGAACGCTTACAAACGGAAAAGGCTGAACTTCAACGACAAGTGGAACGACTTGAGCGTGAAAAGGAGGAGGACAAAAAAGAAATCAGACGAAATACGGCGGTTGATGAAAAGGGACTAAAAAGTACAACCCAGGATTTGGAAACGAAAGTAAAAAGATTAGAAAAAGTTGCTAGTGATTTAGAAAGAGAACTGAAAAATAGTAAGGAACAGATTGTGGAACTTAGTAAGCTAAAAGACGGAAAAAGAACGCTTGAACTGAAGATCGAGGACTTGAACTCGGAAATTGCACGTTTAAAGAAGGATCATGAGAGATCTGATAGCAGTTCTAGAACGATCGCTGATCTTAGACAAGAAAAGAGAAAACTTGAAACCAAAGTGGAAGAGCTGGAATCGAATCAAAACAAACCAAAGCGAACTCCCTCCTTTTTAGTGAACAAAGACAATCAGGTGTCCGATCTTCAGGCTGAGAAACGTTATTTGGAATCCAAGATTAACAATTTACAGAAACAGATTGATCAGAATGCAAATAATAAAACTAAATTAGAATCAAAAGAGATCGAAACCTTAAAACGACAAAAGTCGGATCTGGAATCGAAATACGACAAACTTGATGCTGAACTATCTAAAGTTAAAGCAGAACTTGAAGAATTAGAAAATGTGAAGCGTGAAAATGGAAGACTGGATGAAAGGGTGAAAAACCTTCAGAGTCAGTTAGATAAATTATCCAGCAAGAAAACAGAAGAACAGGTGTCCGATCTTCAGGCTGAGAAACGTTATTTGGAATCCAAAATAAACAATTTACAGAAACAGATTAATCAGAACGCAAACGATAAAATTAAATTGGAATCAAAAGAGATTGAAACTTTAAAACGGCAAAAGTCGGATCTGGAATCGAAATATGACAAACTTGATGCCGAACTATCTAATGTTAAAACAGAACTTGAAGCATTAGGGAATGTGAAACGTGAAAATGGAAGACTGGATGAAAGGGCGAAAAATCTTCAAAGTCAGTTAGATAAATTATCCAGTAAGAAAACAGAAGAACAGAATGGCCTTAGACAAGTTACAGCAGAAAAACAAAAGGTTTGTAAAATTTTAAAATATTTTACTGATTTTGATTTGAAGTTTATCAAAAACAAATACTGGTACCAAAGTTATAATATATGTAATTGATCTCTTGAAAGGTATGTTCTGGTTAAAGATCACACCCACTTGAGAGAAAAAATTTGAAAAGAATTTTTTTAAAAAGCTTAAATGTTGGCAATGAAAATGTCACTATACATATTACTGTAAAAGGATGTAAAATTGACCAAATTTGTGTTTGAATATTACACTGTAACCCAGGTATCATTTAACCTTTTGTATCTAGCACTAATTTCTTTCACATTCGTTTAATATCCAATCTTTGTTTAAGAAACTGGAAAAAAGGTTTAAAATTACCATAAATCGTTTAATTTGTACTTCTGTCCAGTTTAAAGCTGACCATTCAATTTTGATAATGAGTGTCCAATCTACAAGTGTTTAATTTCTTGATCACTGTTAAAAAATAAACAACCCAATTGATTAATGATGTATAATGATTAATTTTTGAACAGTGGTCAGGAAATTAAATACTTGTAAATTGGACACTCAATATCAAAATTAATGAGTCAGCTTTAAACTGGACACAAGTACAAATTAGGTGATTTTTGGTGATTTTAAACGAATTTGTAAACAAAGATTTGATATTAAACGAATGTGAAAGAAATTAGTGCTAGATACACAAGATTAAATGATACCTGGGTTACAGTGTTATGTCTTAAATGTAGTAGAGAACCACAGTGGTTCAGTGAGTTAGATGTTGGCTAGCTAACCTTCAGGTCCTGTGTTCGATCCCGGTGTTGGCCAAGAAAGTTTGTCTGGATTTTCCAGTGAAGAGTTCCTCTTGTCAGTGATGTAGTACATATGGCATGGCAAGGGACAATGTATAGTCGTTCAGATGGGATAAAAAAAACCCAGGTCCCCTGTACACATTGGCATGCAGGTAAAAGAATCCCTGGCAGTTAGATTTCAACATATGAAAACGCTGTAGCGCTGTTGTCTGGGCAAAATTTCACTAGTATATCATGCCGTATGCCCATTTTCATTAGCCCAGCTGGACCAGAACAGTACAATGTTAAACCCCATTTCATTTCATTTTTCTTAAAATATAGTTGAAAATGTCTGATTTGTGAAATGAAATATTTACAGGAAAAGTCCAATTATGAAAAGGCAATGGCCGAAATTAGGAATGAGCTGAATGAGTCAAATTTAGCATTGAGTGAGGCGAGATCGTTGCTATCAGCAACCAGACGACAGGAACAAGAGTTACGTGATCGTGTAGCACAACTTCAGAATAAATTAGATAACCAAGCCATGGAGAAAGAAGTAAAAGTACAGGTACTATAACTTTAATAGCCTACATATTTAAATGGCTAGTGTAAGGCCATATAAAAAAACTATTCTGGTTCTCATATAGTCCAACATGACTTCTAAAGGGCCGCATGACATGTTTTTATTTAAAAAAAATAGAATACAAAAAACATTCTTATTGATTAATGCATGTAAATATTTAACTCAGTTACAGTAAGTAACGGGTATTAAAGAAAAATTGAATGAATCCGTAGGCTCATTTATAAAGTACTAGTGGATGAACTGATGCTGATCAGGTGGTGCTCGGAAGCAAAAGTAGTATAACTGCTAAACCGGAAGCGGTAGTACAGCGCCACCAGGTCTGTGTTATTCCCCGGTCCAATTGAACCATAAATTAGTCCTGAAATTAAAGACTTTGTGTCAAGTGGACGTTTTTAAACCCCAGTTCTCTCGCTCACTCTGTTATTATATATACATGTATATTTATAGGCTAGTAATAATGCTGAAGGTGAAATGAAGATTTTACAGTCGCAACAGGATTTACTTCGACGACAGAACAAGGTAAGCTACAACATCATCAATATATTTACACCCCAATTTAAACATTTCCTGAGTGATTTTATACATCTATTTATAAAATTGTTATATAATTTATATAAGATGGTTGGAGGGAGAAGCTGAATGGTTTTATGCATGTTCTGCAGATTGTATGTACATGTAATATTGGTCACTTCAAATACTGATTTTACCTTTCAAATATCTTGATGAAGTATTCAAAGTATTTAAGACAAAAATACACAACAAATTCCATGACTTTTAATTAAATAGCCAATACTAAGAACTGTTTAAAATCAAATAGTGTACAATTTTAGTAATAAAGCCCCTAAAGCAAAACAAATTCTGTGACTTTCTATTGAATAATGAATACTAAGAGCTGTTTGAAATCGAATAGTTTAGAATTTCTAGAATAAAGTCCCTAATACATGTATTTAACGTCCCCCCCCCCCTCAATATATGAAGCCCTTAATATATAATCCCTGTATTATATAGAATTGGGAAGATAAATATAACAGTATACAGAAGGAGAAGAGTGCTGTTATCATGGAACTTCAGACATTACGAGATCAGATAAAAGCCAAACAACATCAGTTTGATTTAGAAGTCAAGGTAAGATAAAAAGTTTATATTTGTAATCGACCAGTTTAAAGGACATTTATAGGGTTGCTGAACACCTGATACCACCTCCAATTTATTTAGGAAATTACAGTCTCTTTTGTAGATTTGTGAAGGATTATGAAACATCTCTTTGGTATTACTCCGCGACACATAGTATCAGAATATTCTATCCCCACCCTCTTTGTTTACATTTTAGGTACCTGTATCAACATTCCTATAAGTTGCACACTGTTCTGTTTCTGTGTTATCAACGAGTGTAATATCAATGACTGTTCTACAATCCATTTTCAAATGAAATAAAATATTGTTTACAATTTACTGATGACTTCTTGTCTTTATTATAGAAAAGCCAAAAGTTAAAGGTTATTTGTACGGAGTTAGAAGAACAGACCAATGATCTTGAGGCTCTTGTAGCCAAATATGAAGAACGGGAGAAAGAATGGAACATGATCAAGTAAGTTTTATTGATGAGTTTCGTGGAATTGAATCCACTCATGTTTTTAGAGACAGGACTAACAACTGACTTGATTAGCTCAATTTGCTACAGATACCTAAGATCTCGAATTATATTATATTTTTTAAGCTATACATTGAAAAGCTTATATTTAAAAAGCATCTGATCTAGTATATAGATAAAGGTATTTATTTCAGTAAAAATATATCCATCAGTAAAAATGTTATGAGATTTTGGCTTCAAATGGAATATAAACTATTATTTAGACATTTAATGACAACCCATGATCAACCCTCTAGACTATCGGATGGCAGAGATTTAAATGGATTAGAACGATAAAATGGATAGTCGAGGCCAAGTCTCGCTTGTCAAGTACCGCTGCTACGATAATAAACAATCTACGCTACATCTTCTAGCACAGATAACTTCGCTCCGAATAAAGTTATATGAATGAAACTTGCAATGTATTCATTATCTATTTTTGAACTATTTATAGCAAAAAGGTACAGCTCTTTATCTAAATCCTACATGATGCATCTTCAATAAGTGAATGATTGATATTTGATCATTTCTGTTATACTTACACATGTATATAAGTGAATGAATGATAACTTTGATATTTTTGTGTGTTTTTAGGAGTACATATGAGAGGGCTGTAGGTGAAAGGGAAAATGAATTAGTAGGTGCCAGTAAGGAATTAGATGCCATTAGACATTCTAGGTAAATTTCATGTTTTAATATGTATGAGACTGATTGCCATTTGAGGGAGTCTGACACTACAACTTTTATATCGTTTAGTTGTACTGATTTAGCAGCAGTTTCCGTATTTAATATTTAGTTTCAAACCATTGTTGACAAATTGTTCAAGTTCCTACTGTTGTGTTATAGAGTATATTATAGCTTTATCTGTACATACCACATTAATTGTGAAATATGATGTATTTAAAGTTTTATATATATACTATTCAAAAAAAGTAGGGGATATTTGATTTTTAAGTGTTATTAAAGTCACCTAATGAAACTGACGAAGAAACAAATGACAAAATGAAATGAAGTTCACATTCATCGATTTATTCCAAATGATCGTTAGACTAAGTAAGGCACAGACTGACCATTATAAGGGTAAAATGATACCCGGGGTCAAACAGCAAAGTTACCACAGCATCACAACCATGTCAGTAACAGGTAAATCCTCCTCTGTTTGCCAAACAAGCATTGATCCGACGTGGCATACTTCTAATGAGACGTCTAAGGTCATTTTGGTCCAGATTGTCCCATTCCTGTTGCAACGCAGCAGCAAGTTCTTGGACATTGGCAGGACGTTGTTGACGTTGACGTAACCTCTGTCCAAGCATGTCCCAGACATGCTCTATGGGGGAGAGGTCGGGACTCAGTGCTGGCCAAGGTAATGTGGTGATGTTCTGTTGTTGGAGGTAACCTGTAACGATCCTGGCCCTGTGACATCTTGCGTTGTCATCCTGGAAGATGAAACGGCGACCATGACGTCGTGCGAACGGCACAACATGGACTGCCAAGATGTTGTCCCGGTAGTACTGGCCTGTAACACGCCCTGCAACAACATGTAAAGCCGTTCTTCCAGCAACAGTGATGCCTCCCCACACCATAACAGAACCACCCCCAAATCGATCATGTCTGATGACGTTAACGTCTTGGAAGCGCTCGTTTCGACGACGCCACACCCTCCTACGTCTGTCCAAAAAATCAACAGTGAACCTTGACTCATCTGAAAACATCACATTGCTCCAGCATCGATTATCCCAGTGTTGACGATCCCTACACCAACGACGTCTTGCCTGAATGTGATGATCTCTCAAACAAGGGATCACGCGAGGACATTGGGCGCGAAGGTGACCCCTATGCAGTCGATTCCGAATCGTCTGGCCACTCACTCTCACACCAGTGTCTGTTTGAAGACGAGCGCTGATCTGATTTGCTGTGATGACACGATTTCTCAAGGCCAAGGTACGAATAAATCGATCCTGCGCTTGAGTTGTCGCCCTTGGTCGACCTGAGCGTGGTCTGTCCTGTACAGATTGTGTATCACGGTATCTGGACCATAGCCTGCTTATGACAGACTGAGAAACATTCATCGTCCGCGCCACAACCGCCTGTGTTGTGCCGATCTGTAGCATGCCAAGGGCACGTAACCTTTCATTTTGGGTAAGCCGACGCATATCAAAATTTGTTTTCTGGTCACTAAAACAATTAAACTGATGTTTCCACCCTGGAATTCAATGCCACAATGACTGTAACATTCAAAGTCAGAGTCGTGCAAATCTTGGGTTGGACCCCCATGATGATCCCAAGCATCACCTGCATTCCATGCGGTAGCTATTGGTGCGTTTGGGCGTCACATGTAACTGGAAATGTTTCTTCTGTTAGGTTCTATAGTGACTTTTTTCGTAGTCATTTGCATATTTTAGTATTATGCCCCCAAAATCAAATATCCACTACTTTTTTTGAATAGTATATTTTATTATTAATACACATGTTCATTCGTTATAGACATTAATCAACTGTCAAGCTTAATAGACTATTTGTAAATTAATATAATAGCTTTAATTAGAGTACAGTTTGAATGAGCTTAAATTATAAATCTCTAGACTTTTAGGTTATAATTTACTCTATCACAGTTGCGTAGTTTAAAATGGTCCATCTGGATTAGATAATGAGTGTTGGGTTTACAACTGTTTACATTCACTAGTAGCGGCAATACTATATACCGGAAAACTACCGGAAAACACTATGTTATACTGAATACCCGAAAACACTGAAAAACCACTAAATACCGGAAAACACCCTAATTAGGTAACAAAGAGCCTGGTCTTTTGTTTGCGGAGAGTTAGGGTTAATATTAGGGCTAGGGTTAGGTTTTTCCAGTGTTTTCCAGAGGACCAGCGGTGGGTTAGGGTTAGGTTTTTCCAGTGTTTTCCAGAGGACCAGCGGTGAGTTAGGGTTAGGTTTTTCCAGTGTTTTCCAGAGGACCAGCGGTGAGTTAGGGTTAGGTTTTTCCTGTGTTTTCCAGAGGACCAGCGGTGAGTTAGGGTTAGGTTTTTCCAGTGTTTTCCAGAGGACCAGCGGTGAGTTAGGGTTAGGTTTTTCCTGTGTTTTCCAGAGGACCAGCGGTGGGTTAGGGTTAGGTTTTTCCTGTGTTTTCCAGAGGACCGGGCTCCGAGTTACCTATTTAGGATGTTTTCCGGTATTTAGTTTTTTTCCGGTGTTTTCCGGTATTCAGTATAACAAATAAACATGGTGTTTTCCGGTAGTTTTCCGGTTGTTTTCCGGTGTTTTCCGGTATATAAGTATAGCCCACTAGTAGTATGGCAGAGTAAGCAATAGACTAATGATATTATACTTTTGTTTGCTAATCTTGATTCAATATCAAATAATCAGATTTTTCTCATACGCTCTTTTTACCTAAAATCGACTTTTTTAAATCTAGTGCATTACCCTCTCCTGCAAGTTGTTTTTTTTCTCCGACCATGTTAAAATTTATAGACTACAATTTTTCATTTCATTCATATGATACAAGGTTTGGGTAGTATTCCCTTTTTTCATGAGTTGCTTCCCTTATTGTTAAGTTGTTTCTCTCATTTTGAGTGAAGTCTGTATCACTACAGGTCCGGTAGCCACGACTACAGGACAGTGGAAATGAAATGTAATTGGTTTTAAAGTCCTAATGTTTTGACAGGGCAGTGAACACTTACGACTAGCCCCTGGATCCATTCTCTTGATATGATATGTGTGTTTGTTGTTTGTGGTGTCTGTATATTGTCACCTGTCGGTAGGTTTGTCTTTGGTAATTGTTTGTGTGTGGTGCAGTCCTCCTGCACTTACCAAATATATATAAAGAAATTACGTCTAAAAATCTTGATGTCGAGATAAACAATGGTTTCAGTCATTTTTTTCATAATTATTTTTTTATAACTTGAAGATCTGCCGCTGGTGAAAAGATGAATACATTAAAACAGAAACTGCAAGTAGAGAAAGCTGCTAGAAAAGCTGAAGTTGAAGAACTCAATAAGAAATATCTAGAGGAAAAGGCTAAAGTCCAGAAATTAGAAAATAAGGTAAAGCTAATATTAATGTTTTTATTGACTAGTTTATTGATAAACCAATGCACTGGTTTTAGAATCCTGTCAGTTTGTGCAGTATTTGTATGTAAATGGGTTAAGATGCTGGCTCGCTAGCCTGGAGGTCATGTCTTCGATCCTAGTATTTTCTGAGAAAGTTCATAAGTATTTTCTGACGTGATTTTCCGTTGTAAGTGGTGCTGGACAAGGACAGTTGTCTAGTTATTTGGATGGGACGAAAAACGCAGGTCCTGTGTATACATCGGCGTGTACGTAAAAAAATCCCTTGGCAGTTGGAATTCGATATAATAGTAGGGCAAAATTTCCCTCATAGCACACTGCATGGTGTATGCCCATATTCAGTAGCCCAGTCTGAGCAGAACAGTAGTACGTTAAACCCCATTTCATTTCATTTATATTATATACTCTTCTTGGAATCTTTGTAATGTTCACTTATTTATGTACGTATAAATGAATTATTATTATTAGAGAGGAATGGAGGAGAATATGAAGAGTAAATATGAACAGATATTAGAAACACAGAAGAGGAATATACATGCTATAGATGATGATAAAAATAAACTGAAAGAAGAGGTTTGTCACACTGATCAGCATTAGCTTATTTTGAACAATATCTAATCTTTCACAGCTTAATCCACACTAAGATGTATTCAGACTCAGATCCATAATTAAATATTTAATTAAAGATACATTATGGGAGATTAGATAAAGAGCTGGTAGTTCTCACTATAATAGTTAAAAACTAGATAATGTAAAGGCAATTTGCTGAAAATTTCAGTCAAATTGATCCACTATGAACCGAGAATTAAGCGATTAAATTTTCGGCCTAGCCTCGATCATTAAAGTGTGAAATTCAATTATCCATTTCATGAATTAATTGTGAATAGAAGTCAACCAGCAAATCGGAACCTAATCCAATAAACATTGCACGCTAGTGATGCCATAGAGAGTTGATTAGCTCTTGCATAATGTATGTTTAAGAAAACAAAACCAGAATATCAATGATGGATAATTACCAAGCTTAGATTCAGATGAATTAAAATTAGGCCTATCAAAAGATTTAAGTTATTATTTAGATGACTGAAGTATTGTCTTATGCTAGTTTCCCATTGTCATGCGATGTGTTGGGATAGGATTGTCCTTATTGAGTCCACAATCGGGTACGTGCAGATACGTTTCGATACGATCAACACGATTGCTACGACTGACCTAAATATATAAGACCTGATAGGATCACCACAATTTCTCCGCGATTAAAACCATGTTTTTAATCGTATAGTGAATCTTGATAGTGGGAACCTGCCATTAGAGAGATTTCAAACATTTCAAACTTCATTCCTTTTTATGTCATATTTTGTAGATTTCCAGAGTATTAACAGAATGTCAGGAATTACGTGTTAAAAATCTTCAGTTAAAACAGAATCTGGACCAGGCAGTGGATAAATTTGAACTGATATTTGGTCAGAAAATTGATTTAGAAAACTTTACGGAAGCTTTGCAGGTATTTAATTTATTGTTAAATTTATAATCCCTCACTAACAGGTGAAAGATACCTTTTCTCCTCATCTAACTCAATATTATAGCATAAACCTGACAGTATAATACAACAATAAAATTCACTTCCATTTCATTATATAGTTTATCAGTTTATTCTAGAATGAGAGTAATATTTTCTTAATTCTGGGTAAAACCAGAGTTACTCAAATTGTAAATAATAGCGACATCGCTACTTTAAAGATGGGTTCCCAGAAAAATATTTATCTGGTGGTTATTTCCAATAAAAGTATGGCAATTTTGGTATATATGGAAAGTAGAGATATCCAATCTTACTTGAAAAATACTGGTTTCCCCGAAAAACACTCATGGAGCGTATACAGGACAAAAATGTAAGGGTTCCCCTAATCAACAGCCCGACGATTAGGAATTTCTGCACGCGTGATGTCAAAGGTGACACGCGAACATTGAGCACTTGATGTACAAGTTGATAAACTTTATGAAGAGTTAGCATACAACACTTTCTGAGATAAAAATGACGGAAAAAGATGCGGGTAGTGGTTAATCCGAGAATTTAATTAGGATTCGATATTTGTAATAAATAGTAAGCGATTAAAGACAACATCGTCTTATGTATGCAATGAATTCTCCTCTGACTTCCAAGAAAGGTAAGTCACGTGACGTAAACATGACCTGGTTTGATCGAATTTTAATAGCAGGGCATTCCTTCGCAATTACAATGTTTGAGAAGGATTTGAAGCATAATTATGACAAATTAATTATAACTTAATTCCCTGTTTAACATATATATATATTACATATGCATGTTCTAACCAGTATATATATCTATGTTTAACCAGGGTTTACATTTCCTCGAGAAATATAAATTTGAAAGTCAGATCGGACAACAGATGAAATTAATCGACTATTTACAAGAACTCTGGCTAGAAAACGTCAATAAAAAGAAAAAGGTGGGTTAGACTATACATGGACCTTAATGCTTCCTAATACTTAACATTCTCTCAGTTTTCTGATGGAATTGGTGGTGGTAGGAGAGGGAGATAGAGGACCGTGTGGGTTGTATCATAAGGTCTTGTCATTGAGTCAAGTGGTGCGGTTTTGATTTCCTGCTTGTACGTGATAAGGAGTAGGGTCACCTGTCCAACCTAGTTAATAAACCTAGTGAATGTTATCCATAAAGCTATTTGTTTTTATATATAGCTTTCACTAAATGCCCTTTAAAGATATTCAATAAAGTTAATCGACTTACAGAAAGTTTAGGGTTCTAGGAGAACAACATGTTTCTTTTGAATGATGTTTAAAATTGTAGTTATTGTTGTTATAGTCTGGTAAATGGTTTGGAAGTTTGAAAGGTAAAGATGCTGCTATGGCAGGACTACCATTACCCTTAACGGACATCCAGTTGGCGTTAGATCAAGAAAGACGTAAATGTGCAACACTGACGGAACAACTGGACCGATTACGACAGGAGTTATACCAGAAAGAAAGTGAATGTAAGTATTGTGTACTCTTCACATTAAATACTGATTTTACTATTTGAGTATTGGGTACTCATCACATTGAATACTGATTTTACTGTTTTAGTCACATTAAATACTGATTTTACTATTTGAGTATTGGGTACTCATCACATTGAATACAGATTTTATTATTTGAGTATTGTGTAGTCCTCACATTGAATACTGATTTTACTGTATTGGGTACTTGTCAGATTGAATACTGATTTTACTGTTTGAGTATTGGGTACTCGTCAGATTGAATACTGATTTTACTGTTTGAGTATTGGGTACTAGTCAGATTGAATACTGATTTTACTGTTTGAGTATTGGGTACTCGTCACATTGAATACTGATTTTACTATTTGAGTATTTTGAATTATTTGAATGCTCTCCAATATTTAATTTTTTGTAATTTTCAGATTTTGTGAAGTCATGAAATTTTGAAATCACTATATGCCCACTCGTATAGTTGTCACCCTGTCGGTCCATCTGGTCATTTACAATTGGCTTGTGAATGCGATACAGACCACAGTTTTTGACAAATCTTTTTAAAATCTGGTGTGAGGATGAATTTAGCATTACACAATTTCTGTTCCAGAGCTATCCCCCTTTTGCTGAAAACTTTGCGAACGCGATAGAGGCTAGAGTTTTAATGGATTCTTTTCATATTTGGTATGGTGCATAGTGGTCATGAGAATTTTGCGACTTTCCATTCAGGAGTTATCCCCCCTACCGCACACCATTTTTTATGTGTTGAATTAGTTTAAATTATGAGTTAATTTCATTTGAGTGACATTTAGTGATTGAGCACATTAAAAAACAGAACACAATTTACATGGAAAACAATCACTGGGTTATACACATATAGCACAAGTATTCTATTATCATGTATAAACCAGTGATTGTTTTCCATATAAATTGTGGTGTTTTTTTTAGGAAAGATATAAATAATGAACTAATTATATATTCCAGTGTTACGACAGCAGGGTTATAATAGAGACCGAATGAATCACGATGAACCTATCACACCAGTACCCATGTCAACGCCTAAAATAACCCCTAGAATAAACTCAACTCCTTTACAAAGATCTCCTAAACGACAGACAAGTTCTTCGTCACTCATCGTAGAAACAACAACAACAACCTACGTTATGCCACAGCAGGCACGACAGCCTTCCATTAAACGGATGCATCATAACATTCCCCATCGCTTTGTCACTGGTCTCAATACGCGAGCTACTAAATGTGCCGTCTGCTTGGGTAGCGTGTATTTTGTAAATCAAGCAGCAAAATGTCAAGGTGAGTTGGAGACATGACATTCAGAAAGTTGGGAAAGAAATGGGGTTTTGGTTGAAGTGAGGGATTAGCCAATGAAATGGTCTGTTACGGCAATACACGAAACTGTAGGTAAACCACTAGAAACGGCAACGCTGACTGATTAATCAATGTCTGACATCACAGGGTCAAAAGCCCTCCATATGACCCCTGACGCGACCTTCCAGTACAACTTGTCAGATCTTCATGTAGTGTAGGCCATCGAAAGTATAAAAAAACGAAACGAAATATAGATCTGTATTTGAATCAGATTGCTCTAAAGTGTGGCCATAACTTATAAGAACCACCCACTGATCTAGATTTTTATTTCTATGATTTGATATTTGTCTTTGTAGAATGTAACTTAGTGTGTCATCCTAAATGTGTGACGTCAGTGCCAGCATCATGTGGTCTACCGACGGAGTATGTACAACATTTTACGGACATGATGAATAAAGTAAATAATGATGAAGGTGTAGAGTCATCTACAGATGATGATGATATTGCTATTAAGATGGAAGGATGGTTGAAAGTTCCAAGGTAACTTTTTCGACACTATCATAACATGATTAATAGAATATTAAAGTACTATTGAACTCTTTATGGTCTGACAGGATCCCAGTTCATTATACAGAAGTAGTGAGAGAGAAATGGGGTTTAACATCCACTTGACACAAACTAGGTCATTTTGGGACTAACACATGGTTCGATTTTATTTCAATAATTCGCTTGCATGTATGGGTCTTCAGCAGTGGGAGGAAACCAGAGAAAGCCCACAAGGTTGAACAGATGACCCTACTCCTTGTCACTTACAACCGGGAAGCCGAAACCAAGCCTGTTAACTTAATGACAGACCGTCGTGAAAGTTGTGCGCTATAAAAACGTATAATAATAATAATATGTATTGTCATATAGTATTATCACCTTTCATGGAAGAGTTCCCTCAACCTTGTTCTTTATTTGAGTACTCGGGAGTTATCTCCCATATGTGGAATCTTTTGTACTTTGAGAGGTTGAATAAAACATGGCCTATCTCACATGTGGTTTTTAGATTCAATACATTTTATTATAAATATTATGATGGCGAAATGAAATGAAATAGGGTTTAAAGTCCTACTGTTCTGCTCCGAACTGGGCTAATGAAGATGGGCATACACCATACAGTGTGCTATGAGGGAAATTTTGCCCGGACAGCAGCACTACTGTCTACTCTTATATCGAATTCCAACTGTCAAAGGGTCATTTACGTGTATGCCAATGTGTCCACAGGACCTTGTTTTTTCTCCCATCCGAACGACTAGACAGCTAAATATTATGGCAAATTAATTGTGTGTATTATTATTTTATAGGACTGGTAAGACAGGTTGGGAGAAGAGATGGGGACAGTTAGAAGGAACATTATTAATGTTATATCGTGAAGATACTGATGCTAATCCTGTTGATACGTTTGAATTAAATCCTGTGGATGGATATGTTACTATACACAGTGCTGTCACTTACTCCGAGCTGTCCGGAACAGCGAGTTCAGATTTACCTTTTGTTATGAGATTAGACCAGGATCCGTTAACCACCTGCTGGCCTGGACGGTAAGTTCATATTTTACAATATCTGGTCGGTTTATGTCGACAACTAATATGAATAATAGGTCCAGAAATTGCTGACATAAAGTGATCTCAGTTGGTGAGAGTTCCACTTTGTGGAAGGATACTTGATTAATGATCTGCATGGTTCAGACATAATTTTTGGAAAATAAACATACATTATGCAAGAGCTAAATCTGCCAATTGCAGGTCTTTCTTGAGGCCTGAAATGTTATCTAAATTATTAATTAGACATTAATTAACTTATCCCAACCATAATCAACTCTAGATGGCATTGCTAGCCTACTATATTTACTGGATTAGAACCCGGTCTCCTACTTCTGATTAAATCAAAAAATGGATAATCAAGACTTATGTTTTTTTATCGTACCGACTTTAGAAATGATGATCGAGGCTGGGCCCAAAATTCAATCTCTAAATACTCGGTTCAGGGTGGATCAATTTGACTGAAAATTTTCATCAAATTCCCTTTACATTATCTAATTTTTAACTATTAAACTGAGAACTGCCAGCTCTTTATTTTATCTCCCATAATGTATCTTTAAAAAAAAAGGGTCTACTGGTAGAAGGGTTAACGTATATAAGAGGGGATGGTATCTATAGAAAGTTTTGTTTTGACCCATTTTAACTGATACAGACCCATTTTAAATTTTGACAGTTTTGCTACTAGAGTTTAATTAAAACATACTCATTGAAAGAATCACATAATAAAGGGGTGTAATGTTACTGATATGTCTAAAAAGTAATTTCTTCCTTCAGATCTGTGAAAATAGATGTTTAGACTGACATACAAATTAACTAAATCTAGAAGAACTATACTAAATTGATGTTTAAATGGCATTTGAAATGAAATGGGGTTTAAAAGTCCTACTGTTCTGCTTCGATTGGGCTAATGGAGACGGGCATGCGCCATACAGTGTGCTTTGAGGGAAGTTTTGTCTGGGCAGCAGCCCTATGGCCTACTCTTATATCGAATTCTAACTGCCAAGAGATCATTTACATGCACGCCAATGTATACACCAGATCTCGTTTTTTTGTCCCATTCAAATGACTAGAGAGCTGTTCTTGTCAGGCCCTCCGTCCTGCACCACTGACAAGGCGAAACCACGTCAGAAAATCCCAATGAACCTTCTTGGCCAATGCAGGGATCAAACACACAACCTCCAGGCTAGCGAGCCAGCGTCTAACCCACTTAGCCACCGTGGCTCCTTAAATGGCATTTAATAATAGACAAGCATTAGTTAGCTTATATTAGAGCGACATTTCATCAGGCAACGATTACTAGCCATAGTTGAAACATCAGGCTAATTAAAGTTGTGTAATTGTTGTTTCATGGGGTTATTTTGTTTATTTGATCTATTTTCAGAATGTTGTATATTATGACGACAAACTTCAGTGATAAACAAAGATGGGTGGCGTCACTAGAGGCAGCCATGAAATCGGCACAGAGAGGAGAAATATTCAGAAGAAATGTAAGTATATTTATTTTATTATAATGCATGGCGGAGCTGAGTGGAGTCAACAGAAGACATTGCCATCTATAGGCTTTGATGGGGAGGGTTAAGTCCGAATGGTTAGTTCGTGGAGTAGGATCGCCTGTCCAACCTTGTGGGTTTTCTCCGGGTCCTCCGGTTTCCTCCCACTGCTAAAGACCTCCTATGCTCAAGTGAATTATTGAATTAAAATTGATCCATATGTTAGTCATGAAATGACCTTGATTGTGTCAAGTGGACATTAAACCCCATTTCTGTTAATCCAGAATGCTTCAGTTGATTTAATTTAAATTGAGTGACAAGGAATTGAGTTCTGCCTGTCTTGAAAACAGATGTGGTGTGAACAGAATTATGGCATAATCAAACGTTTCAGCTGTAATGATTGGTTGAGATAGTATCATATTCTGGTAGCGTATGACTAGTCACTTGAAATTCCTGTGTTTACTCAATTGCCATGCTACACTGATCAGCAGTGAATTTCCGCTAGGCCTCTACAATCACTGATAAGGATGACATCAATGTGACTTAATGATCCAGAAATATTAACATTTTTCCTGCAACAAATTAAATTCTAAAACATTTTTTTTATGTATTGGAAAAATAAATAAAGGCGTTTGACGTATTTGTAGGTAAAAATTATTTCCTATTTAGTGTAAATGGGTATTAAAATGACTAAAAGGCAGCATTCTCTCCGAAGCAGTAATGTCTTAAGTAAACAATGCACGTGCCGTTCAGCCAATGATTGACGCCATGTGCTGTGACGGTACATGTTAAGGCAGTCATCTTTGACAGAGATATTATACTAGACTCGTAATTCTCTGTGAAACAGATTGTTGCCATGCATATTTGTTTTTTATTTTTTTCAGAGATTACAGATTAACACTGTATTAACTATGAATTGTTCCAACAGAAAAGAGTTCAACTGTTCATTAGTTCTCTCAAAAGAGGTAAATTATTTTATTTTAGTTGTCATATTACTTGTGAATTAAATAGCCGACAGACTTCGGAATCAACAAAAGTAAAAGATTAGACACTGTAAACTAGGTATCATTTAATTTTGTGTATTTAGATCTAATTTCTTTCACATTCATTCAATATCAAATCTTTGTTTGAAAATTCGTAAAAATCATTTAAAATTACCCCAAATCATCTAATTTGTACTTGTGTTCAGAATAAAGCTGACCATTAATTATCCAATCACTATCATTGATTATTATACATCAACAATCAATTTAGTCTGGAGACTCAGTGCGGGGGAGGGGGGTGTCCATCAAATGAGCACAAAACCAGGCCCAACTTTTCTAGAGTAAAATTTTGCGTAGAATACGATGCTGAGTGGTAATCAGTCTGCCGTTGGGGCATTTTCAAGATATTCGGGGTCAAATGGGTTCATTTGCACTGAAAGTGAATGCGCAGTCATTCTTGTATCATGAAAATAAGCTGAAAATGATCGAAAGTAATCATACTTTCAATAAAAATGTGAACTTGCTAATTTTTAAACTGGACACAAGGTCAAATTAAATGATTTCAGACGATTTATACAAATTTTCAAACAAAGATTTGATATTGAATGAATATGAAAAAAAATTAGGTCTAAATGCACAAGATTAAATGATTACAGCAAAAAATGTCCATTATTTCATATGCCCCTGTCCAACAGTCTGTCCACAATGTCTGGTGAAATTTCACAGACCATATTTGTTTTCAAATTTGCTGGGTATTCTAATCCAAATTTCATATCAATATGTTATAACTTATCGACCCAGACTTGTGAAATCTTGTCAATTCCAATTATATTTTCCCCGGGTGTATGTGACAAGGAGTAGGGTCGCGTGTCCAACCTCATGGGTTTTCTCCTGAGTCCTTCAGTTTCCTCACACTGCTAAAGAGCCCTACGTGTAAGCAAATTATTGAAATAAAATTGAAGCAAGTGTTAGTCCCAAAATGACCTAATTTGTGTCGAGTGGACGTTAAACCCTCTCTCTCTGTCTTTCTCTCCAATTATATTTGGACAGAGTTCATAGCACATGTTTGTTGACAATCATTGAATTGTGTAGTATTTGTTTTGTATCTGGAGCTGGCCGATATCCCAGATATTATCACAATTTTGGTTTATCACCTTTTAACTGTAAATAAACATACATAAAAAGTTGTACATACTTCCGGAGTATTCACTTGTACTATTCCAAAATTAAGCGGGGGCTTAGATGGCCGAATGGTTAGCATGTGCACACTGTATCATAAAGTCTGTCATTGAGTCAACTGGTGTGGTTTCCATTCCCCGGTTGTGGGCGACAAGGAGTAAAGTCGTCCGTCCAAAACTTTGTGGGTTTTCTCCGGGTCCTCTGGGTCCTCCGGTTTCCTCCCACTGCTAAAGACCCCTACGCACAAGCAAATTATTGAAATATAATTGAACCATATGTTAGTCCTGAAATAACCTAGTTTGTCTCGAGTGGACATTAAACTCTCTCTCTCTTCACTTAATTGTAGTCAGTATTATTCCAAAATTTAGCTGATATTCCTGAAATGACCTAGTTTGTGTCGAGTGGAGGTTAAACCCCATCTCTCTCTCTCTCTCTCTCACCCAGGTCTATTTTGAATTGTGTATTTTGTAGTTGGTGTTATTAGGATCAGAAGAAGGTTTATATGCGTTAAATGTACAAGATAAGAACTGTCAGTTAATACAGTTAACAGGTATTAATAGTATACATCATATGGTTGCTGCTTCTGGTCTTGGTATGGTACTCATGATCTCAGGTAGGTACTTTCATTCTCTCCTGCTCTTCCCAGGTGGGTAAGATGCTGACTCGCTAGCCAGGAGGTCGCGTGTTCGATCCCTACATTGGCCAAGAAAGTCCATCAGGATTTTCCAACGTGAATTTTCCCTTGTGGTGCAGGACGGGGGGCCTAACAAGGACAGCTATCTAGTCATTCGGATGGGATGAGAAACTAAGGTCTTCCGTTGAAAATTTCCCTGATAGCACACTGTGTGGTGTATGCCCATCTTCATTAGCCCAGTCGGAGCAAAAAATAGGACGTTAAACCCCATTTCTTTTCATTTTCGCTCTTCCCTGGCAATATATCACTTGATCATCAATTTCCTGAATCTTGATTAAGAAGAGAGTTTTGTTAAGCACCTGACAGCTGAAAATTGCTCCTCATAATTTCCATATTTTCTGAATAAAAGGAACCACTCTCTTTATCACAGTTTCCTCCCACTGCTGAAGAGGCCCTATGTGCAAGCAAGTTATTGAAATAAAATTTGAACAATAAGTTAGTCCCGAAATGACCTTGTTTGTGTCGAGTGGACGCTGAACCGCATTTCTCTCTCAATTTCCTCACCTAGTCCAAACAGGGAGAACATTTTTTAGGGGAATGATTTTCGACTTTCTGAAATTAAGGAGAGCTCTTTTTATGCCTCATAGCGAAATATAAAAAAAAAACTATTACTGATATTAAAACTAATGGAATCTTTTTATTAAATTTTTAGGCCAAGATCGTCGTGTTATTATGGTAGAAAAGAAGTTAATAAAGTGTCGAGTATCCCAGGCAACTGGCCCTGAAACTATACCAGTACCGTTTAAAGGTATAGATGGAATACAGAGTTGTACAGTGTTTGATGTGGGTATGTGGGAAGATGCCACATATCTTTGTGTTGGTATGCCAGATAAAGTTATCCTAATGAAGTTTAATTCAAGTCTTGGCATGTTCTGTATAAGAAAGGTAATGATAGCTTTTCAGTTTGAAGTATAAGATTAAGAATCAGTAGGCCTACGTTTATTTCATTGATGTCCATTTATTGCGAATATGATGGTGATGACATTGTTATTGTCTGTTTGAAATTTGAATGGAAATACCTTGGTACACACTAATCAGGACTTACTTCTGTCATGGGTGTTTGGTTGCCGAATGGTTAATGTGTGCACGTTTGATCATAAGGTCTGTCCTGGGTCCAGCCTTGTGGGTTTTCTCCGGGTCCTCAGGTTTCCTCCTACTGCTAAAGACCCCTACGCGCAAGCGAATTATTGAAATAAAATTAAACCGAAATGACCTAGTTTGTGTCGAGTGGACGTTAAACCCCATTTCTCTCTCTCTCTCTATTTCTGTCATATGATTCAATCAGATTAAAATTGTTTTACCCAAAACTTATAGGTGGTACTATCTTTTTTATATCATCTGCAGAGGATGTAAAATTATCAATTCAAATCTTTATAAATACTGAATTGAATTGAAACATTTTAAGACTAATAGAGCTTTAGACATTGTAGTCTGCAAGTCCAAGGAATTAAAACTCCCCCAACTGATAATCATCAACCGTAACCTCATATATAAGGAAATTAATTTTCAAATTTTGTTTTATTTTGTAGGAGTTTTCATCCAGTGAACCATGTAGTTGTGTTTGTATAACAGAGAATATGGCATTAGTTGGGACAGAGAAATTTTACTCTATTAATATGGAACATCCTAATTATATGTTAGGTATGTTTTGGATACTTCATTCATGATTACCTTTAGTCCTTTACTCAAGCCACAGTTTAGCATAGTTTATTAAATATATACATTGGTTTTTGTTTGTAGAGTGAATCTCAGGAACTGCTCTCGCACATCATCTTTCTTCAGCGTAAAGGGGAATGACCGAATGGTTAAACATACATTATGCAAGAGCTAAATCTGTCTATTGCAGGTCTTTCTTTAGACCAGAAATATTATCTAAATTATTAATTAGACATTAATTAACCTATCCAGACCATAATCAACTCTCGATGTCAACGCTAGCCTGTGATATTAATGGATTAGGATCCGATTTGATGCTCAACTTTCATTTATGATTAAATCATGAAATGGATAATCAAGACTGTTTTTTATCGTACCGACTTTAGTAATGAGGATCGAGGCTAGGCTGAAAATTCAATCGCTAAATTTTCGGTTCAGAGGGGATCAATTTGACTGACATTTTCAGCAAATTCCCTTTACATTATCTAGTTGTTAACTATTAATATAGTGAGAACTTCCAGCTCTTTATCTAATCTTCCATAATGTTTCTTTAATTAAACATACATTATGCAAGAGCAAAATCGGCCTATTGTAGGTCTTTCTTTAGGCCTGAAATGTTATAAAAACTATTAATTAAACATTAATTAACTTATCCAGACCATAAGCAGCTCTCGATGTCAAGGCTTGCCTGCGATATTTGTTGGATTACAGTCCGATTTGCTGCAAAACTTTCCTTCGTGATTAACGATTAAATGGATAATCAAGACTATTAGTTTTGTCTTATCGACTTCAGTAATAATGATCGAGGCTAAGCGGAACTTTCATCAGCAAATTCCCTTTACATTATGTAATTTTTAACTATTATAGTGAGAACTGCCAACTCGTTATCTAATCTTCCATAATGTTTCTTTATTTAATGCGTGTGTGTTACGTCTTAAGGTCTGTCACTGAGTCAAGTAGCATGGTTTCAATCGTCCGCTTGTATGTGACAAGGAGAAGGTTCGCCTGTCCAACCCCTACGCACAAGTGAATTAATGAAATAGAATTGAACCATATGTTAGTCCCATAATCACCTAGTTTGTGTTGAGTGGACGATAAACCCCATTTCTGTCTCTCTCTCTCTGAAACAAAACATTGTTCTCACAAATCAAGTGACTATTTATCAAGGCCCTGAAGCAATGAAAATCCAGTTGGTGAGGCCTAAAAGCTTCTGTTATATAAAAAATATTTTCTCCAAGAAAGAAGTAAAATTTTAGTAGATGTTCTCGTAATAGAAATGTTTCAATTAGTGTAGCCTTAAATTGAATTAAACCTACATCTCTAATAAAAATATAATTTTTTTTTATATAGATTTTGTTGATCGTCAGGACAGTACTTTAGCGTTTGCTGCGTTTGGTGCTGCTATACATCATAGTTATCCTCTAGCTGTTGTCCTCGTCTCACCCGCTGGTTTACCACTAGAATATCTACTCTGTTTCCATGGTTAGTATACAAATACATACATACTACAGATTGATTGTATATAATCAACATAAACCTTATCAATTTAGTCCAGTTTCCTCTATCTATTCGGGGGGGGGCAGGGGGGTGGATGGTTGAATGGTTAGCACATGCACAGTATAATTTAGCAAGGTTTAATAAATATATACCATGGTTATTGTTTGTAGAGTGAATCTTAGGGTTAGGGTTAGCTCTCACACATAATCTTTCTTAAGGGTAAAGGGGATGGCCGAATGGTTAATGCATATACACTGTATCATAAGGTCTGTCATCAAATCAAGTCAACTGGCATGGTTTCTATGCCCCGATTGTACGAGACAAGGAGTAGGGTCGCCTGTAGTGCTCCTACGGTTAGGACTTTTTGTTATTCGAATAGCCGTAGCTATTGACCGGTTAGTAACCGTTAACCGTATGGTATCAATTTTAAACATAAAACAGAGCTTGTCAGGAGGTGCGAGTCATTACTCGTGCGCACACTATACTCGCCTAAACGGCATTACACACGCAAATAATTCAGGAATTTTTTCAGACATGTACAATTCTTTAATGAAAATTTAAACTATCTTAGGCCGTAGTTATTTATTTACCTGGTTAACTTGGTTCATTTGAAACATTTTTTAATTCAATATAACAATAATATACAAAACAATACTCTGTTTCCCTTCGTACGTGACAGATGGCGATAATATTACGATTACACAATGTTACTAAGAATAGAATAAAGTAAATTGGAAGGCGTCTATTGATTGGACAATAAAGAAATAATTCCTCGCTTGCAAGTAGAATTTTTATGATTGGTTAATTTAACTAAAAACCAAAGTAGAATTCTAGCGAGAAATTACGAGATATGAAACGTGTTGAATGTCGTAACGAATCTAGTATAATGTCATTTTCTAGCCTTTATGATTATAATTTGAATGGTGGTTACGTTTTGAAGTAAACCCAAACCCAAAATAACTTGGATCAAAAATGATAAATTAAATGTCTGCTATTTGATATTGAATCATGAACAGACTTATGTCAACATTTTCTTACTCTGTCCACCCGATTAGATTTTATTACATATACTTCGAGAAGGTATTTGTTGAGTAATAAAACCTTCTAGCAGTTTATCGAGGTTCGGGTGTTTCCGGAGTCCAAAATGGCCGCTTTATATAAATGAGAATTTTGGGGATAACTAACCCTAACCCTTTTTAAAAGACTGAACTTGGGTCTAATTTAGTTTTTACTTCTCTTAAAAGGGTTAGGGTTCGGGTTAGTATTCCCCTAAATACTCATTTGTATAAAGCGGCCATTTTGGTATGAGTTCTGGCTTGTTCTGGAATTTGCTGCTTCTAGTGGTGATAATATTTGTACCGTGCGGTAAGGACGGCCAGCCCTCGATAAACTACTAGAAGGTTTTATTACTCAACAAATACCTTCTCGAAGTATATGTAATAAAATCTAATCGGGTGCTCTGTCAGCATGGATGGGCAGGTAGGTGGGATGAAATCTGTCCACAGGTTATTCGTTTGAATGCTTTCATGGCCCAGCAGATAATCTCAGCAAAGTTTGGGATAAATGATTCTTTTATAATGGATTAAACATATTTAAAACATACATTATGCAAGGGCTAAATCTGCGTATTGCAGGTCTTTCTTTGGGCCTGAAATGTTATCTAAAGTATTAATTAGACATTAATTGATCCAGGCCATAATCAACTCTCGATGTCATCGAATATCTCCGATATTAAGTAGATTAGAACGGTTCCACCATATTTTGATTTAATTTAGAAATGGAGAAAAGAGACTTAGCTTCAAACTTGCAATTAATGCATACATCTTGTTGAAATAAAGTAATTTGAATGAAATTTTCAATATATTTATTTTGTATTATCTATTTTTGAACTATTTTAGACAGAATGGCTAGCTCTTTATCTAAATCTCCCATAATGTATCTTTAATAAACCTGCTAGATTAATTGTTTATTTTACAGAAATTGGTGTATTTGTCAACAAAAAAGGTCAGAGAAGTCGACAACAGGATGTCAAATGGAGTGGTCTTCCCTTAGCTTTTGGTAAGTTTATGTTGAGTATTTAATTTTAAGTCAGAAATTATTAGATTTTAAATATACATTTACACGCATATTAGGTTTTTTCCAGTTTATAAATAACCATTCCTGTATATAACCTATTTTAACTCTATATTACAGCTTACAGAGAACCATTCCTGTATATAACATATTTTAACTCTATACATGCAACAGTTATACCAGCAAGTAAAAATCTCATCAAGTGAGTTCATTATTTATAATTATTAAAACCAAGTCAAATTTATTTTTTAATAAATGCTAATTCTGATAACAGCATATATTCCATGTGTCAATACCATTGTGTTCACTAAACAATGTTTAAGCATTATGCAAGAGCTAAATCTGCCTATTGCAGGTCTTTCTTTCGGCCTGAAATGTTATCTAACTTATCCAGACCATAATCAACTCTCGATGTCATCGCAGACGATGTCATCGCTAGTCTGCGCTATTTACTGCATTAGGTTCCAATTTGCTGCTCAACTTTCATTCATGATTAAATCATGAAATAGATAATTGAGATTAAGTAATGATGATTGAGGCTAGGCCGAAAATTCAATCGCTAAATTCTCGGTTCAAAGTGGATCAATTTGACTGAAATTTTCAGCAAATACCCTTTACATTATCTAGTTTTTAACTATTATAGTGAGAACTGCAAACTCTTTATCTAATCTCCCATAATGTGTCTTTATTAATATTTTTATGAAACTTAACATTATTTAATGTAACTCTTAAAAGTATTCCGACCAATATTTCTATGTTTTTTATATTACCAGGGGTCGACAGACATTAATTGATGTGCACAATCCCCGCTATCTAGGTGGGGCTGTATCATCTGGGTCTGTTTATGTAACAGCTGTAAATAATGGAGCAACAGAGATACTGTGTATACGTGGACAGGAAGATTTTAATGATATCACCACTAGTGACAGCGATAAAGAAAATACCAAAGGGTAAAAAACTTATTCATTAATTGAATACTCATTATTTATTTGCCACTGACAAGGGGAAGCCAGACTGAGGTGCTTTCTCAACCTTGAACCTCCTAGTTAGAGGGGGCGGGTTTGGATGGCCGATTGGTTAGCACTGTGTGTGGTGTATCATAAGACCTGTCCAACCTCGTGGGTTTTCTCCAGGTCCTCCGGTTTCCTCCCACTGCTAAAGACCCCTACGCGAAAGCGAATTATTGAAATAAAATTAAACCATATGTTAGTCCCGAAATGACCTAGTTTGTGTCGAGTGGACGTTAAACCTCATTTCTCTCTCTCTCTCTTCCTAGTTAGAGAGCAAGCACCATCTTCACTGAGCCACCATGACTCCCATATACTTAATACCTTTGATTTTGATCAGACAGACAATCAAATGTTTTGGTAGTCACAGTCTTTCTGAAGGCTTCTTAGATTTTTTTGATTGGTAGGTTGATCAGGAGTTTGTCCATATTTTTCTGATTTCGATTCCAACATTGTACAGGACAAAGATTAGCGTTGCTTGTCCAACCTTATGGGATTTCTCCCGGTGCACCGGTTTCCCTCCACAACTAAAGACGAATTATTGATATATAATTAAACCATGTTAGTCCCAAAATGACTTAGTTTGTGTCAAGTGGACGTTATACCCCATTTTATTGCGAATGTTAAACTCATGTTTTGTTTCTCTCTCGTGTTTCAGCAGTATGAGGCAGACAGATAAATTACAAGTCAGATTTCGACAGAGTCCGATTAAACATGAATACAGACGTCGGCCATCTTTAACATCATTAGACAGTAATAGCAGCCAATCAACATATTCTAGCACTGCTGATTCATCAGATTTATGATCCCATTTGTAAAAAAACCTTTAAATCGTCAACCTCATTGAAAAGCATCATCAGGCTTTCAAACTGAAAATAACCGTATCCAAAGATAAATTTGAGAGACCAGTGATCGTTAATTTTTAGTTTCATCATCATCAAATTATCTAAGGTGCTTATATATGTGGATTAACTTAATGTGTTACTCAACTCGTCAATATTAGGTTATCGTGATTTTTCTGAGTATAAATTAATTTTATTAGGTAGGTAGGTGTGTAAATAAAATACAAATATTGGTGCTAAACATATTAAAGTTGCATTTTTTTTAAAGCGACCAACTAACTCATCCCCTTTTTTCTTGTGTAATATTAATACTCTTGACGATTGCATCCCAGAGTAGAGACTATCATTTCTTGCTGGGCGCCGTTTCTTGAAATCTTAACTAAAGATAAAATAAAATTCAATTTTAGTAGATACTTCAATTTTGATTGGCGAAGCACTATAATCAATCTAATATTATCCAATCAAATTACTAAAATTTGGATTTTATCTCAGTTAAAATTTCGTGAAACAGGCCCCAGGTGTTTTCTGCTAAATAAAGAGAGAACTTTAAAAAATGAACAATTTTTTTTATTAATATTGTACGTATACACAGTCTAATAATGCTATTGGATGACTTTTGGCAGAAAACTACACAGTGGAAGTCTTTTCAATCCATGTAACATTTAAATAACAAGTATTCAGCATTCGCCCTGAGTTAACTGTTCCGAGATTGTCAACTATTTGTGTAGCAAATTTCATTTATCTAATTAATCCATAAGTGTGAAGAGGTGGTTATATAACGGCCTGGACAACTGCCACTCACTGTGTGTAGGGCGTAATATAACGCCTTGGAGGTATTTTCCCCAACCTATTCTTAGAACATAGTTCCCCCATGATTGCAGCAAGTGTGGGACGTTATATTACGACCTGGCATATAACACATCATTTCATTTGTTTTATTATAGTATATATGTGTGGATAAATGGTTGAAAGCGAGACATTATGTAATATATTGAAAATGCACGAGGACCTTTGTCCGAGGTTTATATCAATATATTAACAAATGTCTTGCTCAAGGCCATAAAGCGACTTAAAAAATATAGATAGTATCCTGCATGTGCATTTCAATGAATTTTTTCAACTAGTATAAAATAATGTACAGTTAGCATGTTGCCTGTACCATTATTTCAAATAGCGGTACGTCACATCTGTATTTTAATTACTAATAATGTACTTTATACCCGCCAGGCCATAATAATAATTTATCTATATTTAATAGTAAGATATGTGTTATAATAACTATTGTAAAATGCACATGGTTGACATTTTAGTATTTACTCACATTTATTAGATCCAGCATCAAATTATGTACATATGTATTTTGTAATACTTAAAATAAAATAAAAATATTTAATGGATATTGAATTTCATTCATAAGCTAGTGAAATACGCAATCTCGCTCCCAGAGATAGCTTTACCCTTCGTTCATCTCTGGTAAAACTTACAGGCCATACGTCGGCCATTTTAAATGTCACGTGATGTATCTTTCCGTCAGTCGCTACACAAAGATCCAAAGTGCCGGTTTAAGAAATTTCACGTATTTTGACAAATCACTCACATTGTTCACTAAAAATAGTTCCTTGTAAATCATCAAATCGGCTGTTTTCGAATGAAATTTTGATGTCAAGATGTGAAAAATGATCCAAGGATGATTAATATTTAATCAATGCTTAATTGTCAAGAAATCAGCAGCATTTCATTCTAACAAATCCTGCCAATCAGTAGCCAATGGGGGCAGAGCTTAGAAACCGATTTCATGCTGATTAATGGCCTGCGAGTTTTACCAGATATAAACGACGGGTAAAGTTATCTCTGAGATCGAGATTGTGAAATGTTTGACATTCAGGACCAGAATAAGACAAAGTCTCGGTGGGTTATCAGTAGTTATAACATGGACGGGAAATCTTCCTTTGTTCTTTTCGTTAAATAAGCAGATTGTTTTCCCTCTAGTAGATTGGGTGGAGCTTAACCGTGCAATAACTAGACATGTTCAATGTTATTGCACACTTTTGCTGGTTTACACTAGTTTTAGTAGAAATCATATAGAGAAGTGGGCTGGGTTTTCTGTGCAATAACATCAAGCATATTGAGCAGGTGTCAATGTTAAAAGTCATTTATAGCACGTTTCATTCGTTAACAGGTTTAACATCTCGGCCTACGGTTAAACCTGTTAACTCATGAAAGCCGTGCTATAAATATAACTTATATCATGTACCTTTGCTACGATAATGAATGATCTATGCAATATCTCCAAACAGCCATAACTTTGCTTGGAATAAAATAATTTGACTGAAATTTTCAATATATTCATTTTTAATTATCTATTTTTGAACCATATAACAAGAACAGTCAGCTCTTTATATAAATCTTACATAATGCATCTTTAATTGTCCCGTAATTTACCTGTGTCTCGGCAGATCAATAATACAGCATTATATTTCAAATATTTTGCAGTATATTTCATGTTATCAACTGTATATTAGGTTTTTCAAAAACTGTTTTTGGTGGTGCACACTGATTGATTATAGAGTATTGGCCACAATTATAACAAATAGGTTTATTGAAAATATTCTAACAAATGTTAAATTACAAGATGCAAATAGAATTCAATCATTGATATTTTATTTACAATTCTACACACACTAATCATAATCAAAACACTGCAACCAGTATGCGAGAGAAATGGGGTTTAAACTCCACTCGACACAAACTGGGTAATTTCGGGACTAACATAGTATTCAATTTTATTTCAACAATTTGCTTGTGGGTAGGGGTCTTTAGCAGTAGAGGACCCAGAAAAAAAATCATGAGGTTTGACAGGCGACCCTACTCCTTGTCACGTACAAGCAGGGATTTGAAACCACACTACTTGACTCGACGACAGACCTTAAGATTTAACTACACACTTTAAAGCACTATACCACCAATCCATTCAATATCAAGCTCTAAAGAGTTGATTATGGGCTTGTCGTGAGAGAGAGAGAAATGGGGTTTAACGTCCACTCGACACAAACTAGGTCATTTCGGGACCAACATGTGGTTTAATTTTATTTCAATAATTCGCTTGCGCGTAGGGGTCTTTAGCAGTGGGAGGGACCCGGAGAAAACCCACGAGGTTGGACAGGCGACCCTACTCCTTGTCACTTACAACCGGGGATTCGAAACCACGCCAGTCGACTCAATGGCAGACTTTATGATACAGCGCGCGCACGCTAACCATTCGGCCATCCAAGCCCCCGGGCTTGTCGTGAATCAATCTGATCAAAATACAGATGTACATTTCGTTTCGTTTTTTTATACTTTCGATGGCCTACACTACATGAAGATCTGACAAGTTATAGCGATAGGTCACGTCAGGGGTCAAAAGACCGACTTATGACCCTATGATGTCAGACATTTGATTAACCAATCAGCATTGATGTTACTAGTGGATTACCCACAGTTCCGTGCAAAACACACCTTATGCTCGCCGTGACAGACCGTTTCATTGGCTTATCCCTGACACCATTCAGAACACGAGTTAAATAACAACTCTTCCAGATCCAAGTGTAGTAAAGACAAGTAAAACAAAATTTTGAACTATAAAAATGAAACGAAATAGGATCTGTGTTTTAACCAGATTGGTCGTGAATAAATACCTAATTAGTAATTCATATATTTTAAGCCGCCCCCCCCCCCCCAAAAAAAACAGTCCTGCAATAGGAAGATTTAGCTCTTACATATTACTTTAGTACTATCTACACTTAACACTGTGCAGATGAAATTTTGAAATAAAATTGAACCATATGTTGGTCCCAAAATTACCTAGTTTATATCAAGTGGAGGTTAAAATTCCATGACATAAACATTGTATTTTATCCTATATAGAAATCCTGTTTTCATTAGTCTCATGACATAAACATTTTATTTATCCCTATACACAAAATGAAAACAGGTTTTAATTAGTTACAAGATATAAACATTGTATATTTCACTATACACAAAATGAAAACATGTTTTTATTAGTCATATAACATAAACATTGTAATTAGCACTATAGACATAATGGAAAACAGGTTTTTTAGTAGTTACATTTTAATTTTCACTATACACAAAATGAAATCATATTGTGATTTGTCACACAACATAAACATTGTATTTAGCACTATACACATAATGGAAAACAGGTTTCCAGTAGTTATATTGTAATTTTCACTATACACAAAATGAAAACAGGTTTTCATTAGTCATAAAACATAAATATTGTATTTAGCACTATACACATAATGGAAAACAGGTTTTCAGTAGTTACATTGTATTTTTCACTATACACAAAATGAAAACATGTTTTTATTAGTCATATAACATAAATATTGTATTTAGCACTATAGACATAATGAAAAACAGGTTTTTAGTAGTTACTTTGTAATGTTCACTATACACAAAATGAAATCATATTGTGATTTGTCACACAACATAAACATAGTATTTAGCACTATACACATAATGAAATCAATTTTTCATTTTAGTCACATTTATCTTGTACAATGTCCATGGTTTTCTATTATTTTATTATATACTCTATTACCTACTATATTAACAATATAAATATATGTAGAAAAACATAATAACACAAGACACAAATATTCTATTTTCACATAGCACTAATACTAACTATATACATAATGAGTCACGTGACTTGAGACATAAAATAAAATCAGTCTTTTTGGCAATTTTAACAATAAACATAGTAGGCTAATTAATCAGAAAGCAATTATATAATTTCAATGCTGAATTTAGATGAATAAGAGGTCCTATGCTATTCCCTTTATAAGGCTCCTCTCAATCCCCCACCCTCACAACTAGAGGAAGACGAGTGTGTTTTAAGCACAATTGAGCTAGGTTGCGGTTGAGGGGCTCGACGTTTAAGACTACAATGCGTGTGAGAAAGACTTATGACAGTGTCAAAATATTATACACTTTGTTTGGAAGCCCCTACATCTTAAGGTCCTGGGCTTTAACCTAACTGGCCTATAGATAAAACCAGCACTGTATAATTCCATCCTGATGATATGCATAATTATTTATAAGCACTAGTTATTTTATGTGGGTTCTCAGTTTATTTTCGCAAAATTTCTATCAAATGAAACAAGTTCAACCTGTCTAGAATAAGCCTGTGATTTCTATGGAGCTTCTTCAAGTTGTGGCCATGAATGGTTGATTGCAGTCACACAGGAACTGTCCACAAGGAGAGAGAAGAAAGCGAGCGATGGCCCCATCCTGTACAGTTTTGGTACCACACAGTGAAAAAACATGGTGGCAAACTTGGTGGCATTCAGTGAGATATAGGAAGACAATTTTTATACGGTTCTTGTACCAAGACTTTGCTATAAATTTTCTAGTGGAACATTACATACTCAGAACTGCCTTTCAGAGCACAGATATTAATCTTTTGTACCAAATTTTTGCTGTAAATTTTTCTGCGGGAACATCACATAGTTTGAGCTGCCTTTCAGTGCACAGATAATAATTGAATTTAACGTTCTGAGGTTATTTCACTGTCGGCCATCATTCATTTAATGACCACCACCTCTGTTTCAATGGCATCTATACAATCACCATTGTCCATATCAAAATCTTCTGGTGTATCACTAGCGTTTATCTCTTCATCATCAAATCTGAACATTAACGATGAAACATCAATCTTTCTATCAGCTGCATACTTTTCCATTAAATTTCTTAACGGCTCCATCTGAAATAGAAATATCATAATAATGAAAGAGAGAGAGAGAGAAATGGGATTTAACGTCCACTCGACACAAACTAGGTCATTTCGAGAATAACATATGGTTTAATTTTATTTCAATAATTCGCTTGCGCATAGGGGTCTTTAGCAGTGGGAGGACCCGGAGAAAACCCACGAGGTTGGACAGGCGACCCTACTCCTTGTCACGTACAACCGGGGATTCAAAACCACGCCAGTCGACTCATGACAGACTTTATGATACAGCGCGCGCCCGCTAACCATTCAGCCATCCAACCCCCATCATAATAATGAATTGGTAGGGTACATGGTATCAGAACCGAAAGATCAGGTACTTAGGTAATTTCGGGACTAAAATATGGTTGAATTTTATCCAATAATTTGTTTGTGCATAAGGGTCTTTAGCAGTGGGAGGACCCAGAGGACTCGGTAGAAAACAAAACAGTTTGGAAGCCACTGTTCTAGGAGATATCACATCATAGCAGACTGGTAATACAAGATGAAGTGGGAGAGAAATGGGGTTTAACATCCACTTGACACAAACTCGGTCATTTCGGGACTAACACATGGTTCAATCGACCATCCACCAAAACACCCCCCACCCCCTTCAACAGGAAGAACTAACCTTGTCAACTGTAATGTTAACTTTAGAATTACGGCTATTACTCTGAACACATAGAGTTATCCCATTCCTTCCAACATAGTCTGTTTCTAATTTGTCATCGGATACAGAACCTTGTGAATTTGATGTATGGATATGACAATCTGAAACAGAACAAGAAAATGAAAACTTTGGCCTTGAAATTTGTCATTGTCAAAGACTATAAGGCTTATGATCAACTAGGAAACTGTAAGCCGTTTTCAAAATGCGGGATTAGGAAAAATTTACATGTAAAAGCTTTGGTGCTATTCAATGATCTCTGTGGCTCTTTTACTGAACACTGAACCAATGATGAACCACAATGGTTGATTCCAATTACAAACAATTTATGAAGATGAATAGTAGTCATGAAATGTGATTGGTCTAACAACAAGCCTATATCTGTTACATGAAGAATGATTGGTCTACTAATGGTAACCTATATATGGTGTTTATTAATTGAAGTCTGATTGGTCTACTAACTTATTCTGTCTGTTAAACAGTGTATAAAATTTGTCAAGAAAAGTTGTAGGCCAATAAGACCCGCTGGTAGACGCCATTCATGAAAGTTGTAGGTCCTAACATTAAGTTGTGGGCCCAATAAATATTAACAAAACACACGTACACTACCCCACCCCTAAGGCCTTTATTTTTGAGTTCTAGCCATTTGGGACAGGTTTAAAAGTTAAAATATATATTCAATATTGATTGGCTGTACACATTACAATTCTAACTTTTGAAGGATTTAATGTTAATACTTCGTGTATAGAAAGATAAAAATCATTCCACCCCTATTTTACCCCAGACTTGATATTTATTTTTTCTGTAATAAACAAATATTTACTTGTAGTTGTATTAATCTTAATGATTATATATAGGTCTACTAGTACTGACAATATAATATCTCGAAATTCCATTCACATAGAATTCTGAAGATTACGGATTAAAATGGCCCTTTACACTCTCCGAGAATTAACAGAAAATATTGTTCATTTAAATGAAATGAAATAAAACTGGCGTTCAGGTCCTACCAGACATAGATTAATGTCTTACATTTCAATAAACATGTTAAATTTACTGTCCGGTAGCAACAATCATTTTATTTGTTTCATTCATCATGACGTGTGGAACTGTGAAATGAAAGACCGTGACCTCTTTCAAAATGAAAGTAAACTATCACTGCTGTTTGGCAGACGACACATCATTTTTTATCATTATTAAACTGACCTGATGTCACACGTTGGGATAGTCCATATTTATGAAACCATAAACTCTTTGTTATTCTTTCTATATATGACATATTGTACGTGCCTGTTTTCGAAGACTTGGGTCTCCATTACGGTAGTGAAATCGTCATTAAAGAAATACTTGATAATCAAGTCTGCTAGTAAATCACGAGATTTAGAAAGAATGGCGGGAAAGGCCACTCGTTTTTACCTCACTGGAATTGTATTGTTGCCAGTTGTTAGGCTTTCAGGGAATTTTCAGCTCTGCTTTTTCAATTTCATTTTTACAAGACAAAGAATTTATATCATGTAGATTTTTATTGTTGGATTCATGACAGTACAGTAGATGGACTGACCTAGTTTAGTAGCACACGTTTGGATTTCACAATTGAAGGAATATAATATGCCGGATTATGCATGTGTATTCAATATCGGATAAAGACAAATAAGACAGTAAGTAAGGCATACTATCGGAACACACACTCATCTATTCCATACTTGATCAAAATGGTTAAATAATATTCTGCCGAACTCTGGGAGCGTGCTGATATTTGCAAGCACAACCTCACTCCTAGAACGATTTCTTTCGCTGGACAATTTTATTTTCATTTCCGTTAATGAAATACAGTTAAATATCTGGATGAAATATATTACGGATATAAATAGGGAAAATATAATTATTTTAAAAGGAGAATTTGATAGAACCATGAACAAAATATCCATGACACATATTTTTCCCGACAAAAACAGTCGGCTCACAGGGCCGACCCACCATCTTCAAAATAAAAAGATGTCGGCCAGCCAAGTTATTTATCGGCGCTGGGCCGACGGACCGACGTAAATTTTAAACACTGCTGTTAAATGAAATATGATTGGTCTACTAACTTATTCTGTCTGTTAAATGAAATATGATTGGTCTACTAACCTATTATGTCTGTTAAATAAAGTATGATTGGTCTACTAACCTATTATGTCTGTTAAATGAAGTATGATTGGTCTACTAACCTATGATGTCTGTTAAATCAAGTATGATTGGTCTACTAACTTACTCTGTTTGTTAAATCAAGTATGATTGGTCTACTAACCTATTATGTCTGTTAAATCAAGTATGATTGGTCTACTAACCTATTATGTCTGTTAAATGAAATATGATTGGTCTACTATATAACCTATGATGTCTGTTAAATCAAGTATGATTGGTCTACTAACTTACTCTGTTTGTTAAATGAAATATGATTGGTCTACTAACTTACTCTGTTTGTAAAATGAAATATGATTGGTCTACTAACCTATTATGTCTGTTAAATGAAATATGATTGGTCTACTAACCTATTATGTCTGTTAAATGAAGTATAATTGGTCTACTAACCTATTATGTCTGTTAAATGAAATATGATTGGTCTACTAACCTATTATGTCTGTTAAATGAAATATGATCGGTCTACTAACCTATTATGTCAGTTAAATGAAGTTTGATTGGTCTACTAACCTATTATGTCTGTTAAATGAAATATGATTGGTCTACTAACCTATTATGTCTGTTAAATGAAATATGATCAGTCTACTAACCTCTTATGTCAGTTAAATGAAGTTTGATTGGTCTACTTACCTATTATGTCTGTTAAATGAAGTATAATTGGTCTACTTACCTATTATGTCTGTTAAATGAAGTTTGATTGTATTAGGTGTATCATTAACCGAGATGGTTCGATCACCCAGTAATAACATTATTTCTGTTGATATAACATCAATCTCATTAGCTAAATAATTTTGTATTTTATAAAATGGATCTGACTGAAAGAAAACAAAATAAGACTATTTTATTATGAAATGATAACTTTAATTATATTCAGAAATGAAATGGGGGTTTAATGTCCTACTTTAATGAATGTAGTATGTTATGATGGAAATTTTGTCCGGAGAGGAGTGCTTCTATCTACTCTTATTTTGAGAGGGAAAGAGAGAAATGGGGTTTAACGGACACTCGACACAATCTATGTCATTTCGGGACTAACATATGGTTCAATTTTATTTCTATAATTCAATGACAGACTTTATGATACAGCGTGCATGTTCTAACCATTCAGCCATCCAACCCCCTCTTATTTTGAGTTACAAATGTCACTGTTCTTAAGTCAGAGAGTGCTTTGTGAACTCTGGCACTGGGGAAAGTAACAAGGGCATGTCATGAAGTCCAATGCATGTTTAATCTTAAACCATTCCTAAAATTGGAAATCTATAAGAAGATTTAATACCAAAGGATCTCCACCCTCTTTGTTTATTTTTTTCATGTTAAATCGGTAAACCAGTCCCCTATGTAAAGTAGTATTAACGACTTACTTTTTTCATATGAAATCTATAAACCTTGCCTCTATGTAGAATTTTAACTAATATATCTGATTTTTCTATAACTGGACTGACACCAGTGACTATAACCTCTGTATTTACATCAGCTAACAGACTATTGTTTAAACTTTCTTCTTCTTCATCAAATAGATTTTTAGCTCGATTCAAAACACTGAAAATGGATTAAAAAAAGGCTTAAAGATACTTTCCCATGTAAAAACTGAGTGACTTGATATATTTGGACTAAAAACATATTCCCACTAATTAATCTATCAAAAATTTGCTTTAAATCCCTCTTAAAACTTTGTATTCGCGGGGAGATACCTCAAGCTATATATAAAACTGTTGTTAGCAGCAATTGTTGTCACCTAACTTCACTGATGGAGAGTCCATTTTTCAGAAAGTATTTTTCATTACTTACTGTCCAATTTACCATACATAATATTGAGGCCTAGGTAAATTCTTAATTATTTCTGTCAACTTCTTTTTCCACTGTTTTAATTGTAAGTTGACACCCCTCAATGTTCCCAAAACCGCCTAAACATTTGATCAAGAATTAACAGTCAAGCTAGCACACAATAAGCTGACAGACAACAGTCTGGATGCCAGTTAGTGATACCCTGATATTTTTGCCCAGTGCTTGCCCGGTGGGTGTTTTTGGGGTCATCCAGTATTTTTCTAGTAAGATTGGGCGTCTATACTTTCCATATATACCACACTTTTAACCACCCGCTTTGCGGACAATGTATCTTTAAGATTTTTATATTCTAGAGGAAATAATTCACCAATGTCCGTGCAAAATTTCCCACATAGTACTGGCAATTGCATATTGAATATCTTTTTTAGCCTGGTTTTAGAATAAAAGTAAGATTTTAAATCATATTTTCTTTACATTATAGCCTGGTATAACCTTTTTCTAACTATAAACATTGTCCTTGTGGTGTAAACATGGCCACCAACAGGCCTTGAAATGTTTAAAAGCGACAGGTAGCTTTTCTTCATACCTGTTGCTTCAGTAAATAACCTGTCACTCTCAATTATCAAATTTTATATTACTAGAAAAAAAATAAGCTCAAACTAAATCGCTTAAATGTCCTTTCAAAGTTGCTGAAATTCATTTGCATTTTTCGGTCAATATTTAATTTTTCATAGCTTACTCCTCGATAAGAAAAGACTTGAATTGATTATTTGACATTTAATTACGAAAACAATTTTTGGACTGATATTCTTTTTACTAATTTACAGATTAAGTTTCACAATATTGTAGTTTGCAAGGGATTGATAGACCCTAAGGGGATACTCGATTGAACGTTCCGGAATTAAATTCTCTCAGTTCCCAAAATACTGTCAATCGACTGAAAAGGAGAATTTCGGAGTACAACGCATGTGCCGACTGCATAAAAAAATATCTCAACCAAACATGAAAGTTAAAACATATTTGTTACTTAAAATACGTCATGATTCTACTCACACCACCTCAGCTGTTGGGACTGGCAGAACTTTGACAGTGCTGAATTCTGTATCACTTTTTTGCAATTCTGTTAATTGGAGACGTTCTGGACTAACAATAGAGCACCGCCTATAACAATGATGACAGGGGCAATAACTCTGCCAATACTTAATGACTGACTCTAAATTTCAGTTGATAAGCCTAGATCTGATAAATCTTAGAAAGAAACTTTGACCTGTGGAGTGCTTAAAAGGCTTTGGACAGAGGCAACAGAGATGATATGTCTTCTTTGATACTTGAACACATTAAAACAAGGTTCAGTTTTATGGATATACAATTACTGAATTTACAGAACTGATAAAAGACGTCCTTGTCAAAACGTTGTTTGGTAATAATAAATTCAATACAGTGCACTCTGTCACATCCGACCTCTGATCACTCCGGCACTCTGTTACATCCGACACCATTTTCATGTCCCGATTTAATTCCTTATTACTTCAGCCAAAAAATCTCTGGGTAATTTGACCTCTGTACGTTCCGGATTACGACATCAATCAGCCGTCCCGTCATACGATTTCCATTGAATCGACACCGTATAATCCGGCCTTCAATCGGTGGGTGTGAAGTAAACACTTACCGATCAATTATCTGTGAGATTAAAACTGGATGGGTGTGAAGCCCCAAAAGATTAACAAGCAATCACCAATCAATTATATGTGAGATTAAAACTCGCTACCGTGGGTCTTTGTTGATTACTTTGATAATTTTAATCTCTTGTACGACAGTTGTGACAAATACTCAAGAATATCCACGAATTTTCCCCCGAATTCAGTCGTAAAAATATTCCTAGCACCGGTTGGAAACATTCGTTGCGCTTGCCGATTGAACCTGAATAACCTATAAGTTTGGTCACCCTACGGATCTCTTCGAACCGTGTGACGACGACCTGGGGATACTCGATTCACAGTCCGGAACGTCCCGAATTGACAGAATTGCAATCGAGTGACGCAGAATTCAGTCCTGTCAGTCCCGACGACGGAGGTGGTGTGAGTAGAATTGTGACATAATTAAACACGATGAACAGGTTTTTGCTGCATGGTTGGATGAGATATTTATATATCCAGTTGACGCATGCGTTATAGTCCGAAGTACCCATTTTCACTCGATTGTCACTATTTTTGGGAATAACATTCTGGTGATTCGAAGTTCTATGTAAATGTTCGAAGCTACATTATAATAATACTTCCGGTTTTCGAAGTTACAATATTTCCGGTTTTGAGAAAACTGAGTATTCCGACACTCTGCGTAATCCGACATATTGTAACGATCCCGTACGATGTCGGATGTATCCATAAAATTGCACCATGTGTGAAGATGATAAGTTCAAATTAACATTTGTAACTGACGATGAACTAATTAAATTACTTACTTGAATGCTGATTGTAGTTTTTTGGTACGTTTAGGAGGAACAGTTTTTTTCGGTGAAACAGGTGAATCTTCCAATAACAAACTACAATCTGGGCTAAAAAAAACAAAGAATAATTCATGTTAAAGGACCTGGCAATGAACAACATCTAGTCGATTGTACAAGGTTCCCCGTCCCCCCCCCCCCCCACACACACACACACACACCCCCGGACAGCTGGGAATCGAAATAAAGAGTAAATCCTAGCACCATTGTCTGGGCAAAATTTCCCACATTAAGTATCTTCATTAACCTAAGTAATCTTTATTTAACGTCGGTACATTTATACATAATAACAGAATAACACAAGCTCTAAGGAGCTCTTAAACCGACAAACATAAAACAGTATATTATACAGACATAAACATAATAGCAAGCACCATCAACAGGTAGATAAGACACATGAAATAATAAGCAGTACTACAATATATTAAGCATTAAAATATGCATATATTTAGGTAAAGCCAAGAGAAGGAAAGCATTTCAGCTGTGAGAATAACCTGGTTTGAGAATAAAAGTAAGATTTTAAATCATATTTTATTTACATTACACATATAGCCTGGTATAATTATTTTTTTTCTAACTAAAAACATTGTCCTTGTGGTGTAAAAATGGCCACCAATAATGAAATTTCTGAAAGATAAATGTTTACCTGTCGACAATATTAACGTCAGGTTGGTCTTCCACTGTTATAGCATCAGATCTTACTACAGACTTTTCACACAACTCTATTCCATTCCTCTCTGTAATAAATCATATTAAACATATTATCCCAGTCAAAACAAAAGCTTCCATGGTGTAGTGAGCCTAGATTGGGAAGTCATGGTGGCTCAGTAAGTAAGATGCTGGGTCTCTAACCAGGAGGTCTCAGGTTTGCTCCTGGGGTTCCCCAAGATTTTCCAGCGTGGTGCAAGACAGAGGGCCTGACAAGGAACAGTGTTTAGTCAATCAGATGGGATGAAGAATTGACAGTAATCATAAGTCAACATTCAATGATAACTACAGAAGAGCCTCTAGTGCAGCTTTGAAGACAACATACAACCAGTTAAAAATAATCAGTATGGAACTGACCGGGACAGTACAGTGGATTCTTAGGGCTAAGCCCTGAATCCAGTATGGAACTGGCCGGGACAGTACAGGGGACGCTTAGGGCTAAGCCCTGAATCCATTCACTTGATCTGATATGTGCGTTTGTTGTTTATGGTGTCCAGTATACTGTCCATAGGATTGTCATGTAATCGTTTGTGTGTGGTCCCCCCACCCCTCATTGCACATACTATTAGCATTTCTTTGGAGTGGAATTTAGTAATTAGGAAAGAGTAAATGCTCTTTATGGAATAACAGCTACTGGTTTATTAACATGCAACGTTTCAACAATGATACTCTCGTCTTCATCAAGCAAATGAGAGAGAAAAATAGGGTTTACCGTCAACTCGACACAAACTAGGTCATTTCGGGACTAACGAATGGTTCAATTTTATTTCAATAATTCACTTGCACGTAGGGGTCTTTTAGCAGTGGGAGGAAACCGGAGAATCCGGAGAAAACCCATCAGGTTGGACAGGAGACCCTACTTCTTGTCACAAACAACCGGGGAATCGAAACCACGCCAGTTGACTCAATAACAGACCTTATAATACAACGCACACGCGCTAACCATTCAGCAGTGATAGGATTTCAAAACTTTTCTTGTCGGACATTTTTTCACGAAAATAAAGGGGCATAACTATTGTCGTTATTTAAGCAGACATTTTCAAACCACAATTAGGAATCACGTGTCAACAAAATATTCAAATTCATACGTAAATAAAAATAGGTAAACCTCATTATTTTTCATGTTTAATTCCCGTACGGTATTCAAATTCATATCAAGAATATTCCTACAAAATTATGTGACATCGTAATACCATACAATGAAAGCGTGCTGACCACTGCTGATCCGTACATGTTTTCAAATTCCTTCAAAATTACCGTATTTTACGGGTCATAAGTCGATACATTTTTCAGCAGAAGTCCGCCATTCGTCTTATACTCCGTTCCGACTTATATATGGAAGGTAAAAAAATGATATCCCGAAATTTATTTGGCAGAAAACATCGCTCTACCACAACGAGTGAGTGACACCAACTGCAAAATAATTGCATTCGACTTTAGCACGCGCTACAGTCTAAAACAATTAACTACATACATCAAACACCCCGACCATAGAGGTAATACGAAAGTCTTCTAACTTTGTGTAAGATGACCAACCTTTATAAGTTCACACGCATTTTACATGTGATGTCACATCACAGGGCATAGACCATTGACGTTGATAGCATATAGGAAATATTTTTATCCAGGTATACTTCAAAATCTATTTTTCTAATGCTTCAAAAAAATGTTTTAGAATTTAATTTGCAGATGGCAAAAAGTTAATATTGTGAGCTAATTAACCTGCACGAATGTCATCCCCTTCAGTTATTGTAGTGAATATTCACTGCTGATCAGTTTGGATGAGCAGTACAAATGCCTACCTTTTGATTTTTCATCTTCTTCTTCTTCCTCTTTCTCAAGACTGACTTTTAATAAATTATAATTATTTTGGCGATCACTTAAACAACGAGCAACTTTAGTGGAGTAGATGGCGTATTTAGTTGGACAATCCTCTTCTGATTCATTCTCTGTATTTTGTTTTGATTTATTTATGAGTCCAGCTAAGCCACGTCTTACAGTTGAAGATTTCTGTTTCTTGATTCGGGGAGGACTGTCTTCATCACTCACAGACCCATCCTGTAAACAAACAACAATAGACTTCTTAGTTTCACTAATCTAAATAATGCATATAAATTTCACAAAGATTGGGTGATAACTTTTGGCGTTGGAGCGTTCACAAGGTTCAATAAAGTGAAATAAGGGCCATAACTCTAGACCATAATAAACAGAAATTGCTGAAATTCAATAGACTTCTTTGTTTCACTAATTTAAATCCTGCATATAAATTTCACAAAGATTGGGTGATAACTTTTGGCGTTACAGCGTTCACAAGGTGCAGTAAAGTGAAACAAGGGCCATAACTCTAGATGTAATAAACAGAAATTGTTGAAATTCAATAGGATTCTTCGTTTCACTAACTTAAATATTGCATATAAATTTCACAAAGATCGGATGTTAACTTTTGGCATTAGAGCATTCACAAGGTTCAACAAAGTGAAACAAGGGCCATAACTCTAGACGTTATAAACGGAAATTATTGAAATTAAATAGGCTTCTTCATCTCACTAATGTAAACAACATATATCAATTTTAAAACAATTGGATGATAACTTTTGTCATTAGAGCGTTCCAAAGAAATTGTGGACGACGGACGCACGGGGGCGACGGTAATATACGTCCACGAAATGTGGGCGTATAAAAATGAGATGAAATGTGGTTTAACATCTTACTGGGCTAATTCCGACGGACATACGCCATGTAGTGTCCTATGAGGGAAATATTGCGACCCTATGATCTACTCTTATTTCGAATGTCAAGGGTTCTTGTACCTGCATGCCAATGTGTACATGGGACCTTGTTTTGGTTTTTTTTGTCACATTCGAACTGAGTCACTGTGGCTCCCTGTAAGCAACCAAACAAGTCTTAAACAAACAGTGCTTTAAAGAAATGGACAGAGTTGGAAACATCACAGACCTGACTTGCGACTAAACTTGAAATACCTAAACAGTTGTGACTTTAAAGAGCTAAGGATTTGAGTCGCTATTGGGGGGGGGGGGGGGTACATAAAACTCTATTTTGGGGTTAGTTAGCAGGAGAAGAGGTCATTCACAAACCAGGGTGCTGTATTTAGCAAGAAGGTTTCAGTATATGCTTTACAGATAATAACAGCTAGCTGTCCATTGTTCTATAGGTTTCGAAGTAAACAAGACTGGCAAAAATGAACTGCTGACTGATGTAATCAACTGGCAACTGAGACTTAAGGTGCAGTGACTTTGGAGTTGGGACTTAGCGTCTTGAAATGAATAGGCAGGACTGAAAATGATCTTCTTAGATGTACCTGGCAAAAGGTCAGATATCTACTGAAATATAACCTCAATAAAAACAGAGAAAACAAGCCAAAAGTGAAGCTGATGTCCCCCGTCGAAATCCCCAAATAAACAGATGACTCATTAATTAATTGCATATTCATCTTTTTGAAAAGTATCGAGCAATCAAATTGATTATCTATACTTAAGTCTAAGCATAATTTGTTCACGATCAAACTCAGTCAAGGTTTTGAAGTACCTGGTAGTGAAACGTATACAATAAGTTTCATCACTCTCCTGAGTTAGAATCAAAAGTTGCCTTGATTCATCGAACGGTGGGGAAAAATAAGAATTTGTAACAGACAAAATGACAGGCACCACAGCAAATTAGTTACCGGGACTTTAGTAACGTAAATTGTATCGACTCTGCTCTCTACTATAGCAGAGCCGATACAATTTACGTTACTTAAACATGCATTATGCAAGAGCTAAATCTGCCTATTTCAGGTCTTTCTTTAGGCCTGAAATGTTATCTAAATTATTAATTAAGACATTAATTAACCTATCCAGGCCATAATCAACATTAGATGGCTGCGCTAGCCTGCGATCTTTAGTGGATTGTAAGCCGATTTACTGCATAACTTTCCTTCTCATTAAACGATTAAATGGATAATCGAGACTATGCTGTTTATCGTACTGACTTTAGTAATGATGACCGAGGCTTATGGGAATTTCAGTCGCTTAGTTCTCGGTTCATAGTGGATCAATTTGAATGAAATTTTCACCAAATTGCCTTCTACCTTATCTAGTTTTTAACTATTATAGTGAGAACTGCCAACTTGTTACCGAATCTCCCATAATGTATCTTTAAGTAACTACAGCAAATGTGCCTGACAAAGCCTGGACTTGTGTATGACAATGTCTGTGAGAGGTGCCTTATTTCTAGCATGTTGCTATATGCATAGTTGTATTGACGTGTATAGGTAATATTTGGTATGGCAGGTAAATCGTTCTGCAGCATTATGATCTCACTCCACTGGCCTACTCACTAAACTCAGGCAATAATCCAACAATATAGCCTATGATTATCACCATTTAATAATATATTATCTAGGTAAGTAGGCTAAGAAAGATATGCATGCGTACTGTACGTGTATGGCACTATATCAACTAATGATAATGATCAATGTCAATGATCATGTGTTTTACTGTTTTCATTTTTAAACTTTTATTTGATTTTTAGACAAGAGTCCATTTCTAGATGAATTCAGGCCTAACTCTAATAGGCCTATTGGTAGAATAATCTCTATGGCGCCATGTCGTGTTGATATAACATCAACTTTAATAATTTCAAGGACAAAACAGGTACCGTAATAAAAAAAAAACTACAAACCGATAAATTAATGTTTTCGTTGGTATTTACAATTTCGTCAGCCATTTTAGATTACCGCGAAAATAGTCCAATTTTACTGGTACCTTTAAGGGACAAGGGACGGGGAAAAAATGGCTGGAAAATCAAAGCTAATTATTTTTATGTAAAAATAAAGGTTGCAGGGAGATAACTCGATTTATCTCATTGGATAAAGACCACAACTATTAATTATTGTTTTCAGAATATCGTATTTGACAGGATGTATAGCTGCTTCAGGGGAATCCAGCCGTTGAAGTAACGGAAGTTTTAGAAATTTTGGCGGAGAACCGATGGTCCGGTAACCATTCACTCATTAAATCCGATTGAAACATTAAATGCAAGGACCGACCAGATGCATTTTTCCGTATGTATCGAATAAAAATCTCAAAGTGAAAACCAGGTTCAATCTAAAAAAAAAACTTGTGACCCGTTTCAAAGCATCCAAGCCCACTGTGATCAACAGTGAATATTCGCGAAGCATCGTAAAGATAAATAATAACTATGTATATGGAAATGGAATGAAAAGGAACGTTCTACTTTTCTCCACTAATAACTGTAAGCCTACCGGTAGTTCCTTTATAATTGTGCTGGCGTCACACTGTCCCAAAAACTGACACCAAATGGCCACACGAATATGGAATTTTGAATTTTGACAAAGATGGCACCGAACTTGTTCAAAAACCTATCAACAGCCGAAGCAAAGTGCGTCGCACGATTGCACCCGAACTAGGCCTACACACGAAGGTAATACGAAGAAGCGAATTTTGTACGGTAGTTTATACCCACAGGACACACGAAGGCCACACGATGGCTCTCTAGACCGGGTAGAATAATCACCTGGATTTACCGGAATTCATTTACAATCACAGGAATTCACTTCGAAAATCTCCGATTCCTCCCACAAAACTAATTTATTTTAAATGTTTAATACATTATAATATAAAGAATAACTATTTTGATCTCTCCACAGGTCAGATAAAGGCGCTGTAAGTGTATATGTTTGAAAGACTAAATTAGGAAGATGCTTTATTGGGCGTCACTATCGCTCGAAACTGACACCAAATAGTCACAAGTTAAAGTGAATTTGGATCTGATCGTAAAAACATCGGGCCATTCATGAGGGCATCTTAAGCCATCGTATGACTGTCTGCGGAGTTTTTCAGGCTCCGGCAGCAACTTCATAAGCGTTGACAAAATCTTTGGCATGCCAAAAAATTGCGAAGGTTCATTTTCGTGTTGAATTGGTGTATCCATTTTGACTTCATAAAACCATCGTAGGGCATTGCGAGGACTTCACGTAGTCGTGTTGCCTTCCTAAGTCAATCGGGTCGATTCTTGTTTAGCCTACTCCGTATTGATGTTCGTGTGGGGAACCAGCGGTACGATCTGATCGAATATGGACAAGTATCGTGATGTTTGGGTTATAAACATACATTTCAAGTTTCATGAAAATCTGATAGAAATTGTGACCTCTAGAAGGTCCACAACCTTGGTATTATATACTTTTACACTGTTTGCGTACTGGGAGCGGCCATTTTGTCCCGCAGTTTCGATCCGATTTTCACAAAATTCGAGAGAGAGAGAGAGAAATGGGGTTTAACGTCCACTCGACACAAACTAGGTCATTTCGGGACTAACATATGGTTTAATTTTATTTACACAATTCGCTTGCGCGCAGGGGTCTTTAGCAGTGGGAGGAAACCGGAGGACCCGGAGAAAACCCACGAGGTTGGACAGGCGACCCTACTCCTTGCCACGTACAACCGGGGATTCGAAACCACGCCAGTCGACTCAATGACAGACTTTATGATACAGCGCGCGCACGCTAACCATTCAGCCATCCACCCCCCCCCCCCCCCCACAAAATTCGAACTCAACCGTTGTTATGGTGTAACGGTGATGCATTTAAACGTTTTCTTTTATTGGGATAAAAATTGAGACCTACAGAGACGACACCCTAAAAAAACACGAATTTTCGTACAGCCAGGGTCCATAATCCATGACGCATGCCAATATCGAAAAAGAACCGAGATCTTTGAGCGATAACCCTATATTTCAAGTTTCGTCAAAATGAGAAAAAAATTGCGACATGTAGATTATCCACAAACAAATTGTGGACGGACGTACAGGGGCGACGACAATATACGTCCCAATCTGTATCACAGAGCATTACTAGTCTAGTATATCTCTGTCAAAGATGACTGCCTTAACAAGTGCAGTCACAGCACGCGGCGTCAATCATTGGTTGAATGGCGCGTGCATTGTTTACATAAGACGTTACTGTTTCGGAGAGAATGCTGCATTTTAGTCATTTTAATACCCATTTGCACTAAATAGGAAATAATTTTTATCTACAAATACGTCAAACGCCTTTATTTATTTTTCCAATACATAAAAAAAATGTTTTGGAATTTAATTTGTCGCAGGAAAAAAGTTAATATTTCTGGCTCATTAAGTCGCATCGATGTCATCCTTATCTCATCCCAAACTTAGGCTGACGTAGATGGGTCGCTGCGTGCAGTATGATCCTTATCAGTGATTGTATCGGCCTAGCGAAAATTCACCGCTGATCAGTGTGTGTATACGTCGACGTAGAAATGTGGGCGTATAGGAAAATATGCCCAATGGCGCCGATAATCAGACGAAGTAAAGACAAAGATGACACGATTTGACAAGATGCCCACAAGATAGCCTTATTAAGGACAAATATGGACACACGAATTCAAAACGAAAATGAAACTTAGCAAGATTTTACCAGCGCTCAAGAAGTTGTTGCCGGAGCCTAAGAAACTTTACAGGAGGTCGTACGATAGCTTATGATGCCCTCACTAGCATTTACTCTATCGTGTGTCCATCTGGTGTCAATTTCGGGACAGTGTGACGCCCGCTTTAGGAACGATCCGAAGCCATTCCCGAAGGAACCACGCTAACTAGTCCAATGAAGACGTGTTAGCGTACGCCATGCAGTGTGATAGGGTGGAATTCTAATTATAGGGCCTATCTGTCAATTCTGAATTTCAATGAACCCTCGTAGCACCATTTACCCAAATCCACTATTATTTCAAACGATAAGACAATAATTTAAATCGATATTTGATAATATAGCGTTCTTTATACCGAATTGTAATTTTTAATTTACAATCGTAACGTTTTTGGTTAAATGTACCCCAATATACGATTTCCGAGCAAGTTTCCCAGCCAACAATAATTTTACACATAATATCACAACATTTTATATCCATAATTTATGCTAAATTGTCATTTTGTAATTAAAATCGTAAAGTTTTTGTGTCAAAACTTCCCCTTAAAATATATTTTTTTAAAGAACTGTGTTCTGTTAATGTGTTTCCCGATCGCTAAATGCCACTAAAACATTATGAATTAAAAGAAGACTTACAAATAAAGTTTGCATCTCCAACGCACCACACAATACAAGTTGCCAAGACTCTCCCACAATTTCCAAGAGATGCGACGGAGAACGGCGAAATCGACAGGGCTCATCATCTCATTGTCCAAATGCTCCACATATTCGGATCTCGGGTTAATTAATGAACTGTATCTAAATCAAGTGGACCATATAAACCATTTTGACCTAATTATATGATCTCAGGGACAAGGGGTGGGGTAGTTTAATAACGGGTGCGCGTTGCATCATAAGGTCTGTCATTGAGTCAAGTGGCGTGGTTTCAATTCCCCGCTTGTAGTTGTATATGACAAGGAGTAGGATCGTCTTGTCCAACGTCATCGGTTTTCTCCGAGCCCCCCCCACCCACCCACTGCTAAAGACCCCTACGGATTAGTGAAATAAAATTGAACCATGTTAGTTCCGAAAATATCTAGTTGTGTCGAGTGGACGTAAAATTTTGGAAAATTTGGAAAACCATTAGGAGACAGGCCACCATTAAATTTCACCATCAGTACCCACAAATTGTAGTTCGATTATTTATAGCAACTCTCTCTCTCTCTCTCTCTCTCTCTCTCTCTCTCTCTCCATATATTGACACCCCAACGTGCTTCCGTAGAAACGAGCGTACAGAAATGAAAGTAGCTTTCCAAGAAACGTATCACGCGCTTGTCACTACTGGGCAGGTGACTTCCTTATGTTTGTCGGCGTTGTTTGAAACCTGAAGTACATAATGGTTACAAAAGGATTTTGAAATATTAATAATTATCCTTTCAGTAATATAATAACACAGTGAGTTAACTATAGTCCAATGAATGTGGACGTAACACCATTCACTATCCGGCTGGACCAATGGTAATGTAAGTATAAACCCCGGAATGTTTATTATTGATTTGAGATCGATTTTCTAATTAGAAATTGAATTGAATTCCATGGGCCAGTCACAACAGACCAATGGGACGTGAAACTCAATGTCATTTCATTGTGTGGTCCTCGACCGCCTGACATTCAAATACACACAGCATAATAATATAGGATATTTAATTACATGACTGTATCTATCGAAGCGTATCTGGTTGTCAGCAATTTTGCAGTTAGTTCACCTCAGCAATAAAAATGGCGTATGGCCGTGTGCCTTATTTGACAAACTAGCGCGAAATCAAGAAAAATGACTACTTTCGACCTTGTTTTGCAGTACGATCGCAGTTGTCCCCGCCATGTCCAAATACGAAAGCGACATTGACTGTATAGATAGAGTCGTCTTGATGCGTGAGATCTATTTGATAAGGCCAACTTCAAGTTTGGTCAAACCGGGGCAGCGGTAATCCCAACCCTAACCCTGGACCTAGCCCCAATGCATACCCTAACCCTAACCTTGCCAACAATCGCATGTCCTAACCTTATTTACATCTCAACAACCTTGACGAAAGTTGAGCTGGCCTTGACAATATACATCAGAAAACGAAAGTAAAAAGGTAACTGTTGATCACCTTTTTACCTGCGACAACGACTGCATAATCGATATCTATAAATGACGTCATGTTATAGATAACAATACACAGATGGTAACTATACAAAGAGTTAGAGATCGAGCGAAAAGAGCGATATTGGCGCCTTTTGGTATACTGAAAAGACAGAGGCGACTATGAGAGAGAGAGAGAGAGAGAGAGGGGGGGGGTGGGGGGAGAGAGAGGTGGGGTTTAACGTCACGTACTAGCGGGAAATCGAAAGCACGCCATTTGATTCAATGACAGACCTTTTGATCCTAAGAGAAAATTTTCTTTGTCACCCGAATTTTCACAATATGTCTATGATATATTGTGTCTTTCTTTGATGTTGGTGCCCGAATAATGGACGGTTGACCGAATCTGGGGGAGGAGGAATTTGAAAAAAAGAAGTCCATTTAAAACTGAAGCTTCTATCGTGTTCACAAGGTTTTCAAAAAAGGGTGATAACTGAGGAATGGAATGTCGCGAAAAGTCCTGACGTCCCCTGAAAATCTGCGCCAGATTGTTAACCATGGATGAGGCCTGGATTTATCACGTTCAGCCGTCAACTGGCGTGGTTTCAATTCCCCGGTTGTACGTGATAAGGAGTAGGGTTGTCTGTCCAACCTTGTGGGTTTTCTCCGGATCCTCCGGTTCCCTCCCACCCTACGCACAAGCGAATTAATGAAATAAGATTGAACCAGAATCCCCAAATCAGTCATTTTTATACGCCCACATAGAAATGCTGACGTATATTGCCGTCGCCCCCGTCCGTCCGTCTGTCCGTCCGTCCGTCCATCGTCCACAATTTCTTGTGAACGCTCTAACACCAAAAGTAATCATCCAATTGTTTTAAAATTGATATATGTTGTCTACACTAGTTAGATGAAGAGGCCTATTTAATTTCAATAATTTCCGTTCATAACGTCTAGAGTTATGGCCCCTGTTTCACTTTGTTGAACCTTGTGAACGCTCTAATACCAAAAGTTAACATCCGATCTTTGTGAAATGTATATGCAGTATTTAAATTAGGGAAACGAAGAAGCCTGTTGAATTTCAGCAATTTCCATTGATTACTTCTAGAGTTATGGCCCTTGTTTCACTTTGTTTAACCCTGTGAACGCTCTTACCCCAAAAGTTATCATCCTATCTTTCTGAAATTTATATGCATTATTTAAATTAGTGAAACGAAGAATCCTATTTAATTTCAATAATTTCCGTTTATAACGTCTAGAGTTATGGCCATTGTTTCACTTTGTTGAACCTTGTGAACGCTCTAATGCCAAAAGTTAACATCCGATCTTTGTGAAATTTATATGCAATATTTAAATTAGGGAACCGAAGAAGCCTATTGAATTTCAGCAATTTCCATTTCGTACTTCTAGAGTTTATGGCCCTTGTTTCACTTTATTGAACTTTGTGAATGCTCTCAACATCAAAAGTTATTTGCTGATCTGTATGAAATTTACATGTGTCATTTAAATTAGTAAAGAGAAGAATCCTATTGAATTTCAGCAATTTCCGTTTATTACTTCTAGAGTTACGGCTGTTGGCGTATGTTTCGTTGCCTGGCAACCTATCTTCTTATAGTTATGATGACGTCAAGTCAGGTGTGAACTACCTTTTTTTAATAGGGTGGCTTAAGAACTTTCCAGTCAGCACTTGTACCTACACTAATACGCAGAATAATATCGACGATTATTTTTTTTTTAAAATCTGACCTTCACCCCTGGAAGCATATAATCACCATTTTGCTAACCACCTATTAGGAATACACACTGACTAAATAGTGATTATTTTAATCAGCGTTCACGATTATGTTCCAGTATTTGAAGGAACTCTAATTAGAGAATGAAATTGAAGAAAAATCATGTTTGAATACAAGTATGGTATGAATTATCTGACCACGCTAATTCCTCTCTCAACAAAATATACCATTTGGAAATAGACCCCAAATACTTTCCATATGGATATTGAGAAATGAAATGAAATGAAATGGGGTTTAAAGTCCTACTGTTCTGCTCCGACTGGGCCAATGAAGATGTGCATATGCCCTACAGTGTACTATGAGGGAAATTTTTACGTGCATGCCAATGTGTATACGGGACCTCGGGTTTTCGTGAAATCCGAACGACTAGACAGGTATCCTTGCCAGGCTCCCTGTCCTGCACCACTGACAATGGGAAACCACGCCGGAAAAACCCGACGAGCTTTCTCACTTAGCCACCGTGGCTCCTTGTATATAAAGAGCTAAATCTGCCTATTGCAGGATTTTAATGTGGCTTCAAATGCTATATGAATTAATATTCAGACAGTTATTCACATGACAAGGCTTTAATCAACTCCCCGGATTTTGTCTTAAAGGATTTAAATCGCTAATATTTGGGACCTAGAAATTGACATATAATAATGTAATATGAATGTATATAAACTGATTTACATCCAATCATTTCCGTTTTTACTCTAATTTCAAATCATTTATGTTCGGCGAAATACGCCAGAAGTCTCAATCGAATGGCAATCTCTAGCGTCTGCCTATTCCAGTATACACCAATAGTATTTATTGCGCATGCTCTCCAGATAAGAATATGACGTCACCGGTTGACACGACTTTAGGAATATGTCTAGTTTCGTTCTTCGAGCCCCACTCGGCAAACCTCGGCAGATTCCGGTACTCGGCAAACCTCGGCGGATTCCGATACCCTACATCTAGCCTCGGCTGTATGACAGTAAGTGATATATACCTACGCCTATACATTTGCGATGCGGCACCGGTTTACTTCTAAGGGAAACTTGCCCGCGTTTAGAAAGAAGTTCTGAAAATTGTGTCATTCGAAGAGTGTGTAGAATTTTCAGTGCAAATTTGTCCTTGTCTAAAGAAAATCGGATAAACTTGAAAGAAAAACAGCTTCAAACTTTGAAAATTTTGTAAGATAAAACATTCTTCAAATTCATTGGTCGTCATGGACAACGCCATTGTAATCCGGGAACTTGAAAGTAGTTCTAATGGCGGACTTTGTCATACAGTCGAGATTAGATGTAGGGTACTGGAATCTGTGCTTCGAGCCCCTTTTTACAAATGACGATGAAACGCATTATGGTACACGATTCGTTTACCAATGGTAAAATGTTTATTTTGTCTTAAATGTTGGATATCAGAAGCCCATCTTTTCTCGGTAAGATCACAACATCAGTGTTGATTTAAATTGACAAATAATTCGTGTTTTCAATGTTGAAGACTTTGGATGATATTGAGTTAGAGACTTAGCCACTTTAAATATTGGATACTATAAGCCCATCTTTTCACGGTAAGATAACAACATGAATGTTAATTTAAATTAACCAATAAGTCGTGTTTGCATTGTCGAAGCATGTGGGTGATATTGAGTTAAAGACTTGGCCCCTTTAAAGAATGGCCAGCTATTTATCTATATATTACTATAATGTATCTTTACGAAAGAAATATTAATGTGTATATTATATTTATATATTTTCAGTAACACTTGTTTTGCTATCCATGGATGGTATCTAGGCGATAAGGAGCTTGAGTAAACCGACGGAAAAAAAAAGACTACAGATGCCCATTATTATTGTTTGGTAGAAAGACTACGTCCACTCCAATATTTACTACCATGTCGAAACCCAAAGAGGGTCATTCGGCAACACCTACTACAACGATGGTCGGAGATTCGTCCCGAGGTAGGCAGAGAGGAAATGGTTTTTACCTGTACATTATTTTCAGACAAGTTTCTGGGCGAGATCTAAATTGTGAGCAGTTCTTAAAACATGAAGTTGAAAGAAATAACTTCCAGGGCCTGGAAATTATTGATTCTTCAAGGTGTGGAAAAGATGAGGTCTTTAAGATTAAGCTACCATCTATCTCAACAGTTACACGAATTATGCCCAGAATAAGGGATGGCGGTAAAAGAGAGAACATTAATATAGTCTGGGCCTATGAGCGTCGTTTGTCAAGAAAATATGCAGATTGTTTTAAACTCGCAACGTCTACACAACCAGAAGCAAAAGAACAAATTGTTAACCCTTTGTCCGCACAAGAACACAAGTGTCCCGGTGGTCCGTCGAGGGAGTCTAAAGTGATAAACAGAATGGAAGACAAGAAACATGAAGAGTTGCTGTTTTATATAGCTTTCAAAAATATTACCAATAAGACCTTTGATTGTGATATTTTTTTATTGTCTGGAAGTAAAGCTAAGGACGGTGACATCAATATATTATCTTCTGTTACATGCCATGAAGACGTGCTCTTAACGGTAACTTTTAAATCAGAAGAAAAAGCAGCAAAAACGCTTTGGCACATTCGCAATAAAGGCCACAACCTGAAAGAGAGAATAGAGATAGTATGGTACCACAAACCTTTGCTGCCAGGTAAATATCTTCGTTTTCTTGATTCTGCATCACAAGCGACAGAGAAAGAAGTTCACCCAAATGATAAGGTGAAACAACACAATGTTGCTAGCGCTGAACATCCATTCCCAAAGACCAATAGCAAGTGTGATGCATCCATGTCCAAAAACGAGCTTCAGTGTCCAAGCCCGTTGAAAGATCCAGGAGGGATTACAGGAACAAAAAGGGCGGAAGACAAAAAAATCGAACCATTCTTGATTTATGTTGCATTCGAAAATATTCCCAAAGAGTCATTCGATTGTACACAGTTTTTGTTAACTCAAAATGAAGTGAAGGATAACCAGATAAATATATTGTCCACGGTTTTATGCGGCGCTGATGTTCTCCTTACAGTTACGTTTAGTTCAAAGACGAAAGCCTTGGATACTCTGCGATCCATAAGAACCAAAGGTAATAAACTCAAAGATAGAAAAGAGATAAAATGGTACTACAAGGACTCGTTACCAAGGAAATATTGTAATTGTCTTCAATCTGTGCCGCAAAATAGAAACGAGAAGGTTTACCAAAATGATAAAAAGACAAAACAAATTCAAAGAACTGACGTCAATCTCCCAAAGCAACCACCAGTACATGCTAAAAACCCCCAACACAACCCATACGGAAATAAAGGTGGCGAAACAAAACAACAGTCAACGAAAAGTACAGCAGGATCAGATGAAAAAAACACCAAAGTTGATGCAATTCGCCCAAAAGAGGAAGGAACTTGCGTCTATGTTTCAATACAGGAATCGGTGAAAGAAAGAGTATTAGAAGGGTTTCTTCGAGCTAGAATTGGATGCGAGTCAAAGGCTACGGAATTCAAAGTCATCTCTACAGAAATAGAGCAAAAGACCTCCTTCACAATGGTGACCATTCGGTTCAAAAATAAACTTCTAGCCCGTGAAGCTCTTAACTTACTCAAGATGAGTAATTTAAACTCTGAGACCCAATTGGGGTGTTCTTTAACATCACCGAATGATACGGTCGAATTCAGAAAGGAGCAACTAGCCAATAAACTGAACGATATCCAAAATCGGTCATCAAAGGTGCTGCATGAGCTAAGCAGTAAAACAGATAGGGCTAATGATCGTCTGAACAAATTAGTTACCCCCGCTTATGTATCCACAACTGAATATGAAACCATTATGGACCAAAGATGTGCTCTGAAGTCAGATATTGAAGAATTTAAGAACCAAGAAAAAGAATATAACCGATGCGTTCAAGATATTACAGATCGCTTGTCAAATTCAATCACCTCTGAGAATTTTGAATACAATTTATCATCAGAAACGATCAATTTTGGTATAGAATGTTGTCGATTAGAATCCGGTCTGCCCATTTATGGAAGAAGATTCGGTGTCCTAAAGTTGATCCAGGAAAACCAAATTGTCATTATCCGAGGTGAAACCGGTTCTGGTAAAAGTACGCAGTTAGTCCAATACCTCTACCAAGCTGACTTCGGTAAAACAGGAATGATAACATGTACCCAACCTAGAAAGGTCGCGTGTGTTAGTCTTGCTGAAAGGGTAGCAACAGAACTTGTTACAAACGTTGGCCAAATTGTTGGTTACAAATCGGGATTAAGAAGAAAAATATCTGAACAGACCAAGATTGTATATCAGACGCACCACAGTTTACTCCAGGAGTGCCTTAAAGATCCAAGATTAATCAAATACTCCTGCATCATGATTGACGAAGCTCACGAAAGGAGCATATATACCGATATTTTATTAAGCATCATTAAAATATGCCTCCCAGTTCGCCCAGATCTTAAAGTCATCATATCATCGGCTACCATTGATGTTGAAATCTTTTCGGAGTACTTTCACGGCTGTCCTACTGTAGAAATATCTGGACGGGCGTTTCCTGTAGACGTTATTTGGCGCGATGCGGAAGAACAATATCACGATTTTAAAAACTTTGAGGGTGCCGCCGTTGCCTTAGCTAAGCATATTCATTTAACTGAAGGACAAGGAGATATTTTAGCTTTCCTTCCATCGCCGCTAGATACAGAAAAATGCAAAGAAGATTTGGACAAAAAATTAACGGGACGAACCAACTACAAATGTTTTCCATTTCACGGCCAGCTCCATCCTGTGGAGCAACAGGAAGTATTTCAGGGTCTCCCAATAGGACAGCGTAAAATTGTCTTTGCAACAAACGCAGCAGAAACATCTATCACTATTCCAGGAATAAAGTTTGTGATTGATACTGGAATGGCTAAAGAGAGAGAGTTTGATCCTATTAGACATATAAATACATTGCGACCGAAGATTATTAGTAGAAGTTCCGCTAATCAAAGGAAAGGTCGAGCTGGAAGGACAGCTCCCGGGATATGCTACAGGCTATATACACGGCAGAGTTACGAAGAAATGAATCCCTCCAGCGTTCCTGAGATACAAAGGGTGCATCTTGGACAGACACTTTTGATGCTTTACGAAATGGATATGGATCCGTTGACTTGTGATTTCGTAGAAGCACCATGTGCGGATGCTATGGATTCAGCACTAAGGACACTAGAAGAACTCCGATGTGTGGTTGATGGTAAGATAACAGAGCTAGGGAAATGGTTGGCGAAAATTCCCCTGGAACCACGCTTAGCAACGATGATAAAATTGGGCCATGACAAAGGTCTTTTATATGATGCAATAGTTTTCGCCGTTTTATTTGGTACATGTGGCAATTCCATATTTTATCGCTCAGGTTCAGATGAGGCAAAACGAAGAGCCGATAAACTAAAACTTAGATTCTGTCATGATAAAGGTGATGGCCTCACATTTATGGAGATCTACAAGGAATGGGTGAAGCAACCAGACAGACGCCAGTTTCCATGGTGCCTCGAAAACAAAATCAGCGCCAAGATTTTGCGAGGAGCTAGGGAAACGATTCTTGAGATCATTGCAGTTTTAAGAAAGGAATATCAAATCACGGTTGACCAGACATTTAAAAGGGGGGAAGAAAGTGTGGAGCATCTGCAGAAATTCGTTCTATACGCCTTCTTCAACAATATTTGTTATCACATGGGCCATGAAAAGATGGGATATTTTGTTCCAGATTTAGACCAAAGGGTCTATGTTCATCCATCGTCAGCTCTTAAAGCTCTGGGTGATTCTAGTGATTGGTTGGTATATGGAAATTTTCTTCGAACATCGCGTGACTTTATCACAACCGTAACCCCCATCAGAGAAGAGTGGATTACTGAGATAGCGAACGAGAAAAAGCAGCATTTTGACGTTGAAATATCAAAAAGCAAGAAATTATTCAGAACCCACACAGAACATTTTGGGGTTTCCACCATGGCGGCTTTTATAGGAGCTAAATATACAAATATCAGACGTTGTGAAGACATGCTATCAAAGGAATTTCAAACGCCAATAGTTCTAGAGGTGGAGAGGGACAAAGGGGACATCCATCTCTTTTCTACCCTAAATTCTATGGACGCAGTGGAACAATTTAAGAATATGGTAAAAGAAGTAAAAGAGTCGTTCCAGATGAAATCCCGGGAGTTCCAGCTTGGATCAAAACCAACTCGATTTGGCGGTGTACGAATAGTTATTGGAGTTGGTGGAGAGGGACAAATGATACTTTTACCAAATGAATACCGGTCTATTTATATAGTAAGACCTCATCGTTACACAAAAGCTGACGACGTCATCAATAAGTTCTCTGAATACGGGGAGATTATAGACACTTGGCAAGACACGCGTTCTGGCGATCGTTGGGGAAAACTGACTTTTGAATCTCCAGAGAGTGCGCTGGACGCTGTCTTGGAAACACAGGATGATGAGTTTGAGGCAGCAATCCCCGAGTTTAAATTTAATGATAACCACGATTACCAGTTTAAAGCCAAATTAACGTGGTGCAGAAGACCTTTAACTGGTTTAGCATTTGTGGACATTGATCCAGCTGATCTTCCCAAAGCTAGTCGATTGGGCCGGTTAAAGATATTGGATAGGTTTGTCAATGTCAACCTGGACAGAAAATCGGGTCAAAGTTTATGTTTGAGAGGAATACCCCAAGGAGCACAAGAAGAAGATATTCGAGAGAGTCTTATTTCTTCTATGAGATTCTGCAGTGAAGATGAAGAAGATCGAATACTTAGAATTAACTTACTGCGAGAAAAAGTCAAAACCACTGAACGAGATTTGCGTGACATCAAGGAGAAGATCGAGAGTGTGATAAGCCGTATCGTCCCAGACAGCTCATTCCTGGTGGATTTATCAGCTCCAAGGAAGGATACCGACTTTGATTTCCAAGCTTTTGTGAGATTTAAGCAAATAGAGCACGGTGAAAAAGTTTGCAGGAAACTTACTGACGATATCGAACTGACGATATCGAACCAAATTGTCCAAATCACACCAGACTTGTCAACATCCATCAATGTAACAAAGAACGTCTATGAGAAGATGCTTCCAGTTGTAAAAGAATATATCGAGATTCTGCGAACAAAACTCAGGATGAATTTCCATTGTGAGATTAAGCCCTTAAATAAAAACCGGGTTTCAATCAGAATATTTTCTGAAATACCTAAAGATCTTTCTCGGGTTAGATCCATATTGGCCACACTGTTGAAAGGAGAAGTCATGGAATGTTGGAGGAATGATAACTATCGTTTTCTCTTTCTTCAAACGGGTCGAACATTTCTAAATGACTTAGAAAAGACAAGCAACGTGCATATTGCGGTCGACGGAAGTAGGTTTACAATAAGTATTTACGGACAAGTGAAAGATACGTCTGCGGCTCAGATAGAAATTAACAAGTTTTTGGAAGAAGTCATTGAAGGGACGGGTAGGGAAATTTCTCTTAATTCTGCTGACCAACCAAAGGGATTGATGAAAGCTTTGATCAAAGAGTATGGGCTGAACCTGGAGATACTGATTGAGGAGGAAAGGTTGAATTCGGCACTTTTAAATCACTCAACACAGGTCCTTAAACTTATGGGAACTCAAAAGAATGTTGATAAAGCATTTAGCAGGATTGCTTTCATTGCGCGTGCGTTGAATAAGACCAAGTCTCAAACTAAATCAAATGAAGAGCTTCCGGAGTGCAGCACCTGTTTTATGACTGTAGAACACATCTCCAAACTGTACAGATTAGAATATTGTGGGCATGCGTATTGCCTTGATTGTCTACATCAGCAGATCAAACTCGCAATACAGAATAAAGATCTACCGATTCTGTGTGGAGGCGATGGATGCCAGGAGCCTTTTGTGTGGCATGATTTCCTTAACACTTTCAGGAAATTTAATATAGAGGATGAATGCTTAGTTAATGCTGCTGTTGACAAGTTTGTTATGAAAAATCGGGAATCCTACCGCCATTGTCTATCTGCTGAATGCCCAATGGTATACCGTATTACATTAAATGGTGCGTTATTTGTGTGTGGCGAATGCCGATTGAAAATCTGTACAACCTGTCACGTGGAGTATCACGATGGTCTGACGTGTGAAATGTTCAAAAGTATATCCAAAGAAGAACTTAGTCTTGCGAAGTTTCTGGGAGAAAATAAAGACACGGTTAAGATATGTCCCAAGTGCAAAACCCTAATTGAGAAAACCTATGGCTGCCATCATATGAGTTGTAAATCGTGTGATAATCATTTTTGCTGGCTTTGTTTAGCTAGTTTTGGAACCAGTAAAGAATGTTACACCCATATAGCTAAAAACCACGGAGGTATAAATAATTACTAGAACGTGTAAGATAGACATAACATGTGCAAGTATCTCTGAAACAACAGATTTCAAGACCATTATTTACTTTGATTATGTACTCTCTGTTAGCTTACATTAAGGGGGTGGGGATGGATGGCTTAAATGGTTAACGTTTGTGCGCTGCATCATAAGGTATGCCATTGAGTCAACTGGTGTGGTTTTGATTATCCGGTTGTACGTGACAAAGGGTAGGGTCGCCTATCCAACCACGTATGTTTTCCAGGGTCCTCCGATCCACCCACTGCTAAAGACCCCTACGCGCAAGCGGATTATTGAAATAAAATTGAACCAGATGTTAGTCCCGAAATGACCTAGTTTGTGTAGATTATGTTAGCTTACTTTAATTAGTAGCAGATAGTAAGAAACAGTAATTAAGGTTTAATATTAAGATATTAATATATTCCACATTATGATCAATCTATCGGCTATGTCATATTGGCGCACATTTATTTATGTTCATAATATTTAAAAATACATTATGCAAGAGCTAAATCTGCCCATTGCAGCTCTTTCTTTAGACCTTAAGTGTTATTTTGCTTCATTGCAATTACAATTACTGGAATGATGATGATAGTGATGATGATTAATATATTTTAATCATGTCATTACTATGGGATGGTTGTTTTTGTTATCTATATATTTTGTTGCATTGTATTTACAACTACCGGAATGATGATGATAATGATGATGATGATAATGATGATGATTTATATATTTTGTTGCATTGTAATTACTATTAGTTTGATGGTTGGGTTTTTTTTTTTGTTTTTTGTTATTTCTATACTTAGTTACAATGTGATTGTAGTGCCGTTGAATGATACATAACCTCGTGGGTTTTCTCCGGGTCCTCCGGTTTCCTCCCACTGCTAAAGACCCCTACGGGCTAGCGAATTATTGAAATATAAAAATTAAACCAAATGTTAGTCCCAAAATGACCTAGTTTGTGTCGAGTGGACGTTAAACCCCATCTCTCTCTCTCCCTCTCCCCCTCTCTCTCTCCCTCTCTCTCTCTCTCTCTGAATGATACATATCAACTGGTGACTATCGTTTATCGTGAAACAAAGTCGCGCAGTTTTACGTCTGTTATTATATTTTCGGATATATGTATATATATTACATTTAATTACAATAATTGTGGTGGTGGATATTGTTATTATTTATATATTTTGTTGTTAATATTATTTTTGTATTTTGTTGCAATGGAATTTTTGTGCTATTTTGTTAAGTGCTATTATGTATTATCAACCGGTGAATAATTCCTGTATAATTTGTACTAATAATATTAACTTCATAAATATTGTGCTCGTGGTGCTTGACAAAACATATCTACATAAGGCCTTAGCTCTCAGTTATAACTTGTTTGAAACAGATGAGTTTTTAAAAGTTTCTTGAATGACGATAGTGAGGTGCACAATCGGATTAAAAGACAGATCCTATTTCGTTTCGGTTTTTTTTTATAGTTCAAAATTTCGTTTTACTTGGCTTTACTACACTAGGATCTGGAAAAGTTGTTATATTACTGGCGCTCTTGTTGAAGTGAGGGATTAGCCAATGAAACGGTCTGTTACAGCAAGTTCTTGGCATTTGATGCACGGAACTGTGGGTAAACCACTAGAAACTTTAACCCTGAATGATTAATTAATATCTGACGTCATAGAGTCAAAAGTCGCTCGTACATTGACATGATCTTCCAGTAAAACCGACCAGAACTTCATGTAGTGTAGGCCATCGAAAGTATAAAAAACGAAACGAAATATAAATCTGTATTTTAATCAGATTGTGGGGTGCATTGGCGTATTGGTTAGCCACGGTGGCTAGTTGGTTAAGACGCTGGCTCGCTAGCCTGGAGGTTGGGTGTTTGATCCCTGCATTGGCCGAGAAAGTTCATCCTGATTTTCCGACGTGGTTTCCCCTTGTCAGTGGTGCAGAACGGAGGGCCTGACAAGGACAGCTGTCTAGTCCTTCGGATGAGACGAAAAACCGAGGTCCCGTGTATACATTGGAATGCACGTAAAAGATCCCTTGTCAGTTGGAATTCGATATAAGAGTAGGCGATAGTGCCGCTGCCCGGGCAAAATTTCCCTCATAGCACACTGTATGGCGATTGCCCGTATTCATCAGCCCAGTATAGGAGCAGAACAGTAGGACGTTTAACCCCATTTCATTTCATTTCATTTCAAACGAACGATGACCTTGTACGATCAGTTGATCGAGAGATTTTTCTATGGAATGTAAGATTGAATAAGTTCACAACGATATTTGTAATGCTGTGTAATCAGTAATGCATAGATGTTAATATTGATCGGGAGCCGGCGTTCATATCTCAGTTACTTTATCTTGTTAACGTGTCGTTTGGTAATTATTCGTTAAATTCCTGTTGCTGAATAGTCAATTTCTTAACCCGTTAGCTAACGGGCTGATTAAAGTTAATCCGGAGACGACTGATAATTATGCCCACAATTCATTTCTACATCCTGTTTCCATTACACATTTGTTTACAAAATGGCCGACGCGACAGGAATCAAGCGAAACCCATAAACCCCGTTTACATTACAAATTTTAAGCGTGCCAGGAACGGTACCTGGCACGGCACGGTTAATTATTTTGTAGTGTAAACGGGTCAAACATAAGCGTGCCGTACTGAGTATCGTGCCAATCTGTCCCACTGAACTGAGGTGGTCTCGGCACGGTACCAGGCGCGGCGCGATTAAATTTTCTTAGTGTAAACGCTATCCGGTCTGAGCACCGTTTCAGTATGGATTGTGCTTGCGTGAAACGAACCTTGACCTTTATTCTGTCAAAATAGATGCTCAAAATAAATCAACCATCATAATTGTTTTCATCTGGGTAATTTGTATAGAGACTGAAATTAACTTTTCTGTGAAGAGTTCAACATTTGGCGTGCTTGGCACGGTTATGAGACCGGTTATTTTAGAGTAATGTAAACGGGTCAATTTCTTGAAATTTATCGTGGCCTGGTACCGTGCCAAAATGTAAACGGGACTATAGAATACTTTGTAACATGGACGGGAAGTCTTCCTTTGTTCTTTTCGTTGAATAAGCAGATTGTTTTCCCTCTAGTAAATTGGGTGGAGCTTAACCGTGTAATAACTAGACATGTTCAATGTTATTGCACACTTTTGCTGGTTTCCACTAGTTTCAGTAGAAATCGTGTAGAGAAGTGGGGTGTGTTTTCTGTGAAATAAAAATTATAAAAAAAAGAATGTTGAGCAGGTGTCAATGTTACAAATCATTTATAACATTTATAGCACCCCCACCCCCTCGAAAAACCTCTCTAGAATTGGTATTCTATAGGACGTTTTACTAAGGGCATATTACTTCGATTGACAACCGACTAATGCCATCGTTAAACAGATAACCTAGCTCAAAACCGTTGTTAAATACAACGGCACGTTTACGACACGTTAAAGTTAACGGGGCCTTCAGCAACAGACTTTCTCAGCTTAAAAGTCAGCTATCTGTTAACCGTCAGACCGGGGTGGCGTCCTTACTGCGCTGCAGCGACCTACAGCGACCAGAAAATGTACAAGGTCGCCACCAAACGTAAACATAACGCGAGAAATATCCCCCAAAATTCCAGGCGTGTGCTTATACCCCAGTCAGGCAAAGATGGCGCCTTTACTGCGCTGCTACGGCTGCGAAAATGGCCCCAGAGCACGTCAAGATCGCCATAAGAGTGATAAAAGCGTGATGGAAACGCCAGATATCGCACTGTGGTCTCGATGGTCGCAAATGATCACTGAATCACGGCGTGTGTTTTGAGCATGTTCAAAACAAACGCCAAGGTTCTGCGATCTGCCCTGGAAAGATGTAACAACGCGAGACCATGGAGACCACAGCACGATATCTGGCGTTTCCACCACGCTTTTATCGCGCTTATGGCGATCTTGACGTGCTCTGCGTCCATTTTCCGTTGCCGTAGCGTCGCAGTAAAGACACCACCCCAGTCTGACGGGGGTATTAACGAGTCCTTATAACATAATGGAGCTTTGAACAACTGGCCCATGAACTTCTTGCAATGTTATTGAAGAGAATTTAAATGAAACTTATGTATAATAATAAACTGCGTGTAATTATGTATTGCTGATTAGTGAATTGTTATTCACATAAATTTTTCACAAATGTGCCTAATCAGCAAGATTCTATAATTTATTATACATTGCTGAAATCTGATTGAAAGAAATTAAATGACTATTATGTAAAAACAGTAATTGATGAGTTATTGTAATTGTAAATGATATTATGTCGTCGGCCCTGTCCGTCCGTTCACATTTTCTTTGTGGACACTGTACAGGTCATAATTTGTAGCCGATATATGTGGAAATCTGACCGAAACATCTCATAAAAATGCCCGCTTCCCTTTACGCAAATAGTGTAAAAGCATGTAATACCAATGCCGTGGACACTCTAAAGGTCTCAGTTGGTATCCGATTTGATGAAACTTAAATTATATGTTCATATCCCAAAGTTCTGGCTTACTTTCAATATTGGCTTGTATAGGATTGTAACTTATTGGATTATGGCCCTTGAGTGTACGAAAATCGCGTTTTAAGCTTGCGGACATTCTAGAGGTGAAGATTTTTATCCGATTTTGATGGAACTTAAAATTTTAATATTCCAAAGATTTCCATTGCTTTTGATATTGGTGCATAACGGACCTTAACTGGGTTATAGTCCCTGATTGTAGAAAAATCACGTTCTTAGCTTCCGGACTCTCTTAAAGGTCACCATTTTTATTTGATTTTAAAAACCGTTCAAATAGTCTGGTCACACCACCCATATCCGTGACCATATCTCGGGGAACAAGGTCTGATAGAAGGGGTCCTAGTGAAGATATCTGTGTTAATTCCCCTGACGCAAAATGTGAACTATGTCCAAGGTTTGTGAACCCTCCCGAGGCAACAATATACGCAAATGTGAAATATGCATAAAGTTTTTTTTAGACCCTACAGAAACTTTAGTTTTTGTCCGATTCACATGAAACTTAAAATATCTGTCAATGACCAAAAGATCTTGAATGAGTGGGTGCTCATCAATTTCTTGTTTATTAAAGACCATGCAAATTCTTACATTATCCTCTGCCAATATCTTTTTCTGCCGTTTAATCACGGAGACTACTGGGCGTATTAAATTAGTCTCTCGGTGGTCTCACAGCCGTTAGTAGTTAGATCGACACATAACCACGTGGGTTTTCTCCGGGTCCTCTGGTATTTCCTCCCACTGCTAAACACCCCTTCGCGCAATCGAATTATTGAAATAAAATTGAACCATGTTAATACCGAAATGACCTAGTTTGTGTTGAGTGGACGTTAAACCCCATCAGACTTTATGACAGACTTTATGATACAGCGCGCGCACGCTAACCATTCAGCCATCTAACCCCCTTCTTGTTTATTGAAGTCCATGTAAAATCTTACATTATCCTCTGACAATTTCTTTTTCTGCCGTTTAATCACGGAGACTAATTTAAAAATTAGTCTCTAGATGGTCTCACGGCCGTTAGTAGTTAGTTAGATCGACACATAAGAAATGGCCAAATGGTTAGCGTGTGCACGTTGTATCATTGAGTCAACTGGCGTGGTTTCAATTCCCCGGTTGTACGTGACAAGGAGTAGGCTCGTCTGTCTAACCTCGTGGGTTTTCTCCGGGTCCCCCGGTATCATCCCACTCCTAAAGACCAATACACGCAAGCGAATTATTGAAATAAAATTGAACCATATGTTAGTCCCGAAATGACCTAGTTTGTGTCGAGTGGACGTTAAACCCATTTCTCTCTCTTTCTTTATTGGCAATAACCGCCCTATAAAAAATACTTTTATGGGAATGTATTAATCTGCGTATATATGAAGTTTCCCGATATACCTCCCACAAGCTTTCGTAGAAATAGGCAAACAAGGAAGTCTATATTCTGTATCAACCTAGTTTTACTTTCTATTCTCTTTAAATGCGTGTATGTCATAGGCACGTGTTCTGTGTTCTTCAACAAATTAGATTCAACACGTCGTGCGCTTCATCAGGTTGTGGTCACGAGAGGATGGTCCTGTTGATAAAGTAAGAATTACATCCCACACGGTGCTATGTAGATTTGGATACGTAGACTTAGCTCATTAGGATTTTTATAAATTGGCGATAATACATAGGTGTTTGAACTCAAATAAGAAATGGTTTGAAATGTTCCATTCTCCCGATGCTCAATCGAATAAAGTCGATTTAGAGAGGTTTATTATATACCTGGATATTGTAACTGGATACGGTAGGTTTAATATATTGAAATTGCAGTATTTGTTGTTTAAAGGTACAAGTGCCCAAATTTTCCCAGCATTTGGTGCCCCCCCCCCCAGCCCCCCTGGCTCGTACGCCTATGCATGTATCACTCATAACTAACAAATTCAAGCCCAATTTAGCTTAAGTCGCCTTGAAGATACGTCATACTAAAACTCAAATTATATTAAAAGCAAGATATACCAATTGAACATATATTAAACTACTTTAGAAGTTAGATCGGTGTCAGTCGTATGATTAGAGCGTCTGTGATATTAACCAGCGGTTACAATGCAAGATCAGCCCACATTTAGTAAGAGATGGATAGAGAACAAGCTAAAAAAACACGAGATTTTTCGTATAATCATGCAGGGCCAATAATCCATGAATTTATGGGCTGAAATGCGCGAATACTGAAATGAGTGAGATCTTTGGGATATCAACATATATATTTTAAGTTTCATCAAAAATTGTGACCTCTAAAGACTTCACAGCCTTCGTATTACATACTTTTACACTATTTGCGTACAAGGAGCGGCCATTTGGTCGGGCAGTTTCGTTTCGATTATCCTGATATTTGAACTCAACCTTCATTATGGTGTAACGGTGATATATTTAAACGATTTTTAAAATCGGATAAAAAAATATTGTGTTCTGTAGAGTGTCCACAAGGAGTAGGCTCGTCTGTCTAACCTCGTGGGTTTTCTCCGGGTCCCCCGGTATCATCCCACTCCTAAAGACCAATACACGCAAGCGAATTATTGAAATAAAATTGAACCATATGTTAGTCCCGAAATGACCTAGTTTGTGTCGAGTGGACGTTAAACCCATTTCTCTCTCTTTCTTTATTGGCAATAACCGCCTTATAAAAAATACTTTTATGGAAATGTATTAATCTGCGTATATACGAAGTTTCCCGATATACCTCCCACAAGCTTTCGTAGAAATAGGCAAACAAGGAAGTCTATATTCTGTATCAACCTAGTTTTACTTTCTATTCTCTTTAAATGCGTGTATGTCATAGGCACGTGTTCTGTGTTCTTCAACAAATTAGATTCAACACGTCGTGCGCTTCATCAGGTTGTGGTCACGAGAGGATGGTCCTGTTGATAAAGTACGGATTACATCCCACACGGTGCTATGTAGATTTGGATACGTAGACTTAGCCCATTAGGATTTTTATAAATTGGCGATAATACATAGGTGTTTGAACTCAAATAAGAAATGGTTTGAAATGTTCCATTCTCCCGATGCTCAATCGAATAAAGTCGATTTAGAGAGGTTTATTATATACCTGGATATTGTAACTGGATACGGTAGGTTTAATATATTGAAATTGCAGTATTTGTTGTTTAAAGGTACAACAAGTCAGATAGTTCACACGCACACACATGGGGAGTTGGATGGCTGAATGGTTAGCACGTGCGCGCTGTATCATAAAGTCTGTCATTGAGTCAACTGGCGTGGTTTCGATTCCCCGGTTGTACGTGGCAAGGAGAAGGGTGGCTTGTCCAACCTCGTGGGTTTTCTCCGGGTCCTCCGGTTTCCTCCCACTGCTAAAGACCCTTACGCGCAAGCGAATTATGGAAATAAAATTGAACCATATGTTAGTCCAGAAATGACCTAGTTTGTGTCGAGTGGACGTTACCCCCCCCCCCCCCCTCTCTCTCTCTCTTGGCAAGTAGTAACAAGTAAAACGTTAAGCCACATTTCATTCTAACCAGCAGACATACTACATGTATCCATAGGCGTACGGGGAAATTTTTGACTGGGGGGGGGGGGGGGGGGCGGTGGTGGTTGGTGCCCAAAAAATGTAGTTAGGTTCTTAGTATGTTACATAATAATAATAAATTCGCTGTTAAATTGGACACATTCAAGAACACAATATTTTTTTATACAATTTTTACAAAGTATAATTGTGTGCCCAAATTTTCCCAGCATTTGGTGCCCCCCCCCCCAGCCCCCCTGGCTCGTACGCCTATGCATGTATCACTCATAACTAACAAATTCAAGCCCAATTTAGCTTAAGTCGCCTTGAAGATACGTCATACTAAAACTCAAATTATATTAAAAGCAAGATATACCAATTGAACATATATTAAACTACTTTAGAAGTTAGATCGGTGTCAGTCGTATGATTAGAGCGTCTGTGATATTAACCAGCGGTTACAATGCAAGATCAGCCCACATTTAGTAAGAGATGGATAGAGAACAAGCTAAAAAAAACACGAGATTTTTCGTATAATCATGCAGGGCCAATAATCCATGAATTTATGGGCTGAAATGCGCGAATACTGAAATGAGTGAGATCTTTGGGATATCAACATATATATACTATTCAAAAAAAGTAGGGGATATTTGATTTTTAAGTGTTATTAAAGTCACCTAATGAAACTGACGAAGAAACAAATGACAAAATGAAATGAAGTTCACATTCATCGATTTATTCCAAATGATCGTTAGACTAAGTAAGGCACAGACTGACCATTATAAGGGTAAAATGATACCCGGGGTCAAACAGCAAAGTTACCACAGCATCACAACCAAGTCAGTAACGGGTAAATCCTCCTCTGTTTGCCAAACAAGCATTGATCCGACGTGGCATACTCCTAATGAGACGTCTAAGGTCATTTTGGTCCAGATTGTCCCATTCCTGTTGCAACGCAGCAGCAAGTTCTTGGACATTGGCAGGACGTTGTTGACGTTGACGTAACCTCTGTCCAAGCATGTCCCGGACATGCTCGATGGGGGAGAGGTCGGGACTCAGTGCTGGCCAAGGTAATGTGGTGATGTTCTGTTGTTGGAAGTAACCTGTAACGATCCTGGCCCTGTGACATCTTGCGTTGTCATCCTGGAAGATGAAACGGCGGCCATGACGTCGTGCGAACGGCACAACATGGACTGCCAAGATGTTGTCCCGGTAGTACTGGCCTGTAACACGCCCTGCAAC